TTTGAGTTGATAATCGATTATCTGTAATTCAGTGGACGAATCCTATAAAATCTCTGTGATAATCGATTATCTCAGGTGATAATCGATTATCCATGCATAATCTGGGCACAGATGAAGAAATAATCGATTATATGAGCAAATAATCAATTATCCTGTATCGTTAGAGACAAAATAGTCGTTGGCAACGACTCTTTTTGCTTTAATTCTTGTGAAACTAGCCGTTAGAAGTATTTCCTATATATAGGAGGACTCAAAATCGAATTCAAACACTTCCAAGCTTCTCTTCAAAAGTTTTGCATAGATTCAAAGCTTATTCTTGTTTTTTTGTCTCCCTCAGCTTTTGTTTCTCTCCAAACTTCAAATCTTTCACTTTTCCTGCTTTCTATTCACTCTAAATGGCTTCATCTTCCCGGAGAAAGATCTTGACAAGAAGAAGATCAGCTCCTGCTTCTCAACCTCGCCCAAACTCAATTGAAGGGTGAATTTCAGATGAAGAAGGGAGGCAAGAGTATCTAAATTTCGGGAAAGAAAGGAGTATTATTACTCCTAAATACCTCATTGGAGATCAATTCATAGACAGGGGATTCCAATTTCCAAATCTTCTTGAGCAACAAGGAGTTCTTCCTTTTATTGAAATGCAAGGTACGTATTATCCGGATTTAGTTCGGATATTCTATTCTCGTTTCAAGTATAGAGATCATATTGCTACTTCCAGAGTCAAGAGTGTAACCATCATCCTTGATAATGACATATGGGAGAACGTAACTCACTTTCCCATTCGAGATAATGCTGTTAATGTTCTAGTGGATCTTGACGAATTCAACAAGATTCTGGCACATTGCACATTCCTCCGCAATCCTGCCATGGAGATTGGCAGACAACTTCTTGCTGGTCCTCTAAAGAAAGAGGAACATCTGCTACTTCATCTTATTGTATGGATTTTATATCCTCGGGCCACAAATCATGCTTAGTGTTCTGCTGCAAATCTTCATATTATTCATGCAATCATGAACAATGAGTCAATTGATTGGCCTAATCTTGTTACGTTAACAATGCTCAAAGCCAAGCGTCATCCTACCTTCCGGATTCCTTATGCTCTTTTAATATCCCACATTCTATAATATAAGGGTATTAATCTTGAAGGTAAGCAAAGATCCCATACGCTCAACTCAAATCGAATGCTTGACAGCACTCTCACTCAGCTACATATGGTTAATATTAATGGAATTTATGTCCATAAAGATGATGCTCCCCATATGGCTGAGGTCGCTCCAGATTCTGATGATGAAGAGATGCTTGCTGTTGATGTTCTTGTCGCTGGAACTTCATCTGACGCTCATACTGAACCTCGCTCTTCCATTGAGGACATGATATTCAGTATGAATCAAAGAATGCAAGATTTCTTTTCTATATATGCTAAACGTCATCATGAAATTTTAAATCGTATTTTTGATGTAGATGAGCATGTATCAAATTTAGAAGGGAGATTTGATGCCCAATTTAATAGTGATGAGAGCAAAAAATTTTAAATTATTGTAAATTTTTGGGTGTGTCTGTTCTTTTTGTAATATATATTTACTTGTCTTAAATAATAATCTTTGTTTGCATATATTCAGGGGGAGTTAATTATTTTTCTGCATAACTTTAGGGGGAACTTCTATTCTTTTTTATTATGATAAAATAGGGGGAGAAAATTTTTAAAGCCGGTATGTTTTAATATTTTTCTATAATAACTATGTCAGAAAACATGTTATTACAAAGAGGCTTTAAAACAAATTTTGATCATCATAAAAAAGAGGGAGATTGTTGAATATACAAGAGTATGATGCCTGAAGATTTTGACGATGATTCAAAAACAAAGGACTTGAAGACTTTTAATCATTTGTATTTCCTTGTAATAACTTTGTTTTATCTTTTTGAGTATGTAAAATTAGAGTCCAAGATAGCCAGCACATAGTTCATCCTCTAAAAGTTCATTTTTATCAAAACCACTATGTGATAATCGATTATCACTCAGGATAATCGATTATCCTGCTTGAAACTTGTTTTTAGAAAACTTGCTGGAATAATCAATTATCTGGGTTGATAATCGATTATCCCACTTGATTTTGGGTTCTAGAAGTTCTGTGATAATCGATTATGACTTAGAATAATCGATTATCCTAGTCCAAAAATACTCCTCTGCGAAAATGGTTCTGTGATAATCGATTATCACTTAGGATAATCGATAATCTGCGTCTGTTATGATTTTGAATTCGAATTTGGACCTATTTTTTATGTATCCATTCCCTATTTCGAAAATCCTATTCCCCATACCCTAAATCTCTCTATTTAAGGTTCTCTATGGCTCTCTGAACTATACAACCCTTTTCATACAAAAATTAAGAGCTGTGATTGCTAGAGAACTTTGTGTAGAGAAGAAAAAGGGGTTTTTGAAACCTAGTGTGAGCTAGAAGCGATAAGAATCACTGAGTGGGTTTCTTGGGGATTGTGTGTTGTGCCGTCTTTAGGAAAAACTGTTGTTATCCTTTGTGGATTCAAAGGAGGTGTTCATCTCTTGTGTGACTCAAAGAGGTGTTTGCTAATCCTTATCTTTTGTAATTTGTAATCTGTTTTAAATTGTGATTATGATGACAGCGTTAATCCTCTTTTAGAGTGATTAACAACTGGACGTAGGGTCTTTTGATTCGAACTAATATAAATTACTTGTGTAATCTTCTTTCCCTTATCTCTTTACTTTACAAGCATTTTAATCGGTGAAATTTGGGAAAAAAAATTTAAAACCCTAATTTTTTATAAGAAATCAATTCACCCCCCTCTTGGTTTTTGTCCCTACATGCACACATTCTGCTACGCGATACCAACAGAAGTTGTTGTCTAAAGAAATTTGTACTAAGTTTGTTGGTTCCAATGATCAACTTGCGGATGCATTAACAAAATTTTTAAGAGGGCCTCAAATGAAATTCATTTGTTCCAAGCTTGGTACATACAATTTGTATGCTCCAGTTTGAGGGAGAGTGTTGAGTATTTATTAGATTAGTTGTATCTAACTATTGACCTAGTTCTTAGAATGTATGTTTATCTTCTCTAGGTTTAATTATTTCCCCCTATTTATTATATCTCAGAATTTGTATCTTTATCTCTTATAAATAAGAGAACACAAGAGAAAAGGATATACTCTCAAAAACATCTTTTTATTTTCCCATTATCTATTTCAAGTGTTAGAAACATGATGGATTATCTCCAAACTCCAAAAACTGGTAATAAACATGGAAAGAACGATGCGTTTATAAATATTCTAGTTGACGCCAAGCTAAAGATGTCTTGGCCAAAGTCGAGGTAAAGATGCTTTGTCCAAGGCTGAGTTGAAGATACTATGGCTAATACTGAGTTAAAGATACTCTAACAAAAGCTTAGGTGATTATAGGCCTAATATGGCTAATAGTTTTTGGGCCTCGATTTTTTAGACACGACCTGGCCTAGTATGTTTTGGGCTATGAAAAATCTTAATTTGTATCCAACACAAATCCGATACTGATACTCCATGATACTTCACTCAGATCCAAACTTATGAAACACTTTTGAATACTTCACAAACAATGAAGTGTCCAAGTTTCTAAAACATATATTATCCAATAACACTACAAGAAACATATAAATATGGTAGTTTAATATATAAACATATAAATAGGGTTTCTTCATAAATCCAAGATAATTGTTCTCTACGAATTATTTTAAAAAAGTAAATGAGCTTGACAGTGTTATTCTTACATGTAAATAATAGAAAGTAAGTTATATTGACAATTATTTATAATTTTTTATTTTGGAAATGTCTAAAAAATGCAATTTTAATTTGGATTTGCATAATTACACTTATATATTTATTATGTTTTATGAATTCCTATGCATTTTTAAATATGTATCTTACACACTATATTATTGTTGAAAGTCCCACATCGCCTGCTATCATTTAGTATGGTTTAAATACATGTTAGGTTACTCCACATATTGCTAATTGATTTTATGTTGGAACCTTAACATGGTATCAGAGTCAAAGCCTAACATATTTTCGGTTATTGTCTTGGGCCAAGAGTTGTCCTTTCGTTATGGGTCAAAAGTACCCTTTACCTGGTCGGGCAAACTTCGTTGGAGGGGGCGTGTTGAAAGTCCCACATTGCCCGTCTCATGTCATTTGGTATGGTTTAAATACATGTTAGGCTACTCCACATATTGTCAATTAGTTTTATGTTAGAACCTTAACAATTATGTTATTTCTATATCGTCATATCGGATATGCATCATATCCAATGTGTATCATATTCATGCATCATAGGTTTTGGGTTTGATTTTTACCAACTTTTGACCAATTTTGTCAGCTCTATCTTTAAAAGTGTTCTACTAATCACAGTTTCAATGAAAATATAAAAATAAAAAAACCATAGGTTGTCTCTGACAAAACTGTCTTTTCACCTGGTTTACATGTTCAACACATGAATTAACTACATATTTTCATGCAGAAAATATTCAGGAGTATGAAAATAAATTCCAGTAAAACCAAGTTAACACCTGCCATCAGTTAACCCAAATTTTTCTTTTCCAATAAAATTGATCAAATGATTTCATAACACAATTGATACATACCGAAAGGTCAGACACTGAAGTTTATAAAACATGCTATACATTTCAAAATTGCAAAACACTAGAAAGAATCAAGGAAATAAAACTTGAAAAGAAAACAATGGCTAGATAGTAAAATTAACATTCCACTATTGTAGTTTAAATTGAGTGCATGAAACTGATTTCTATATAAAGTGACACATCTTACGTAATAATAAATACGAGGGATGAGAACAGACGAACTAACCAAGTCAGAAACAAGGGCCTAAACTTGGAAGCAAATGTTCTTGGGATACATGGTCAGGAAAAAATATAATATACACAGTCCTGCCAAAAGCCTCCACAAGAGTTTTCAAAGCTTTCTTTAGGGGTAGTTGTATGTTCTACACAAGTGAATCTAACTTCAAACCACAATATGTAACCTTGATAGTTGATCCACCAGCAATGGCACTGAAAGGTAGCATGACAATCATCATTCAGTATTGCAATTGAGAACTAAATAAGATTTCTCTTCAGAATAAAAATTGACCAAAGAATTGGAAAAAGCATAGTACATGTATGTATGATAATCTACAATCTTTTATTGTGAAAGAAACTGAGTTCATGCATAGGCAGGTATAATGATCATTACTTAAAAATCAATTTCATCTTGACGTAAACAATTAAGCTATGTAAACCTTTCAAACAAGCCACATATAAATCCAATAGCCAATACTTACCCACCAATTGTACAGATGAAATTTAAAATATTTCTATCATCATCAGGTAGGCCTCCAACAATTAACTGCAGGTATATCTGGTCTACAGGACAACATCTGAGGAACACCATGTCCTAAAGAAGGAATTAATGATCGTGATGCATAAATGTAGTTTCTTAACAAGTGGAAGCTCAATGCAGGAAACCGAAAACTAGGAAAAGGTAAAGAAATGCAAATTAACAAACACTACCTGTCATAGGATGAGAAGGCATGTTGCTAGGATTTGCATGCTGAAAACCTACATTGTTTATTGGTGGTCTTTCTAGTGGTGGTCGAAAATAACCTATCATCATTAAAACAGACTTTATAATATTAAGATGTATCTCACACAGCACAAAAATACTAAAAAAAATAGATGGATGCAAGCCTTCATGAAAAGCTAAAGCTAATGACAAACATTCAGTAATAAGAAATACAGACTAATTAAAAGCACAAAACATCAATACTATTTTAATCTAATAATTATTTGGACTCAGTGAGCTGAATAGTTACACATACCTTCCTGCCCAAAGAGAGGACCTGGACATGAAGGGTTTCTCCCTATCCATAGACCCTGTTGATTGTTTGTTATAAATTCACTTGTTGGCATCCTCCATTGCTCATTTGCAACAAATTGCCTCTGGCCATCTGGAACTGATGGCATAGAGAAGGGGGGATGGAAAGAATGTGGAAGGTGCTGCTGAATTGTAGGCTTTGGATATGAATATTGATTGGATGGATTTTGGGGTAGGGCAGGATGCATGTGTCTTGGAGCAAATGGTGGGTTAGCTGGCTGAAATTGCATAGTAGGCTGAGAGCCTTGAGAATTTAGATAGATATCATTTTGTCCATATTCCAACTGCCTCGGAGGGTTAAAACCAGAAGGTTCTTGAGAGTTGCAGCCTGCCATTGGAGGAAAGCAAGCAGATGGCTGTTGCAATATTTCATTCTTGACAACTGAACTATTGTTACCTCCAGAAAAAGAATTTCCAACCACTTGAACTATTTGGTTTCCCTGTAGGGATGATGACTCCATTTGTCAAAACCATCAAAGCAAACAAATCCAAAACAAACTAGTGATATTTGAAAGCCAAAACATCTTACATTGGTTGAGCTACTAAAGTCATGAGGTACACTTTGCTGATACCCTGACAATGGCGATGATTGATGTGATGATTGAGGTGGCACTATTGTCTGGGAGAGAAGTTGAGGCTGAGCGGGTCCAGATGATTGAGAAATCAATGAAGGTGGAGAGCTTGGGAGTGGCAAAGGAGGAGGTGGGGGAGGTGATGGAGGTTGTGGTGGAGGTGAAGAAGGTAAAGGTGGGGGAGAAGGGGGTGAATCTAGTGGCAATGGAGGAGAACCCTCAAGAATATCAGGTATCTCTGCAGATATGTTTGAAGCAGGATCCAAAATCCTATCTGAGCCCTGAAGCTGAGAATCCTTTTCAGAAGGACTGTTCAGCAGTAGAGGTCTTTCCTCCTTAAGGTGACCTGAAACATCTTCCATTTCCAGCTCACCATCCACATCCTCCAAGATACAATGGCGCTTGTCACTTGGGGTAACTGCGGATGTTTCTGAATCAACAATAATGCGAGTGGCATCTGCTGGAGATGCATTGCTCGGAAAATCATTGTCTTCATCTTCTTCAAACACACGAGAAGATAAAAAGCCAGGCAGCTGAAATGTAACATTACTGGTACACATCCAGATATATAATAAGAATAAGAATTAGAAAGCTTTTGGAAACAAGTAAGAATATCAATAGAACAGAAAACAACACTTAGACATCTGTATATATTACATAAAATGAAGAAAGCAAATCTTAATATTATTAATTGCAAGTAGAGTGACATAAAATAGGAAAATGCAAATAGAAACAAAAAACGAAAAAGTTCCATGTACAATTGCTTGTTTCTATAATGGTAATTAGAGTGGTATGTAAGTATTAAAAAAATAAAAGTTCATTGGTTAGTACGGAAGCTATTGTTAGTTTAGATTTTATAATGGTAAGTTGTGGGATAGCCGCCAATAAATAAAGCAGGCTGCTGTACATTTTAGACACTGAAATGATAATGAAGTACGGTTTCTCTTATTTGTTATTCTTCTCTCTCCCCCTTTTATGTCCTATTTCCTACCTAAATCATTCCACTAAATTTTGACAATCAGTGTGCAAATAAAGAACATATGGTCAGTTTAAGTCTAAGTAGGTCAGGGGAGAAAATTCTGCTGGATCTTTTCTTTCTTTTGATTACAAGCTATACTGTAAAGCTTCTTGTGGTACAATTCCAAATGGGTATATTCCATTTTGTGCCGTACTGTTTTCTTTTTTTAAGGATCCAGCATTTACAATAGCTTCTTGCTTAAAATAGACTGATAGTCTAGAACTAACCAGTGACTCTTGGAAAGAAAAATATACATAATAATGAGAACAAACACAACACATACTTGAGCTTCCAACCTAATAAGAACAATGAAAAAAAAAAAAATGTCAGACCTTCCATACTCATCAACAAGCATGCCCTCCATTTCTCTAATTGGGTCATCTAGAGACCGTTCAGCTCGAGAAGGACGCCTAAAAGAAAAACTAACTGTCATATCATCATTTGAAACTCCAATGTCATCCATGTAACGGCGAAGAACTGATTCAGGAAAAATTTTCCTCTCAAGCCAGAGCCTTAAAACCTGCATTCCACACACATAAAAACAATTAATATCTCTCGTGCACACAGTATACCCACATTCCAAAAACTGGCATAAAAACATTCCTATCAAAACTACCTTGGACTATATGCTAATAAAGAAAGTTGTAACTGAGTAATATAGATAATGCTACCGAATATCCTCTCTTCTATTTTTTGGTGGAAGTGAATAGCCAGCAAGATCCTTCATTTACAGATGATAAGAAATCAGATTGGGAGATTCAATCTACACTGTAGTTTACCTTCATGGGTGATATTTTGAAACAGATGTTCTCAATAATTGCTGATAGAGGATCGTCATGGGGATCAGAGTCAGTTCAGAGCAAGTTATGGTGTCAAACCCCAGTATGTGTATCACACATTTCTATTTTGAGAACAATAGAGATAGGTATGTGCACATTCTTTTATTCTCCACCACTGATATTATTGTCCAGAGTCTCAATTGCTAAAAGTTGTTTGGTGGGCACAATGAGGGCTATAATGTCCTTTTCCTCCTTTATTGCTCTCGCTGAATGCCAAAAATTGCAGTGCCTTCTCACTAATTTGAAAATTTTGGTGGTGATCCTCAGTCATTTCTTCTAAAGATCCAGTGACTTAAAGGAGCTCCATGCATCTAGATAATAGTCTTCCTAAAGCCAAGGGCAAGGATGCTATTAGTGGTGAATTGATTCTCCAAAAATACACATTTCTTCACCTTGAAGCGCCACTTTTCAGCCAGGGATGTCTCACATTTTTATTGAAGCATTTGTCAAATTACATGAGTTTCTCTTAGAATTTGGTCTTAAAACTTAACTCTATAAGACTACCTTATAATGTGAGAACTGTCCAAGCTTCATAAGATTTACCTAAGCAATATCTCTTGAGTTGATGAGTGCATGGATAAAGAAAAAAGGAGCAAGGGGATTTTAGAAGAATCACAAGCGTGACTAGAAATCTTGTTGCTCATAAAAACATGTCTCTTAATTTTGTATTTCATGGACTCTTAAACCATAGACTTGTTTGCTTTGTTTGTAATTGTAGAATAGAATTTTTAATTGGTTTTAATTGAGCAAGTAGATACCTAGTTGGACCTTAATTGGTCACATCAATTGAAGGCCCAACAAAGTATCCAAGTGACACACATCATGAAGGCAAAGGAACATGGAAAGCATGACAACCAAAGTTGTCAAAATCACAATTCAAAATGAAAGATAATCTACACTCTTTTCTCTCTTCTTTGATTCTGCGTGCCACAAAATAGCAATTTTTGTGGATCATGTGAAATCATTGTTGAAGATTGAGATTCACGTGGGTGCACTGTCTCTATCTTTGTGGGTTCAATGACGCTGGCATGCGCCAATGTCCCTGTCAAGTGGGTGGTGACTCATCTCTGTTGCGTAGGTGGGGTGGATGCAATGCCTAAGTGCGACAGCTGGGTCGCTGACTGCATCACTGGGTGATAGGTGGGTTGTAAGCGTGGCAGCTCCAAGGTGAGGCTATCTACCTTATTCCATGACTTAAATTTAATTAGGTTAAATCTCCTCATCAGCTCAACATCCCTAAAGCCCAATAAACAGGCCCAATCCCACTTTCAGACTAACAAAAAATAAAAGAAGTGCAAAGGCAGCCTCGATCAAAATTAATTAAAACATCCTCCTAAGGAAAGAAATCTTCCTCTTCTCTTCTCATGTAGCTGCCGACTGTGACTTAAAAGCCTACAATAAATATTCCTTTAACGGAAAATAGATACCAATATGTATTAAAAACCTAAAAAAATAAACAGAGTCTTCCTCTTCTCATAATTTGTAACTTAAAAACCTCTTGATGCACAATAACTTACTCCAAGACTTCTTCTCTTCTGCAATTCGGATGCTGTCATTGTGCAATTTACAAAAATAAACCTTTCCTATCCCTCTTCTTTTACGTAAACATTAAAAGAGCTTATTATATTTTTTTTATTATCATATCAAATTGAAATTTACATATTTGGCATATATATGAATTTCATAAATTTTGCAGGATCCTACAACCTGGGTTGCAATCTTTCGATTTACACTACCCATTCCAATTTTAAGTAAGATCTTGATTTTGACTACATGATGACAACAAAGGAACACAGGAAGCATGGCACCAAGTACACTGATTATGGATGAATCTAGTCATATTTTGGACATTCAAACCAAGAAAAGGAACATGTGCGAGTAGTGCCAATTTGAAGAACATTATAGAACTTTTAGGCACCAAAGCAGTGCATTTTAGTGCACATTAGCTCAAGAATATTGTAGACCTTGTCATAGAAGGCACCATGCCTATATTGAGCTTATCAAACACTAGGTAGTGTTTGACCCAGTTATTTTAGTCTTCGCTTTTCCTTCTAAGGATAAGCTAGGGAAACAAAATTTGAAAAGAAAAAGGACTTCCAAAACAATAGTTTTTTTTTTAATGAAAATAATTAAAAAATAAGCTTTTAAAAATGGTAGCAAATTTTTCGAGTTTTTGGCATCTCCTCCCTCTTTAAAACAAATTTCAAGGTCTAAGGTCACTCACCCAAAATTTTGACTTAAAAGTAATTTCTTAGCTCAAAAAATGTATTAAGTACAAAACAACTTCAACATTGAATTTAAAGCTCTTGAAACATTAACTTTAAAGTAGTTTATAAGACCAAAAAAATACATGTCATAATAGTATTTATGGCTTCTAACTAGAGCATTCATTGCTGTTTCAAGACAATTCACATTATTGATATGCTGATATATAGTGTTGTTGCATTCATGATTATTGTTCTGTTTTGGAGTATACTTATATTCCTCTTCATACTGTCATTTTTTTCCTCTCAAATAAAATTTCTGTTTACAAAAAGAAGAGCTGACCTTGAGACATTGACGACGATTCTCGCGAGCACTTGCACCAGGAGGAGCAGCAGCACCAAGAAGACGTGGCAAACCTCCTTGAACTGTTGGGATGTATGAGGCTCCTGCAATGCCTGAAAAGATATCTATGATTACAGCTCAAGTTGTCATGAAAGACACTACATGAGAGTTGAAATTTTACAAGCAGGTAATAGAGACAAGACAGATAGAGATACAGACACATGCATAATAAATGCATCTAAACAGGGTAGTATGAAGTACATACTCCCACCTTTTTGATTATGTGAGCACTGAGTGATGGAATCAACAAGAAAGAACAAATCCACTTTACGATGAAAACTAGTTTCGTTTTCCAGCTTTCGGATAAGAAGTTCAACAACCTGAACATAAACTTCAAAGTAAGTAAACTACAAGCAAATTAGCGATCACATTGATGTTACAGTCGGCACTTCAATTTGCTTCACATATCTATATTTGATACCAATACTTTTGGATAGTTCACAATACATATCAATGCATTATCATGCCTACGCAATAATTTATGAAAATAAAAAACAACTACATGAGACACATAATATAGAAACATGAAAGCATTGTCCAGTGTATTGATATATAAAAAATGAAAATTGTTCTTGTTATGGAAGATTTCAAGAAAGAATGAGATTGATATTATTATTCATATTTTTATAGGAAATAATTTATGATGACAATTATTTACATATTTTGTGATATGTTAAGAATGTTCTTAGTTTAGATTTGTAGAATTGAAATTAGATAACCATTATTCTGTTTTATGAATTTTTATACATACCTAGATATGTATCTTATATCTATTGTATCCTGCGTACTGAATATCCGAGCATCATAGCAAAAAGTAATTACACAAGCATAAGGACATGATTCTATCTGTTATCTGATTTGTTGTTTTAGAAATAAAAAGAACATGAAAAAGCATACCTCATTGGCAATGCCATACTTGGCACAATCAATGGCTAAACGAGTTGCACGCCCAATACTTTCCTTGGTCCTAGACAAAGTCTCTATCATTCCTTCAAAGGCATCACGTGCAACGACGGCATCAGTACCCCCACTCAGAGAGCCACTTACATCCCTTTGCGCGGAACTAACTCTTTTCTCCTCATTTTCATCAGCATCGGGTTGATTTTGAGAAATGGATTGATACCCATTAGTTGATGGAGAAACCAATGTCGGGTGTTCATTAACTCCCTGCCAATCAGCCTGGTCAATATTGCTTGAGACAGACAGAAATGGCTGAATTGTAGAGGGGCTAGGTGTTCCCCCTTGAGTATAGTAGATGCCATGAGGATGATGACATTGAGCTTGAGCTACTTGTTTCCGTTTTGCCTGTGCAGCTGCAATAAGATGCTTCATAGTCTTAGGAGTTTCTGGAGTCCTAGAAACAGTATATAGACTACTTTTTTCTTCCATGCCCACCTCAATTCTGTAACAATGTAAATAAACAAATGGAAATGAAAAAAAAAATCCAAACAATAAGATATAGAAACAAAAAAAAAAAAAATGTACCCATCAACATGAAAAGCATCAAATTCCTTTAAATTTTCTGTTTGAACAGGAACTTCAACAGCCTGTGGTAATGTCTTCGGTGTAGTTTTAGAAGTATCCACTGAAGGCTTTTTTTTATGAGTAGTGACCTGACTCGGTGAAGAGCTGATGCTATTTAAATTCTTTGAAGAACCATTATCAGCCTTCTTTTGAGTAGTACTGGAAACTTGAAGCATACGTTTGGAAGATTTATGTGGCTCAGCATTTGACTTTGTTGTAGTAAAAGAATGACGTGAATTTACAGGAGAGATGGAGCTCAATTTATCCACCACCTTGGGAGGCAATTGCTTTGAATCGAATTTCCCAGGACTATGTGGTAAATGGACAGGAATAACTTCATCAATCTCCTTTTGAGGATGCCCAGCTGACAAATTGTCATGTAATTCAGAAGTGGGTTCTTTAAAATGGCTATCCTCAAGTGCACTAGGTTTTCTGATAGCCAGCTGAGCAACATCAGTGTTCTCTAGCAATGTATCATTGTTCTTCACAACCTCCGAAACCAAAGGTGATTTAATATCTTTAGCACCTCCTCCATGAACAGGAGTCTTGGGGTCATCATCATCATCATCATCATCAAAAATGCACACAGCTCTCCGTCTCCTCTTTACTTGTTTGGTTGTAAGATTATTTGTGTCACCTTTCAATCGAAGAGAATTCCTCTCTGTTTGTTCACCAGAAACAACAGTAGCAGAATCAGGCATAGCCTGCTGGACTTGGGTGTGATGTTTTGTTTCGGGCAGCAATTCACCAACAGAATCATCAGAACCTACAATGCTGTTCTGACCCCTTGATTGCAAACCTTTTTCTGTTTTCAATCGTGATGTAGACCTTTTCAACTCTATTTGTTTGAACTCCTTGTCATCAACACCAGGAAAGCTAGGGGAACCATTATTCCCATCATCAGACACAGATTTTGGAGTTTTATGGTCTTTGTCATCCATACACTTCAACTTCTTGGTAGCATGTGAAGTTGCATTTGGTCCCAAATTACGTTTTCCATGAACTTGGGTTTTGTTTTGCTTAAAAGATTTTTTTCTCTCAGCCTCGAAACAAACCGAGCCCTCCTGTAACTCATTTTTAGCCTTAAGACTTGTTTTAACTTTCAGCAAGTTCTTATTTTTACTTCCACTGTTAATATCAGAGTCTAATTTAAGAGCATCTACAGAATCTGATTTAACAGAAAATGAATCTTTTCCTTTTTTTCGATCTTTCAATTTCTCTCCAGACCTGGAAAGATCAGCATAACCTGCACAACTTTCATCCTTCAAAAATGCTCTACTAATTTCACCACTTCTTTTTCTATCATCTGCAGTTTTGCTTCTCCTTGAGCCAGTGACAGGCTTTCTTGAATTGCTCCCATTTGTAGAAATACTCTGTACATTATCAGCTTGCTTTAAGTCATTAACATTGCACACATCCTCAACATCTGACCCTTCCACTTTAAGAGATGATTGTTCATCAACATTAGATTTGCTACTATGCTTATTTAGCTCTGCACCAATTGATGGTTTACTTTCAATTACATGAGACAACACTGGAGAAGTACTGTCAATTGGACGGCCAGATACAGAAGGTTTTGCCCCTTGACTACCACTTTCATCACATCTCTGTGTACACTGCTCCGAATTTGAGCCAACAACTCCCCCATATGTGTTAGTTTTTTCTACGTTTAGAACCACAGCATCAGTGGCATCCTTTAGGTGAGTCACTACACCAGCAACAGAAGGGGTTTCTGAACCAAAATGTGAATCATCAGTCTCCTCTTTCAAACCGCTAGCTTTCTGTTCCTCCAACTCGTCAAATGCTGCACAGATTTCCTTCACAGCTTTGGTAAAGTATTTTGTCTTGCCTTGACACCGAGCAGACAACTTAGTTTTAGTCTCATTGGTGAATGCCTGAATATCCGTAGGGGCAACAAAAGCTCTATGAAAGAAAAGTCACAATGTAAGAAGATAAATACAAGATGGTCAATCTAACTAACAATAAACAGTAAGGTAAAAACAACTAACATAGAAATCATAAAAAGAAAATACTCGGTTATTTAGAAAAAGGTCAACAAATTCCTTGGACCTTATACATACATGGCTACCGTCAAAGTTGTCTGCTAAAGAGTTAGGATTGACAGATTTCTAAAATGAATCACATAAATTGTTAGCAGAAAATAACACAAAAAGAAAAGAAAAGGTGGAAAAAGGAGAGTTCTTTAAATAAAACCAGCAACTTAATTTAAAATATAAAATAAAAGCTTAAATGTTACACACATGCACATAGTAGAAAAAAAAACAAAAAAAGTATAAAGCATCAGAATGAAAAGAAAAAGCTGAGTTGTTTTGAAGATCTCACACTGACTAGAGATTTGACCATTAATAGTGTATTTAAGTGAGCAACAACCCTCATCTCATAAGCTAACTTTTGGGGTTGAGTTAGCCTCAAACCCAAATTCTAAAATAATTGAGATCAAAGCTTCCTTGCAAAAGCGTGACACTGTGCAATTCTGTTATATATAGACCACAGCCTTATTTCTTCTCCTATCTCTCAGTCTGCCCAACTAACATAACTAGCAGAAACCTTACTACTAATAGTATCTATCAGTCTCTTCCCTCCTGTCTTACAAACTGCCACTCATTGGAACAACTCTGTGACAAGTATATTGAACAAATAATAAATTCTGATATGGATAGGGGGAAAATATGTGCTAAAGCTTTTTGCAATGATCACAATTATCCTTTTGTAGATAGTGATTATCATCTTCTGATATGGTTATATATTAATGAGAAATTATCAATGTCTCTTTACAAGCATCGCGCGTATATGGAAAACATACAGTTTCTAATGAACTTGTGTGTTAACATATCTAGGCCCTTGTGTGAGTCATATACACGTCCACTAAATTACTTCACAACCTAGCATACAAATCTAGGCCGTTCAATCTCTTGACAACCACTAAATTACTTCACAACCGATCTATTCACACATTGATAAGAGAAGGTTTAAAATTGCAAAGCTTTTCGACTAAATTGCATGATGTGGCTGCAATGTCTAAGTTTCTGTGGTAGCCACAACAACTGTAGGCTGTTATAGCTAACCACATTGGCCACAACTACAATTTAAAACCATGTGGTAAACTATAAATGCTTGAATTAAAATGAGAGAGAGACTCACATTTCTTTGGTCCCAAAAAATTGAACAAAATATTTCTTGGGATCAGGGGATTTCTCCCAATCTTCAGGCCTGCTTATCTGAAGATACAGAATAAACAAAATCGGTAACCTCAGCATTAACTAACAAGCGAAAGTTCAACCTCAACAGGAACCTAGTCAACAATTTAACCATACATAAAAATCACCAAACATAGAGACAGAAGCATAATTATACTCTCCTACAAATTAAATAATGAGAAAAAAGAAAAAAAACAGAGATCAATCGAAGTACCAAAATGGCCATGCAATGTTCGCCTTGAAAAGTGCGTGCACCCACTCAACGCAAAATAAAATCCCTACGAAGAATGCAAAATCCCCTCACAAGCAAAATTTCTCAAAAAACTACACCCATCCATGCGGAATCGAAGCAACACAGAGATTTCAAAAATATACAGAAATTTCGAAAAGGAAAATCCAGAAAATAAAAGTTCGATAAAGCGAAAGCGCACCATCGCAGGCCAATACGGGAATCCCTTAACCTTAGCGAGCACGAGATCGCCCAACCTCAAGTGGCCATTGGCCTTCGCCTTGTTCGCTCCACGTCGGCGCGGCGGAGGCATGAGGGCGGCGATGCCACGGAGCGCACAAATAACGATCAGAAAACCCTAGAAAAATCCAACAGAACTGCCGCGGGTATCTCCGGCTCGGAATCTCCGGCTAAAGCAGCGTCGGACACGGAGAGGCCGCCGGCATTGACAATGGCGGCGAGAGAAAGAGAGAGAATCTGAGATAGTGAGAGAATCGTTGAAAGTAGTGCAGAAAGAGGAGAGAGAGAAAGAACGGTGAATTCGTTCGTAAGAGTGTTGTTGCTTTGGAAGGAAGGAGTATAGTATTTGAGCAAATGGGAAGGTTTATATGATCCTTCTTCTCTTTTGTTTTTGGGCCACTTTCTCTCTCTCTATCTCTATTAACGTTGTTTTTCAGCTTCTTTCTTCCCTTTATGTTGCACTCGCATAACATTGCATGAGAGGAATCTCAATCTATAAATGCAACTATTTATTATTTATTTTGCTTTTCTTCAACCAACAACAATTACACTGCAATATATAATAGTTTAACTCCTAATGTGCTTGGTTAATTATGGTTTCAACAAAAATTAAAAATAAAATAAAATAACACTTTTTTTTATTATTTCCTTTTTCACGTACCAAACACTATTTAATGGTTTATTGTTTTAAGCTCAAACTTGTCAAATTATTAATCACAATATTAGAATAATTAGGATGAAAAATAAATAGTGTTTGTTAAAATAAATCATCTTTTTCTTTTCACTTTTATTAACAAGATAGAGGTGGTAATAAATATTTGTATTACCATTTTTCTTTTAGAGAAAAGAATATGCATTTTTTAGGAGAGATAAATTTATTGATCTAAATAGTAATATTAAGTGTGGACAATAGAACAGAACTCTCAATATGTTTAACCTAATTGTTCAATTTCTGCAAGTTTAACTTAAACATTCTAACACAAGTCCATAATTTGGATTAGCTTTAGTCATTTTAATTATATATACAAACTAAGTTTTTAATTTATTTTTAATATATAAATAAAAATAAATAAAGGATCCAATTAGTCCAAAAATATTTTTTTTATTCCTATAAATTTTTTTCTGTGTTTCATTCCTTGAAAATTTTACAATTATTGATTTTAGTTTCTATGAATTGAGTGAATTAGAGGTGGTACAAGAGATTTGTGGATGGATCAATCCAAATAGCTTATGAAATGATTTGAACCAACCTAAATAATTAATGGCCAAAATTGAAGTAAGTTAACCTAAGTCATTTAATCCTAAATAGGCTTAGATTGAACTTACTCAGTTTGTGAATACGTTTATCTTTAAAAATAATAACTATGATAAAAGAAAATAAAAAACTATTTTATTAAAAACATGTACATATATTATAATTTATATATTAAATTACTGTATCTAAAAATTTAAATTAATTTTTTTACATAGCTTAATTTTAAAAATAATTGTTTTATTTAGCTTTTCAAATTTAGCATTTTTTTTCTCAATTTAAACGATCTTATATAAATTCAAACAAGACCTCGGTTGTGTGATTTATTTAAAATATGAATATGAATCAACAGATTTGTTTATTTGAGACTCTTTCTTATTGAATGATGATATCTAAGCATCTTAAGGAACTAATACAATAAATTTGAAGAAGCATTATGAATCACAATATTCTTGGTAGATTTTTTTTTTCCCTGCGTCATTTTCTTTATCTACAAAACTCAAATTGAAAATCTTATTTATGCTTTTGTTTAGATTTAGTTAGATTTGAAGAATGAATTTAAGGGAATAAAAAAGAAAAGAAAAGAAAATAAGGGTATGGCTTTTGCTCACCACAACTATTAATAACAAAGATTTTGCTGGTCATAAATAAAATAATTCATTTATATTAAGACCAACCACTATATATCATTTGACGGTAATATACTGATTTCTACAATGTGAAATTTGAGGGAAGAAGAACAAAATCTAAGTCACCAACTCCTATCATTTTACAAATGGTTACTTTCTTTCTTCACACTAATACAAAGATTTGTGCCCCGTGTGAACATCCACATAATCTAATAACAATAGAGGTCAAAAGAAAATGTGAACAGATGTTATGAAACCTACCCTGCCTTTTTGCCAACACAACCAATACAGGATGGATGCTCACAAAATACAAGAAAAAAAAGGGAGGGGCCAGGGTGAGAATGGGTGGATTTACATCATGATGTTGAATTAGAGAACACATTTTGAACCTTAAAATCTAAGCTGCATCATAGGGGAACTAACAATAATCATGCAGAAATTGGAAGTTTGCATTCTCAAGAAGTTCTGCAGGAGGTTTTACTTTTGGAATGTTCTTATCTTGAGAAGAAGTAGGGATCTCTTCAACTATAATAGGATGACTGCAGTTTGAAAACAGTGAAAGGTGAAGAGTTCAGTTTCAATTAAAATTAATTTTCTTGTAACTGATCGTAATGTATATTTGTTGAGTTTACCTTGTGTTGTCCTCCATCAAGAAAGATTTGTTATCTTCATCATCATCATCAGTCATTAGAAGCTTTAATCTAGTAGTGACCTGCGCATGCGCATAGAAGTGATTACAATAGCTAATATTCACACAACAAAGTTATGGCTGAGAAGGAAAAATGTGATTAGATAGATGCAACTTACATCTGTTGATACACTTTGTTTTTTTTCATCATCATCATCAGAGTAAAGTGTACATATTCTATAAAGCTGTTGAGCACTCAGGACCTACATTTAGCACATATATATATATATATATAGATGTTACCGCACCTCTTGATAAGTAATACAAAGTGTTGATAGAAAGAAAAGCTTACTTTCTAAACACAAAAGGCAGAGAAAGAAAGATCTTTCCATGTTTTGTTCATATAAAGAAGATGTAGTCAAAGTTAAAGTTGCAGATCTCTGTTAGCTTTGTAATAAGTTAATGTTTGGATATTGTTAGTTAGCTGTTCATATTTGTATCACAAGCATGATCATGTATTCATAGCTTTAACGTACACCTGTTGTCAATCACTCATATCAGACGAAAACACTTACAGGGCATATGTCATTTGTAAGATCATCATAGGATAGCTCATCCTTTTGTGGTGCAACCTGGAAAAATGGTTTCATCCAAAATTAAAATGCGTGAGAGGAATGAGTGTTTGAAGATTTAGTAAACTTCTTCTTATGTGTTCTATATTTACGGTATATTCACATGCCATCTTGCTAATCTAATCTCTCAATGGGAAAGAAAGTCTTGAGTAACATGTTAATCAATTGGTTTATTTTGATCCAACGTATGAAGTCTGTTTACAATGCAAACGTAAGAAGTAATAGGCATACCAAGAATCTAACTGCTTGTATTGCATGTTTGAGTTCATCCAAAGACGAGCCAATGTACTGCAACAGAGATAGTTATTAGCTGAATACGAATTAGAATGCTAGGAACATACTCCCTGACACTCTTAAATCACTGCTCACAAAATGTATGTGACTTCAATGTGCATATTGAAGTAACAAAGGGGTGGATACAGTGTACCTCTTCCGTTGCTTCATTACACCATTCTTCTAGTTCAGCCAACCCTGATTTTATATATTCCCCATGTTTCGTTGTGCAGCATTCTCCATGCAAAAGAAGGCTGAAGAACATAGCATCCCCAATCACAAGTCAACCCATGTGTAATGCCTATAATTAGTCCATTTAGAAGGGGCTGAATGAAGCAAGACATGCTTACCTATTAAAGATTTCCACATTGATGTATTGAAAAATTTGATTAAATAGCTTCTGAACTAGAACAGTAGGTACCTGGACAAAACATGAAATCAGTTTGCTCTATAACATTAAAATGGACTTGGAAGGCAAGGGGTGTAAAGATACCAATTCACTGCACTACCAAACCTTCACATACATAGTTTTCTTTCATAATCTTGAGATATTTATCAAGGCATTCCTTAATGCTGAGCCAAGAACCAGCTTGTTCGCTGTTGTCATTTGATGCTCTATCTGCCTGAAGTCATATTGTCATATGTAAGTTGAATAAGCATAATGAAATTGACCCAAAGTCTGTTTAGATAAATTGACACAAATGCTAAAATTAACTTATGCATAGTTTAATTTGTTGAAGTTTTCTTATGTTAGTCTCTTCAAAAGATTATTTCATTTTTTGCTTCTTATTTTCTTCTCCTATAAGTACTTATGGTGAAATTTATCCAAATAGATTTAACTCAACTAGATACAGATTGTGCTCTGCCCTACAGACATGCGAGAGACATCTTCAAGCCAACCATGAACCCCCAATTTTAGTTTTTTAGAGATTGGAGAAAAAGAAATACACTTTCTTTTTTCCACAGAGGCAACAATCTATAAATCTAAAACAAAGTGTTCAATGATGCATGCCTTTACATGAATGAACAAGATACTAATACATAAAGACATCAGGAGAAAACAAAAGTGTTGAAGAATAATAACATCCAGTGAGAGAGGGGGGAGAAGAAATATTTAAAATAAAACTTTCAAGATGTGAAGTTAATGGCAATAGGAAGTTACTTTGAATTTCCTGGGCATCAAGACAAATTTATTGGTAAGATTTACACAGGATTAGTGCATAAATTAAGTACGGCTAAGCAAAGCTAGAACCACTTAATTCCGCTTATGATACTAATCCTAACAGTGTACATTTTCCTGCACACAGGCACCATATGCATATTCTTATTATTATTAAAAAAGTCTAACTCAACTTTCCAAAATCGGCTAGTAAGATTAGGTGTGCATCCATTTGTATATTATAATTAGACCATATTTCTAGTTAATAAGAGATCTCAATACATACGAAGACATACTCCAAGAGAAAGTATACAGCCTCCATACCTGAATGCAAGAAGAAAGCAGAGGTGACAAGTCTGTCTTAAAATTTTCTCTAACGATTCCATATATCTTTTCCACATAAGCTGCAAGCTGTTGCTTGAAAAGCAAAGCTGGATACTTGGCATCAACCTGATGCACTACATCAAAAGCACTGCTCGAAAGACTATTAGATGAGCGGAAACCCTGAGAAACAACATCAAATTCCGTATAGTGAGTTTAATGGCATTATCTTTGTAATCAATAGTTATAATATTTATTAAGTTAAATACTATTATTTACAGGTGACCATCTAAAATGAGAAGAATAATGTATATGGATAAGAATAACCTTTTTTCCCTCTTGACACAAAAATCAGACCACAAAATGAATCTAATATTATTTTTTATCACAAAAGTTGTTAGCATAGAACAAGGTGCAATATAAAAGTATAATTGAATTTTATCGATTTTAGAGACCAATTCTTACATATTTTCCTCTCATCTTCTCTGGCCTTTACTGATAATGAATTTTAGACACTTGCATGCTACGAAGCAAAGTGTATTCATATAGCATGTTATAGACAATAAGGACATAAAAGCATCCTACTGACAACCTTCAATTATTGGTTATACATTTGTAACATCCCACAGTCTAATTAATTTCATAGCAGAGTATAATGTATAGCACCTAAACAATCATATCCACAAATAGAATAGTATGACCCAACATGGACTTATGCTCAAGACATGTTAACTTGGATAGCAATAAAGAAACTTGATACCTGAGCCATCCTCCCAAAAAATGATGTTGGAGTTGGTGGTTTCCGTGCTGCAGGTACTCTTAGGCATCGATGAAGATGGAAAAACAAAGAAGATGTGTTGGATAACCAATAAGCCATACAATCATTTTTGTCTGGATCCTGCAAAAAATTTAAGTGGAATATCATGTGAGACCACATTAAAATAATCATGTGTCGCCCTTATCTAAACACCACGCACACTTTTTTTCAATAAAATGGTAGTGCTAAAGAACACCAAGCACACAGACTCTTTTTAATGTGTTTTTCATTTTTTGGTTGGTGTGTTTGTAATTATGATTATAGAAATGCTACATTGTTTTCACAGTTTTGCAAAGTAAAAGACAATGATTTTGCTATTTATACCTTTTATCTAACCGTGATTATTTATTTACCAATTGTCTAGAGAATGAGAATATTATATCATCTAACCTTTCTAAATTAAATAAGGCCTTTTATGACCTTAAGCAGTCCTTGCTTGTTTGGTTTTGATGGTTCACTCAAACTATAATTTAGAAGGTTCACTAAGTCAAGGTGATCATACTCTTTATAACACATTCTTGGGAAGGAAAACTTTTAGTGCTTTTGGTCTATACAGATGATACAATTATGATTATAATAGATGATAATGAGCTTGAAAGATTGATTATAAGGAGAATTAGATATTCATCTTGGGATGAAGGGTCATAAGAAGCTGAAGTATTTCCCTTGGATAGAAATTACCTACTCTAAGCAAGATATATTTGTTTTTTCAAAATAAAATATATGATAGATCTTCTTTAACTTTTAGAGATAGTAAGTTTGATTTGTAAGACTTTTGGAGTACCCTAGAGAAAAATCACAACTTTGGAAGTGATACGAGATCGAGAACTCAAGGGTAGAGAAAACCTAATATTAAAAACTTGTGGGAAAACTCATTATCTTAGACTAAGCCTGACATAACTTATCCAGTTAGTGTGGTTAAAAAGTTCATGCATGATCTATAGGAAATCACTAACCAGCAGTAAATAGAATTATTTAATATCACGCCACTAAAGAGGACTTTAAAAAGGAGGACTTGCATTTGTTAAGGTGGAAATGTGGTGACATGGAGGGGTAAAAGGTAAAATGTAGTTACAAGATGAAGCGGAAAGTCAGAATTTAGAGTCAACATAAGGGGTTTGCGAGTTGTTATGGATGAATATTGTTCCCAATGACTCCAGAGTGAGGCGTGAAGCTCCTAAAAGACTATTTTATGATAACAAGTATGTCATCAACATTGCAAACAGCCTAGTTCTGCATGAAAGGACAAATCATATAGAGATAGATTGAAACTTCCACACCTCACTAAAGAGAAATTAGACAGCGGTTTTGTCTTACAGACACATTGTACGCCATGTCATGTCTTCAGTTAGTTAATTATCTTGTACAGATTCTTAGACTATTGAAAGTTATCCAGCTTTTTAATTTCCTGAAATCCTTAATAAATGTAATGCGCTCTATATATAAGAGTGTAATCATCCTTTTTAATAAACTTAAATAAAACATAAAAATTCGGTCACTTCTTTTCAAATCTTTGAAGTTTTCAAGTCTGTCTCGACAAATTTACTGAACTATGCCGCTGGCATCAAAGGTCCACAGTAGCAATTAGGCTGTAATCACAGTGCTCTGCCTTGGATAGCCAACAATAAATTATTTTCAGTAGTACAAATCATTAGTATTTGAATATCATTTGCATTGTGTAGATTCAAGTTGGAAGTCTCACATCGTCTGCCTCAGGTCATTTGGTATGGTTTAAATATATGTTAGGCTACTCCACATATTGCCAATTGGTTTTATGTTGGAACCTTAACATAGTATCAGAGCCTGGTTTCGATCCTTTATTGTCATGGTTGAACTAATTTTCAAAGACTAAATCTGATAAACTTTTTTCCTCTAGCAAACAAATGCAAATGGTTTGAGCAAATAAACAGTTACCTCTATTTCAGAACCAATAATCTGAATAAGACGATCAAATATGCTTGTTTTTTCTGCTTCAAAAGATTTCCAATGTAGCAGACAATTGTAAAGGGTAAATGCTGCAACAGGTTTTCCTTCAGAGAATCCAAGATCTTTTGTCACACATTTGAAAAGAATTTCTACACTCTCCTACACAACAGGGAAATAGAACAAAAAATAATCTGACTAAATGCTGCAAAAGTACATAAAAGTATAAATTAAATATATTATTAAGAAACAATTATTGTGCAATAAGCATACTTGATGTCTCTCCATAAGAGATCTCCTTACTTTACTATCTTCTGAACCAAATGTTTTTGCTGGATTAGAAGTCTGCTGTGCCTATAGAAAATAGACTTTTCTTCAAAACCTTGATAAAAGGACAGGTGGAGAACTTTTCTTTCTTGATACAAAGATAATGCATAAGCTACAAGAAAAGTTAAAGGGATTTCAAATCCAAGTCCTTGATTACCTGCTGACCATTTTCCTGAGGCTGTAGTAGCAAGAGCAGAAAAATACATTAATATTATCTCCAGTAGGGGTAAACAAGGATGATAGTCAACTGTTGTGACGAAGAATTATTAATTCACATAACTCATTAACTTGGTTTAATTGAAATTTTCCAAATTGTCCCCATTGTGTGAATAGACAACTAAGAATACAATTACATAGGAGCTAGGTCCAGCGTTAAAAAAAAAATGGTTTAATTGAGGATAAATTAAAAAATATCAATTAAAAGTAATTGATGTGGAATGTGAATAGACAACTAAGATTACCAATTGCCTCACTTTAATAAGAAATGATCTTGTATTTACCGTAGTTGTGGCAGGTGAAAACTTTCCTGACATTCTTTTGGATGATGAACTCAACAAGGTTTGCTGCCGCAAAACTTGATTCTCAGTTTCCATATCAGATACTTTTTCTTCAAGCCTAGCTCATAAGAAAATAACATATCAAACTAAAGAAAACGTCTCATATTCCTTATAATGAAAATCTGAAAAAACGAAGACCAGCATAAGAACCTCTGCATATTTGTCTTTATCTCAATCATCTTTGATTCTGTCTCTATAATTTGATTCATGCGCTCCTCACTAAGCCTGTTACATTCTTCATATTTCATCTCTGTTTCATCAATTTTTCTTTCCAGTGAATTAACCTGACCCTGCAATGCTTCAGGAGTTATTTTTCGAGTTATCACAACCTAGAACATAAATTTTTAATATTTATTATGTAATTTATACCTTAAGATTTGCATTTTCTGCCGCAAGTTTACTAACCAACTCATTGTCGGTAACATTCTCAGGAGACTCCTGTACAGTTTTATATTCCAATGAATTGATAACTCCCTTAAAGCATAAAAAATGACAAATTTAAAAACCTTATTACTTAATTTGTACCTTAAGAGGTTCATTTTCTGAGGCAAGTTTATTGATCATTTCATTGTCAGTAACATTACCAGGAATCTCCTGTACCGTTTTCTTTTCCAATGAATTAATCCGTTCCTGTAAAAACATATAAAGCAACAATTACAATACAACAACAGAAACTTCAAACACTTATTATTTAATTTATACCTTAAGCTGCTCATTTTCCGAAGCAAGTTTATTGATCAACTCATTGTCAGTAACATTAACAGGTAACTCCTGTACTGTTTTCTTTTCCAACGAATTAATCCGTTCCTGTAAAGCATAACATAATAATGATAACAATAACAATAACAATAAAAATACCAATAAACAAATTTCAAAAAATATATTATTTAGTTTATACCTTAAGATGTTCATTTTCTGAAGTAAGTTTATTGATCAACTCATTGTCAGTAACATTATCTGGAAACTCCTGTACAGTTTTCTTTTCCAACGAATTAATCCGTTCCTGTAAAGCATAAAATAATAATGACAACAATAACAATAGCAATAAATAAATTAAAAAAATTATTATTTAATTTATACCTTAAGATGTTCATTTTCTGAAGTAAGTTTATTGATGAATTCATTGTCAGTAACATTATCTGGAAACTCCTGTACAGTTTTCTTTTCCAACGAATTAATCCGTTCCTGTAAAGCATAAAATAATAATGATAACAATAACAATAGCAATAAATAAATTTCAAAAAATTTATTATTTAATTTATACCTTAAGATGTTCATTTTCTGAAGTGAGTTTATTGAACAACTCATTGTCAGTAACATTATCTGGAAACCCCTGTACAGTTTTCTTTTCCAACGAATTAATCTGTTCCTGTAAAGCATAAAATAATAATGATAATAATAAAAATAGCAATACATAAATTTCAAAAACTTATTATTAATTTATACCTTAAGCTGCTCATTTTCTGAAGTAAGTTTATCGATCAACTCATTGTCAGTAACATTAGCAGGTAACTCTTGTACAGTTTTCTTTTCCAATGAATTAATCAGCTCCTGTAAAGAATAAAGTATAACAATAACGTTGGATACCATATGACACACCGGGAAGCATAAATTTCTCCAACACTTTTTATGTAATGCTTACCTTGAGTTTATCATTTTCTGCCGTAAGCTTGTTGATCAATTCATTGTCAACATCATTAACAGAATTCTCCTGTATAGTTGGAGTTTGTTCAGCTACTTTCTTGGCAGCCTCTTGTTCCTGAATGAGTGCGGCCTTAGTTTCTTGGAACTGAAGCTCCATCTCTTGCAAAGCATGCTGTAGTTTTTCAGTTTCCTGTGTCTTGGCTTCCTTAATTTCTTGGAACTGAAACTCCTTCTCTTGCAAAGCATGCTGTAGTTTTTCAGTTTCCTGTGTCTTGGCTTCCTGAATTTCTTGGAACTGAAACTCCTTATCTTGCAAAGCTTGCTGTAGTTTTTCAGTTTCCTGTGTCTTGGCTTCCTTAATTTCTTGGAACTGAAGCTCCATCTCTTGCAAAGCAAGCTGTAGTTTTTCAGTTTCCTGTGTCTTGGCTTCCTTAATTTCTTGGAACTGAAGCTCCATTTCTTGCAAAGCATTCTGTAGTTTTTCAGTTTCCTTTGTCTTGGCTTCCTTAATTTCTTGGAACTGAAGCTCCATCTCTTGCAAAGCATGCTGTAGTTTTTCATTTTCCTGTGTCTTGGCTTCCTCAATATCACAATGAACCAAAACATTTAGAATGTTGGTGAAATAATACAATTAAAAAAAATACTTTTATAGGTGAAAGAACCAATTAGCAATAGTAGGCATGAAGAACATGTCATGCTTCTATATGTTATTTACTGTATATAGATATATTACCCTCATTGCCTTTTCCTCTTCTAGACATGAAATTAATTCTTTGACTTGCTTTTCCAGATTATTTTTTGCCTCTTCAAGTGCCTTGGCTTCCCTGGCAGCCTGCAGTAAGTTAAAATTGAGATATTTTCAATTAACAGACGTTTATATACAAAACCATTGTATCAATATGATTAAAAGGATGTAAAATAGATATAGCACTAAATAATAGTAAAAAAGAGAGTGAAGAATCTGAAAGTTGTAGTATTGTCAGTGCTTCACATGTACCCAACAATATATATGTTACATTACCTCACAGTTACTGTAGAATAGAAAAATGGAGTTTAGCTAACTCTAGTAACTGACACTTCTCAGTTTATAATGCCCAAGTAAAGTTGGTCTCAAGCCTGATCTCTAATAGCACGAGATAACACAAAAATAGCCACATAATTGAAATTCTTACAAAGTTATATAATCTAAAAGAAAAACAGTATAATAGTAGACAATAGTGATATATAAAGACATTTATGGTAACAGAACTGATCAATTTCTTAAACAAGAATCAAAATGTTTAAGAATGACAGTTACTTTTAAAATGAAAAACACTTGCAGTTTGCTAATGCTTGAAGAATCAAGTAAAGTAATCAAGAGGGAAGAGGGAACACCATTTTAAGCTGTCGAAGTTCTCTGCGTGCTAATGTTCTCCTCCGGGAAGACTGTGTAAAAATTGTTACTTTCTTTAGCTTCCCGTAATAAGTTCGAGCAGAATAACCTCTGTATCGACCCTACGATAAGAAAGAAACTCGCATTAAATTAATCATATTTTATGTACAGTGCACCAAATGTCATATAACATGAATATGTGAATACTATTGAGACAAACAATTGCTCAAATCTTGTCAATTCTTTAACCTCAGGCTTGTTCTATCATTTATAAAATATTATAAACATTAAATTGAAAGAAAGGGTAAATAAAAAACTCAAATTTATGTTGAAACATTTAGTTAACAAAGAAAGTGATTTCAAATTAAGGTAACAATACACAAAGGGGAGTCCAGTAAACAAAGTTCCTTTCATTATGGTGTTAGTGGCCGGTAAAAAGTTTGCATCTTAATCCCCATGATTGAAAAAAAAAAAAAAAAAGGTCAGATATTAGTCCTCTTTAACTAAGAAGAAAATGCTCCTCTATCCCACCTGAATAATAATTGAAGCTTTTGTCCTTCTCCTGAATCTAAGTTCATTTCTAGCAGCCATCCCTCGCATACCAGTTTGAATATAAATAGCTGTGGCATAAATACTTTTGTAAGCATTTCTGGAAATATACATGCGGAAATCTTTCTGAATTTTCAAAGAAGCTGCTTCCCTCCTCATGCATTCATACTGATGTCGTGCAAGTTGTCCTACATTAAATTCATAACATGGAAAGGTACAATCAACATTTAATAATCTTTAATTATAGTAAAACACTATAAACAGTCCTAAAGGATTCACAGAAATGGCACCTTTAGCAACCCTTTGAAGTTCTACGGCAGAAAACTGCAATAAAATGTACTGTTTGCGACAGAGAAACATGCGGGCTTTTCTCTGAATAACACTTGCTGATAGTCCCAGGACCTCAGCACGACATGCATCTAGTTCTGCCATTTGACCAGCTCTCAGAAACACTTTTGTCTTTCCAATCTGCAATTTGAATAGTTCAGCAGGACAATTTTGTTTCCCTTTATGCTAAGTTCTTAAATGCAGCAATCACACAAGCACATGGATGGAATACAAGTTAACTTTGTTAGTAACTAGCTCAAACAACTCTTGTTTTCTCCATGGTGTTACTTTAACCAATGGAGAAGGAAAAAAATACTGTCCAAAAACATTAAATTCCAATTCATGTTAATGTAACATGTGGTGGAAACAAGGTAGAATCAATTACTATCCATCAGCAAGAAATGTAAATATTACAACTGAGATCAATAGAAACTCCGGTTAGATAAATTGGCACCTGATAGTCTTTAAGGTTCGCTCTATCTAGAAGCCTCTTGCAAGCAGTCATCTCATCAGGGCTGTGAATATATGATGATTGTTATTCGGATTTAAAAGTTCCACAATCAGATGATCAGAGTTGACCGGAAAAGGCAAAACAGAAAATGGAAAGGGATGAATATACCATGCTTTCAGAACCAGAGGTTCCAGGATGGTAAACCGCTGAACAAATTCATCAAAGGTCTTTCTAGTGGGATATCCAGCACAACTTATCCGAATTGCCTCCATCACTCCCTGTGAATGGCATCCACAAAGTCTCAAGTCACTTGGCCAAAATACTCATGTCATACCAGAGAACACAGCCAAAATGGTATTGAACTTACACCACATCGAAGCTGCTGCAACACATTATTGTTCTCGAATATCCCTGGCTTCAGAAGGTTATTTGGCTTTACACAACGAATGTAGTGTGGCTCAGTAGCATTTAGTGTTTCAAGCAAAGATTGCAGTTGTAGCTTTGTAATACATGCATCAAGAATAATAACAATAAATACAAGGCAGATAATTTGTATTTATATGCTTGGCAAAACAAAACAGACCTTAAACTGAGTGGCTATAGAAGAGAACTTTGTTGATTTTGTAGTTTCCTCAGGTAAAGGTGGGAACAACCCTGAAACAAAGGGGCACTTGGAAGCACTGAGTAGAGCAGCATGCTCCGGAACAACATAGTCTTTGTTTTTATCAAGGAAAAAATCAGTTTGATAAGTGACCTGTAATTGAAAATCATCATATGTTGAGCTGTTTTTTTTCTTTGTTGTTAATGGTGAATAACTATGTAGACCAAAATGTACTTCACTTACATCACCGGCATAGTGGTTAATGGTGAAGTCAGTACGAGACAACTTTGGCTTGCTGAAGCGTTTGTTGTCTTTAAAGGTTTGATATAGCTTTTCAGCAAATGTTTCATGCGTTGATCTTGGAAACATACTACAAAGAATAAGCAGGACAACCTCACAATCTCAAAGGTCATGCATATGCAGATATCATTACATAATACATATAGATATTTATTTAATGCAATATGAATAAGATTAGCCATTCCATATCTAAAAGAATAACCATAATACAGGTATTTGAACATTCAGTCATTAAATACATACCAGGCCTCATCCAGGAGAGCTATAACACCACCAGGTTTCTGAAGTTTTTGGGAGTATATCAATTAGAAATGTAAAATATAAGCAAACAAGTATATCTCAGTAAAGTTCAAATACATCTGAAGTTATATGTACAAGCAATTAACAGAATAATCACTGTTCATTATTCATAACATATTAACTTACTGATACGTTTTTATTTGAATGGAAGGTTTTAAAAAAAGTCATCATGAAAATGTTATACAATATATGTATTATCATCGCTATTTATTATCTTAGGTAAATGGTGAAACCGTCAAATATAAATGAAAATACATTAACACAAGAATGAGATGGCAAACTGATCGAACTTTCGTACAATGGCAAAATGGATGAAAGTGTGAGTTACACCTTCTCTATGAGATCAAGAACATCTTGATTATCAACGAACTCAATATAACTCCAATTAATCTCTTCCTTTGTATATTCCTCTTGCTCCATTTTGAAGACGTGCTGCATAAGGAAATGTGAATTGAGTCTCTATAGAAATTGTTTACCAGAAAACGAATTCCAGCAAAATGGAGAAAAAAACAACCTGGTTGAAATGTTGCTGTAATTTCTCATTTGTCAAATTGATACAAAATTGCTCAAAGCTGTGCGTGACCATTAGATACGAGAGTTCCAAAAGTTAGCAACACAGAAAAATAAAAAGGTGAATCCAAAAAATTTACATGATAGTCGTTAATTACAAAGCATAATATCACAAACATGAAAATTCCGCATTGTTGACAGTGACAATAGAGGTATACTTAACATGGCTTTCAACACATAACTAAAGCTTTAATTGAATAGCCATTTTTTGTTTTATACACTGTGTTTTTACTATCTTTACATCAACTTTGGTTAAAAGCCACACTACATTAAATCTTGTTCCATTTTACCTTTAGTGTTTTTATTAGCCATTTATCCTGTGTTCATCTAGTAAAACAAAAACCATTGCAGCCAAAGAAGTACAGATTCATAGCCAAGAATATTGTCCCCCGTAGAGAGGAGAGTACTTTTAGTGTATAGCGTCAAAATAATATTCAAATGACAACAAAATATTAACTAATGCATAAAATTAAAATTTATGGCTTTATCAACTTTTGTATCATAATTCACAGACACAGAGCATATAAGTTTCCAAAGTTAATAATCCCACTTCTTATAAAACACCTGGGAAAAAACTGGAACTGGCTAAGTACCTGTTGGTCTTGAAACTCTCAAATCCATATATATCTAGAACTCCAATCAAGCTCTTTGAATCTTTATCTTGCCCAATAGTATTGTTTATCTTGCACACAATCCTGCATCAACAGATGTTTGCCCCAGTCGAATTACCGAAACTCATGCATATTGAAAAATGAGCTTTTATAAGGATATGTAAACTTATTGAACATCACAGATATTACCAGTCAAAGAGCCTTGAATAAACTATTTTCGCCAATGCATCTCTGCTGAGAGCTGCAGAAGTTGGATCAAGTGATTTCGTTATGGTGTCACCACGAGTCACCATAACACGTTTGCAGAAAGAGTCTTCAAGGGACTTGACATCACACCTACCACCAACAAATAAATGATAGCCATAGATGCAATGGTCTTGAAGATTAATCTTCATAAGAATCAACAAATAAATTGACGAATTCACTTACATGAAAAGCTCTGCTGCGGTTTTAAGGTGGAAATAGGATTTTTCATCCTTGGGCTGAGAGGAATCCAACTCGTCTTCCGCTCCCTTAATAAACTCAATGTTTCCTAAATGAAGTACTCCGGCTACTATTCGAAATATAGCATCCTGAGAAGAGGGATGAGAAATTTTTCTAATGAAAACAATAAAAAGAAAAAAAGAAGAAAAAGACACACACTCTCCAATGGGGATGTTACTGAGGGGTACCTGCTCCTCAGAACTGATCCCAACAACCTCCATAGCTCTCTTAGTTGCAAGGTACTCCTTAGAATCATCCAAACCATCCAGCTCAATGCAATTTGATTGATTAAGGTAATGGAATTTTCTCGGATCTCCCAATTTGTACTTACCAGCTTCCTAGACATGGGAAAACTCAAATAAAAACAAATTCACATAAAAGAAAATCAAAGAACGAGCTAAACTTAAAACCCAACTTTTGAAGCTCATATGCATGTAGACAATGCTCATAAACTTTTGTAGTTAAACAATGAATCTTGTAAGCCGCTTGGATCAAGGTAATGGTAAGGGAATTGGATAATTTTAGTTTATAAAAATTAAACCTCTTTGTCATCATTGTACAAAAAACATGAATCTTTTTATCACATTGTCCCTGCCTCTAAAGAACAAGAGCATTTCATTTATGCAAAGCATTGTAAAATTCCCACTAATTACACTGTAATTAATAGAAATCAAAGCTTATTATTTGTTACCCAGTTTTAGTCTTACTTTAGAGAGCTATTTATATTGTATTGTCTATGTAACGCGTAGCTTTAAACAGTTTTATCATCAAGTAATTACATTCACAGATTATTCTTCAAGTTGATATATGAATTCATGATATGGAGGCTTATGCTTCTGCAAAAGTCTAATCATAATTCTGATTTTAAGAATTGAGACAGATGATGTAGGATTTCACAACCCCTCCCTCCATGTGCCTATTAGGACAAGCGAGTCTAAAAGAATAAATAATTGCCAAGATGAGTTATAAAATCTAATGTCATATCATTATTTTCTTGGAAGCTGATCTTGATGTTATTAAACAAATTGTTGCGTATCATGGAAGCAATTTTTTTTTTGTCGCCAAAATTTATTATCCAAAAGGAAGAATCATGTACCTCTTTTGGTGCAGCACAAAGCATATAAAAGCAATGATAATTTCTCTCAGGATCAGAAACTTGACAGACACGGGATCGTTCCAGCAAATATGTTCTAATAGCAGCTCCTGAAATTCTCCCCTTTTGATCAAACTGAATCTCCACAAACTTACCAAAACGACTGAAATTATACTTTGTAAGCTTAGGACAGACTTTAAATCAATTAAGACAAAAAAGGCTCAGTTAAAAATGCGAAGAAAGAGAAAAAGTGACCTTACTGGACAACAAATTTAGTACCTAGAATTATTATTCCTAACAGTCTTTGCATTGCCAAATGCTTCTAAAACTGGATTGGACTGCAGAAGTGTGAATAACAGGCAAAAATAAGTAATAACATCCAAAATTAAATTTCTCAAGAATGTATCATTGTGTTTGTTTCCTTGTAGCGGGAGCCCGAATTTGATTCCCACTGATTGAGAAAACTCAGCTATAATTGTAATAACGTGAGCGACATTAATATCAGGCCCAAAGAACTTGGGAAAATCCGTGGTAAGACATAAAAAAAGAGTAAAACGCAGAAACAGAATCAAATACAAGTGAAGATTTAGTTTCTTACCTCGAGAACTTGTTGCTCGACTGAGCGTCCTTCAGTTGCTGCTCTCCCTCCCAAAAAGGCAAGATAATGCATAAGCATCTTTGTACTTTCTGTTTTCCCAGCTCCACTTTCTCCACTAACCAAAATAGATTGGCTTCTTTCTTCGTTTATCATCTTGCTGTAGATAGTTATCTTTGATAGTGAATTCAAACACCTCTAATTCATAATTTTTATCATTTGACAACTGCCATGAATCTTTGATACTAGCCAAAGTTGGTATTAAATAGATGCAAAACCCAAAAATAAAAAAATATTAAAAGGCATGTTGAACATAGTTTGACTCAATCTTTTCAACATCATATCATGTTTAGCTCCGGCTTTCACAATTGACATTTCAAATTCATTTCTTTCCTAATTATCTAGGCCTAATTTAATCTTAAACCATAGAACAGGTTAAAGCCACCAAGGCACAAAAAACTGAGAGCAGCAACAAGATACCTATATGCAGAACTTGCAATTGCAAAAGGGTGTGGGCTCTGCTCACCAAAAGCCGCACCTTTATACTTCGCCATGGTACTAGTTTCACTCAAATGAGGTAACCTTTGAAAAGGGTTCACAGCTATCAGTATATTTCCTGTGTATGTCTGCAAACACCATCAGCAAAAAGTGTCTGTCACAGCAAAACAAATCACATCCCCAAACATACATTTCATTTCACAAGACAGATGTGATATCTGATATCTTACATAAATGTCATTTGCGGAATATCGAATTTGCAAATTTTGAAGAACTCCTGGTTCATGCAGATATGCCAGTCTTGTCATATCCTCCACACCATTAGGTGGGAATTCTGGATCTTTGGGATACATGGTAACTGATTTGCTAACAGACTGCAATAGAAACACAGTGTTGAGTACTTTTAATAACCTCATTGTGTAAGTGAAGGAATTTAACTCTAGTATAATAGAGAATCTTGCAAAGAAATTTCTTGACAAGATTGATGTGAATTAGATGCATTGAGAAGGATAAATTCTATCACATTCCATTATATTCCTTTTGCACCCATATGATAATGCTTCACACACCCAAAATTGCCACAAAATGTACAAAGCATTGGAGAAGTGAACTATACCGGAAAAAGAAAATTTGTATGTGCATGTTACAGACACATATACACGGATTATTTACTATAGATTCAGGAAACTCACCTTGGTGCCCGATGCAAAGAGAACCTTGACCTCATTTTTGTTAGATTCCTGGATTTCTCCATCTATCCAAGCTAAATCAGGGTCCTCTACCCAAACATGGGACCCCGCTACATAACTGAGTTGACCAGCCTGTGCATTCAAAAAAATAATCAGTGCCCTTATCATCAGAGTAGAACCTCATTTGAAGTTATATTGGCATCAAAAGAATCTTTTGATGACATGCAAACCAGTAAAACTTTGCTCCCACTGCACGACCAAATGTCAATCAAATAAGTGAAATCAATGCTGCAATTTTTTACGTGACAATATAGTAAATGCCACCTAGTTAAGCCCCCTTTAAATTTCAAAACATTGTCATCCATAATAAAAGTAAAAAGATACACTCCTGCATGATATTTGATAAGGTGCATCTATTTTTTACCAAAGTACCTTAGCACAACTTTCTAATTAAATTTCTACCAGAATCCAACGCTACATCACGTCTACTTCAACCATGTTGAGAAAATATATGATATCAGCAACTTCATAGATACTAGAAAAAGAAAATGTGCAAAATCACATTTGTCACCAAACAATTTCAACCATCTTCATGTTCTAGGACTAAACCAAAGAGGCAAAAGCTTCTAAGGGTTGCTAATGTGAATAAAAACTGTTTATTTGAACCATGTAATGTAACAGAATATGAAGCCTATCTAACTAAAGGGCATGAAAAGAAAACTAACACAATGTGAAACTGTAAAGTGTGAAAAAGTTATTACCATTGCTAACAAAATTTTATTCACCCAAATGAATCCGAGGATCAGCTACTCTCAAAACTTGAATTTCATCCAGAATCTACCAACCAATTTGGAGAAAATAACTTGAGAATATCAAATCTCCAAGGTGTAACGAGTAAATTATCTTGCTGAGTAATCTATCTATCTATCTCTAACTGAAAGAAACTTGCTAGTGTTATATATGTATATGTATATGTATATATATATATATAAATATATATATATATATAGATCTGTTGGCCTTCTTGGTATGAACTGAAAGATGCAAAATGGGAGTCACCCCGGGATAGTGTCGTTGCAGAAGAGGCTTCACAATCACGTGGCTTTTCACAAGAAGATGATCCAACCTATGCTAACCCCTCCTCTGCAACTATGTCCCCTCTATTCTCTTCTCTTGATTTCTGCTTCAATCTTTTCCTTCTATGTCTCTAACCAATTGCCTTGCGCGTGTGTTTCCCAACAACGTAAGCACGTTATAACATGACACATGAAACGTGATCACAAACAACAACTATGCATATATATCTTAATATTATGTAACTGGTACACCATGAAATCCAACTTCACATGCTGTCCTTATTCCTCTCACAAGATGCCATATACACTTCCAACTAAAATAGAAAATCTCTGAATCCCTCGTTGTTTCTTCACACCTTGGATTCATTGTTCGCACATGACTCTCACACATGCACGCAACTATGCCATCATGGGATCCCCTTTGTTGAATCCAAATAAAGCATGATGACACATGTGAGAGTTTTCACGTAATCAATCTCAGAAAGTGTCCTCAATCTTTCTCCTCCCTTGACCCTTCTTCTTCCATATCATGCATCATCATCATGCACAATTGATGATCCTATGATAAATCCAAAGAAATTAGGAGAGAATCAAAATCTACACGCCTTTTCTTGAATCAAGCCTCCAGCATCCACCCTCATCATCGTTGAAGAACTCATTGGTGCAACATCACCAGTGTGGTAGTTTTTCAACCATTGAATTGAATCTGAATATCTGATAGAAAGTTTCTTTTTGGTAGAATTCAATGGCTTAGAAAATGTCACTTACTAGTTGCATTGGTGCAACGGTGGCACGTTAAATTTTTCCTCAACAGATATGAATCATACCAATCTTTGTTTACCCTTATTCAAGGAAAACCGGAGATCTAACCAGCTTTCCTACGTGGTTAAATCTCTTCCATTTTCTATTTTTATACTAATTTTTACTATTATAGTATTAATATTAATATTATATCAAAATAATTTTATAAAAAATATGGTGTTACAATTATTTTTTGTGTTCTTAAACAGGCATAAAATTATGGGCTAGATTTTTTACCCCTTTATATTATACATTTTTTTTTGTATTTAGTTTTTTTTAATATATACAAAGATAAACTAATTAAGCTCTTTTTTAATATTTACCAACATATTAATCATATTCAGGTTAAAATTGAGAAAAATGACTTGTTTTTAATTGGATAGATGCTGCCTTAATATAAAGTTTATTAAAATCTGTTATAATTTTCTCTCAAACTAACAATATTTACATGATACCAATATAATTGTATAAACAAAAAATAAAATATATAAATTTTATTATCATTTTTGTTATAGTGAATACTGTGTTTACATGTATTCACATTATGTGAGTTTATAATTAATAATTTTTTACTATATCACTTTTAATTATGTGATATTTTTTAAAATTTCAATTGTTCTTTTTATAGGTCGAATTAAATTAGTTAACTTCAATTATGACTTAAATGAACCACTATTTATCAATACAATGAGATTTATTATTATTATTATTATTATTATTATTATTATTATTATTATGCATTTTTATTGTATTATTATCTCATTTTTGTTGTGATAGATTGTTTTCAATTTGATATAATTGAAGTTTTAGCTTATTTTTTTTATTTTGGCTATTTACAAAATATGATAAGTTATTATAGTTTTAGTTTTCTATTACACAAAGTTGTATTAGTCGTGTTTAATTGATATATGTTCATTAATACTTTATAGATGCCAAATCAAAATCTTCAAAGTATAAAAATATTATTTGACAAATAGTTCATATGAAAAAAAAAAAAAAAAGAGCGAAAGGACTTCTTCAATATCTAGCATAACATCTACCATAATTCATATTTATCATGCATTCATGAAAGTAAAAATGTTGTGAAATGTAAACAGATAATTGGTGATAAATAAAGCTCCAAGCAAATAAAGTATGTAGGGTTTATTTTGTGAGCAGAATAATGTCTTTGGGCGTTAGGGGATGACTTGGAGGGAAATAGATAGGTAAGTTGTTAATGGAGGAATGCGTTGTAACGATGGATCCTAGTTGTGAAGCCATTCCAATGAGTTGGGAAACTATTATTTAATCACGTAGCAAAGCTATTTTGAATTAGGGTGAACAAACATTGGTATCATTCTTATCTGTCAAGGAAAAATTTAACGTGCCAAAGCACCCATGCAACTAGTAAGAATTGAATTTTCTAAGCCATTGAATTCTGCCAAAAAGAAATTTTCTATCAGATAATCAGCTTCAAATCAATGGTTGAAAAACTACCACTCTGGTCATGTTGCACCAATGAGTTCTTCAAAGGAGACGAGGGTGGATGCTATAGAAGCTTCTGATTCAAGAAAAGGTCTGTATATTTTGTTTGGATTTGTAGTATTATCAATTGACGATGATGTTGCATGCTAAGAGAGGAGAAGGATTGATCACGAGGAAACTTTTATGTATCTCAAGAATTTACAAGACAAGGTGGGATCCCATGACGGCAATGGGTTAGAGACATAGAAGAAAAAAGGAGTGAGGCAGAAATCAAGAGAAGAGAATAGAGGGGATATATAGTTGCAGAGGAAACTTTCCCCGGGTCACTCTCACTTTGCATCTTTCAATGTATATATATGTATATAATAATTTACTCGTTGAACCCTTGTAGATTTAATATTCTCATGTTATTTTCTCCAGATTGGTTGGTAGATTCTGGTGATGCAATCCAAGGTTTGAGTAGCTGATCCTCGGATTCATTTGGGTGCATAACATTTTGTAAACAATGGTAATCATCTTTTACACTTTCCAATTTCCCATTGGGTTTGTTTTCTTTTCATGCCCTTAGTCAAATAGGCTTCATATTCTGCTGCATGGTTCAAATAAATAGTTTCTATTCCACCTTGTATTTTTCTTTTGTCACCAACTCTTAGAAGCTTTTGCGTATTTGTTTTAGTCCTAGAACATGGAGGTGGTTGAAATTGTTTGGAGACAAGTGCTTTAATGTGATTTTGAACATTTTGGGGCTACAAAAATTATAATATGGCTAGATAATATCTCATTCTCGTTTCTCTGAAGTTGCTGATATGATATCATTTCTCGCTTATATGACTGACCTTTACTTGTAATGTGAGAGAAAAGTCTCACCAGCTACTTTGCATGTCATCAAAAGATTCTTTTGATGCCAATTCAACTTCAAATGAGCTTACACTATGATGATAAATGCACTGATTATTCCTTTGAATGCACAGGATGGTCAACTCAATTATGTAGTGGGGTCCCATGTTTGGGTAGAGGACCCTGATTTAGCTTGGATAGATGGAGAAATCCAGGAATCTAACAAAAATGGTGTTACCATTCGCTTTGAATCGGGCACGAGGGTGAGTTTCCTGAATCTGTAGTAAATCCGTATATATGTGTCTGTAACATGCATACACAAACGATCCACACAATATTTTCTTTTTCCATATAGTTCATTTCTCCAATGCTTTGTACATTTTGAGGCAATTTTGTGTGTGTGATGCATTATTATTTGGGTGAAAATATTGTGGAATGTGATAGTTTTATTCCTTCTCAGTGCATCTAATATTCCCATCATCGATACTTCTTTAGCAAGGAATTGTATAGTTTAGCTGAAATCTTGTCAAGAAAATCTTTGCAAGATTCTCTAATATACTTAAAGAGTTAAATTACTTCACTTACACGATGAAGTTATTGAACTGTTCAAAAGTACTCAACACTATGTGTATCTCGATTGCAGGTTGTGAGCAAATCAGTTACCATGTATCCCAAAGATCCAGAATTCCCACATAATGGTGTGAAAGATATGACAAGACTGGCATATCTGCATGAACCAGGAGTTCTTCATAATTTGCAAATTCGATATTCGGCAAATGACATTTATGTAAGATATCAGATATCACATCTGTCTTGTTAAATGAAAATTTAAGTTTGGGGATGTTCTTTGTTTAGCTGTGACAGTCACGGCAATGAAGCTTTAACTTTTGCTGGTGGTGTTTGCAGACATACACAGGAAATATATTGATAGCTGTGAACCCTTTTCAAAGGTTACCTCATTTGAGTGAAACTAGTACCATGGCGAAGTATAAAGGTGCGGCTTTTGGTGAGCAGAGCCCACACCCTTATGCAGTTGCAAGTTCTGCATATAGGTATCTTGTTGCTGCTCTCAGTTTTTTGTGCCTTGGTGGCTTTAACCTGTTCTATGGTTTAAGATGATATTAGGTCTCGATAATCAGGAAAGAAATGAATTTGACATATCAATTTTGAAAGCCGAAACAAAACATGTTATGATGTTGGAAAGGTTGAGTCAAACTATGTTCAACATGCCTGTTAATATTTTTTATTTTTGGGTTTTGCATCCATTTAATACCAACTTTCTCTAGTATCAAAGATTTGTGGCAATTGTCAAATGATATAAATTTATGAATTAGAGTTGTTTGAATTCACTATCAAATATAACTATCTACAGCAAGATGATAAACGAAGAAAGAAGCCAATCTATTTTGGTTAGTGGAGAAAGTGGAGCTGGGAAAACGGAAAGTACAAAGATGCTTATGCGCTATCTTGCCTTTTTGGGAGGGAGAGCAGCAACTGAAGGACGCTCTGTGGAGCAACAAGTTCTCGAGGTAAGAAACTAAATCTTCACTTGTATTTGATTCTGTTTCTGCGTTTTACTCTTTTTTTATGTCTTACCACGGATTTTCCCAAGTTCTTTGGGCCTGAGATTAATGTCGCTCACGTTATTACAATTATAGCTGAGTTTTCTCAATCAGTGGGAATCAAATTCGGGCTCCCGCTACAAGGAAACAAACACAATGATACATTCTTGAGAAATTTAATTTTGGATGTTATTACTTATTTTTGCCTGTTATTCACACTTCTGCAGTCCAATCCAGTTTTAGAAGCATTTGGCAATGCAAAGACTGTTAGGAATAATAATTCTAGGTACTAAATTTGTTGTTCAGTATGGTTGTTTTTTGTCATAATTGATTTAAAATTTGTCTTAAGCTTAAAAAGTATAATTTCAGTCGTTTTGGTAAGTTTGTGGAGATTCAGTTTGATCAAAAGGGGAGAATTTCAGGAGCTGCTATCAGAACATATTTGCTGGAACGATCCCGTGTCTGTCAAATTTCTGATCCTGAGAGAAATTATCATTGCTTTTATATGCTTTGCGCTGCACCAAAGGAGGTACTTGATTCTTCCTTTTGGATCATAAATTTTGGCCTATAAAAATTAAGATCTGCTTCAATGGTATGCAAAAATTTGCTTAAGATCTGCTTCCAAGAAAATAATGATTCTTTCTCTTTCCCTGTAAGTGAGATCATGAATAGCACTATAGTTCTTGAAGAAATTATGTTAATATAGTCGAACGTTACGATGAAGATGAACGTGTTTTGCTTCATAAAATAGACCTTGAGGAAAATTACATATAATGTATTATTAGGAAGTCTATTATTATGGTGGAGCAATGACAAATAGGTGGCGTTTGAGGCATTATGCATCTTGGCTTTGATGCCTCTAGCCATTGAATAAAGTAAGAGTTATCGTTAGGGTTTTGCAGAAGCATAAGCCTCCATAACAGAAATTCACATATCAACTTGAAAGATAATTTCTGAATACTCGATGATAAAACTGTGCTAAGATACACGTTACATAAACATGATAACATAAAAAGTTACGGAAAGTAAGACTAAAGCCAGGGCAACAAACATTTCCTTTAATTATACATTGTAATTAGTAGAGGAATTTACAATATTTTATATAAATGGAATACTCTTGTTCTTTTTAGAGTCTTTAATATTTTGATAACAAGATTCATGGTTTTTTGGTACAATGATGGCAGCGAGGTTTAAATTTTGTAACCAATATTAAATATCCAAGTCCCTCACCACTTGCCTGATTCAAGTGGCTCACAAGATTAGTTCATGGAATAATTACATAATTTCATGAACATTCTCTACATGCATATGAGCTTCAAAAGTTCGATTTAGAATTCAACTTGTTGGTTGATCTTGCTTGATGTGAGACAATGAGCTTTCCATTTGAATTTGTTTTTTATTTGAGTTTTCCATGTCTAGGATGTTGCTAAGTACAAATTGGGAGATCCAAGGAAATTCCATTACCTTAATCAATCAAATTGCTTTGAGCTTGATGGGGTGGATGATTCTAAGGAGTACCATGCAACTAAGAGAGCTATGGAGGTCGTTGGGATCAGCTCCGAGGAGCAGGTACCCTAAGTAACATCCCATTGGAGAACGTATGTATGTTTCTGCTTCTTTTTCTTTTTATTGTTTTCATTAGAAATACTTGTCATCCCTCTTCTCAGGATGCTATATTTCGAATAGTAGCTGCAATACTTCATTTAGGAAACATTGAGTTTGTTAAGAGAGTGGGAGAGGAGTTAGATTCCTCTCAGCCCAAGGATGAAGAATGCTATTTCCACCTAAAAACAGCGGCTGAGCTTTTGATGTAAGAGGAGCCATTAATTTATTTGTTGTTTATCTGGAAGATTACTCTTCAAGTCTATTACATCTATGGTCATTTATTTATTTGAGGAAGGTGTGATGAGAAGTCCCTTGAAGACTCTTTCTGCAAACGTGTTATGGTGACTCGTGGTGAAACCATAACAAAATCGCTTGATCCAAATGCTGCAGCTCTTAGCAGAGATGCATTGGCTAAAATAGTTTATTCAAGGCTATTTGACTGGTAATATTTGTGATGTTCAATAAGTTTACATATCTTTATAAAAGCTCATTTTAATATGTGTGAGCTTCTGTAATTCGATTATTGCAAACATCTGGTGGTCCAGGATTATTTGCAAGATAAACAACAGTATTGGGCAAGATCCAGTGTCAAAGAGCTTGATTGGAGTTCTAGATATATATGGATTTGAGAGTTTCAAGACCAACAGGTACTTAGCCAGTCCCCTTTTTCCCCTAAGTGTTTAAATGAAGTGGGGATTATTAACTAAAGGACTTGTGTGCTCAGTAAAAGTACCCTCCAAACAATTGAGAATTCACAAAAGTATGGGATGATGACTTTGGTAGACGAAATTAGGACACGATGGAAAGTGATAGACATGCAAGAAATAAGTGACTAATTGGAGTTCCACGAACAGGTCATAGAAAGTGATACTATGTGACATGACAAAAATAGATGAAATATTCTGAGAAAATATCTTTTAGATATTTCTGACAACAATCATGTAATGTTTTCGATTGACCTTTTTTGTGCCTGAGCTACTAACTTTTCAAACTCTCCTGTGTAATTATAATTGGTCGCACACAGCTTTGAGCAATTTTGTATCAATTTGACAAATGAGAAATTACAGCAACACTTCAACCAGGTTTGATTCCTTTATTTTCTCCATCTTGTTGGAATGCATTATGAGGAAACAATTTTTGTTGACTCATTTAACATTTCATTCAGCATATCTTCAAAATGGAGCAAGAGGACTACAAAAAAGAAGAGATTAATTGGAGTTATATTGACTTCGTTGATAATCAAGATGTCATTGATCTCATAGAGAAGGTGTAATTCACACTTCCATCCATTTTGCCAATGTAGGAAACTTCTATCATTTTATAATCTTAGTCTTGTGTTGAATATGTTTTCATTTTTATATATATGATCCTGCCATGCATTTTCTCAATCTCACTGAGCTAGAGACTAATCCCCACATTAACCTGACGAGATTTCGTACACAATGGGAATCAAAAACAGATTCTTGAATACGTGGATCAGGGTGTCTAACCACTACGTCAACCATCGGGTTTCACCATATATTGATGCACGTGTTTCTATAACATTTTCATGATGCTTTTCTCAAAAACCCCTATTCAAATGAAAACTCAGTAAGTTAATAATTAGTGAAGAGTGATTATTCTATTAATGTTATAACTACAAACATTTTTTGACAAAAAGACAACAATGGTTCAGTAAGTTCTTTTTAACCTTACAATCTATTTATAAAGGAAATGGATTACTTGCTTGTACATATAACTGCATATGTTATGAACAACTCACAGCAATAATCTTTTAGGGAAAAGGGTCTGAAGCTGTAGTATGGGAGGACTAGGGAACACTTGAGCAGGAGATTATAAGAGTTATTAATTGATTATAAACAAGATCTCCTTTAAGTAGATAGGGAACTTTCGAATATCTTCCCAGAACTGGACATATTCTAGTGTAAAGGAGTAAGCTCCTTTGAAGGGATTTTTTTATACCTTGGTTCTTGGCTTGCGATGAGTTTTCAGTAACAGAAAGGAAACTCAGAATTGTTTTCCCTTTGCGTACTATTGTTTCTTTTCTTGTTAGGCTTTAACATTTTATTTTCTGAAAAGTAGATCCTAACATCATATGTATTTGAACATTTCTGAGCCATTCTTGTTTCTGTGTTTTACATTTCTAATTGGTGTATGCTTATGACTCCAGAAACCCGTTGGCGTTATTGCTCTCCTGGATGAGGCCTGGTACGTATTTAATGACTGAGTGGTTCAAACACTTGATTATGATTGTTCTATTAGACATGGAATGGCTAATCTTATTCATTTTGCATTAAATATAAATGGCTTCGGCATATGCATGTCCTCTGAGATCCTGAGGTTGTCCTGCTTATTCTTTGTAGTATGTTTCCAAAATCAACGCATGAAACATTTGCTGCAAAGCTATATCAAATCTTTAAAGGCAACAAACGCTTCAACAAGCCAAAGTTTTCTCGCACCGACTTCACCATTAACCACTATGCCGGTGATGTAAGTGAAGTACATTTTAGTTTACATAGCTTTCTTAAAAGAAACAGAAGTATTAGCATATCAGTTCAACTTAAAATAAGGCGTGTTATTTCAATTTCAGGTCACTTATCAAACTGATTCATTCCTTGATAAAAATAAAGACTACGTTATTCCAGAGCACGCTGCTCTACTCAGTGCTTCCAAGTGCTCCTTTGTTTCAGGGTTGTTCCCACCTTTACCTGATGATACTACAAAATCGAAAAAATTCTCTTCTATAGCGGCTCAGTTTAAGGTCTGTTTGGTTGTGCCAAGCATATAAATGCAAATTATCTGCCTTGTATTTATCTGTATTATTCTTGATGCATGTATTACAAAGCTACAACTGCAATCTTTGCTTCAAACACTAAATACTACGGAGCCACACTATATTCGGTGTGTAAAGCCAAATAATCTTCTGAAGCCAGGGATATTCGAGAACAATAATGTGTTGCAGCAGCTTCGATGTGGAGTAAGTTCAATCAATGCCATTCTGGATGTGTTCTCTGGTATGATATGAGTACTTTGGCCAAGTGACGTGATGCCATTCACAGGGAGTAATCGAGGCAGTTCGGATAAGTTGTGCTGGATATCCCACTAGAAAGAATTTTGATGAATTTGTTCAGCGGTTTTCCATCCTGGAACCCAAGGTTCTGGAAGCATGGTATTTTCATCCCTTATTCCATTTTTTGTTTGCCTTTTCCAGTCATATAGATGAATCTGACTTTGGAATATTTGAAACCGAATAACAATAACCATTTATTCACAGCCCTGATGAGATGGCTGCTTGCAAGAAGCTTCTAGATAGAGTGAACCTTAAAGATTATCAGGTGCCAATTTATCCAACTGGAATTTCTACTGATCTCAGTTGTAACATTTACATTGCGTTCTGGTTTACTTTGACATGGATTGGAATAAAATGTTATTTGGAGATTTTTTTTTTTTTTTTTCTTTTTCATTGGTTTAAGTAACACCATGAAAGCAAGAAATGTTCTAGCTAGTTACTAACAAAGTTAACTGCTATTATCTATGCGCTTGGGTGATTGCTGGATTTAAGATCTTAGCATAAAGGGAAAAAAGGAAATAAAACTCTTGCTGACTGAACTATTCCTATTGCAGATTGGAAAGACAAAAGTGTTTCTTAGATCAGGTCAAATGGCAGAACTAGATGCATGTCGTGCTGAGGTCCTGGGAAGATCTGCAAGTGTTATTCAGAGAAAAGCCCGCGCTTTTCTCTGTCAGAAACAATACATCTTATTGAAATTTTCTGCCTTAGAACTTCAAAGGGTTGCTAAAGGTGTCATTATGTGAATCCTTTAGGCCTGTTTGTAGTGTTTTACTCTGCAATCAATGAAACAAAATTACACGCTGATTGTACATTTCTATGCTCTGAATTTAATGTAGGACAACTTGTTCGACGTCACTATGAGAGCACGAGGAGGGAAGCAGCTTCTTTGATAATTCAGAAAGATTTTCGCATGTATATTTCAAGAAATGCTTACAAAACTCTTTATGCCTCAGCTATTTATATTCAAACTGGTATGCGAGGGATGGTTGCTAGAAAGGACCTTAGATTCAGAAAACGAACACAAGCTGCAATTATTATTCAGGTAGCATAGAGAACCATTTTCTTCTTACTTAAACAGGATTACTGTTTAAACCATTTTCCCTATTTGTAATATATATATATATGAACGTAACTTACAAACAATAGCCTACCCTAGGTATTGTTGGTTTGATCATATATTCGTATTATATCATATTTGGTGCATATTATGCATAGAACTTGATAATTTAATGGGTTTTTTTTTCATATCATAGGGTCGAAATCGAGGTTATTGGGCTCGTACTTATTTCCAGAGGCTAAAGAAAGCAACAGTTGTTGCAGAGTGCTTCTGGAGGGGAACATTGGCTCGGAGAGAACTTCGAAAGCTTAAAATGGTGTTCCCTCTGCCCTCTTGTTTACTTTTCTTGATTGTTCAAATTACTACTATTTTCAATTTCAAAAGAAAATGGCATTCTTAAACTTTTTTTTTTCTTTTCATATTGCTACAACAGTTTCGTATATGAACATCTGTTTTATGTTTTAATAATTGAAGAATATCTAAATTTGAACATAGTGCAGAGTGCGAAGGAAGCCAAGGCACTTGGAGCCGCGAAAGATAATTTGGAAAAGCAAATCAAAGAATTAAGTTCACGTCTAGAAAAAGAGAAGACATTGAGGGTAATTTAGTTTTGCTAATTTGGTTCTTTTACCTTTAAAAGAATTGTTCTGATTATATTATTTCTCCAACACGCTAAATGTTCTTTTCATTATGATATTGAGGAAGCCACGACACAGGAAAATGAAAAACTACGACAAGCTTTGCGAGGGAAGGAGCTTCAGATCCAAGAAATTAAGGAAGCTAAGACACAAGAAACTGAAAAACTACAACATTCTTTGCAAGAGATGGAGCTTCAATTCCAAGAAAAAACTAAAGCAATTCTCATTCAAGAACAAAAGGCTACCAAGAAAGTAGTTAAGCAACCTCCAACTATACAGAAGAACTTTGTCAATGATGTTAACATTGAATTGATTGATAAGCTAATGAGGAAAAATTATCAACTCAAGGTAAGCATTACGTAGGAAGTGTTTGATAAATTTAAGTTGTGGGGTGTGTCTTAGTGTACATATCCGAAGTTATATTTCACTCTTCATCCTCTACAGGAACTTGTTATTTCATTGGAAAAGAAAATTGAACAAGAGCTACCAATTAACCATGAGTTGATCAATAAACTTACTTCGGAAAATGAATATATTAAGGTACAGGACAAGTTAAATAACGAGTGTTTGAAAAATTCATGTATCTGTTATTGTTATTGTTATTGTGTATTATTATCGTTATTTTTATGCTTTACAGGAACGGATCAAATCGTTGGAAAAGAAAATTGTACGAGAGTTTCCGATTAATTTTACTAACAATGAGTTGATCAACATGCTCTCTTCAGAAAATGAACATCTTAAGGTATAAATTAAGTAATAAGTGTTTGAAAATTTGTTACTGTATTCTTATTGTCATTTTTTTTTTATGTTTTACAGGAACAAATTAATTCATTGGAAAAGAAACTTGTGCAGGATTTTCCTGTTCATGTTACTGACAATGAGTTGGTCAATAAACTTGTCTCGGAAAACGAATTTCTTAAGGTATAAATCAATTGATACAGTAAGTGTTTGTAAAGCATGTTATAGATTTTCAGTTCCAGCATATGATTTTCAACATTGGAAAAGAAAATTGTACAAGAATCTCTCGCATTAATGTTATTGAGAACAGATGATTAGTAAATTTACTACAGCAAATAAACATTGAATCTTTCTTGCTACATTGGTTTTTCTTTATCTGAGATAGAAACACTCTTTGAACACCTCTTCTTCGAGTTCATGCAATCTCTTTGCTATTTGATTAAACTTTCTCCCTCTTCACTCACCAGGCCTACTCCTTCGACATCTCTCTCCGCCGGCACTACCACTCACGTCTTTCTCGATCTTCTCCCTCACACTCGGGGTCTCTAGCAAGTCATGGCAGTGACGCCACCACACCACCTTCGCAAGCTTCTCGCCATCGCAACTCTACCGCAAGCTTTTCGCCGTCGTTAAACTCCAGGAGTGCTGTTCATTATATTCTTCTTTTCCCTGAGTTGTTGTTATTGGCACTTGTTGCCCTAATTTATTTGTTCATCCTTATCGAAAGATTTTGGAGATGAATTGTTCTTAATTTAGAATAGGAAAATACAGAGCAAACATATTTGAGATTGTGACGAATTTCCGAAGAATTTAATATTATACAACTTCAACGTGATAACATCAGATTTTTTATACATCAATTAATTTACTATAACATCAGATAATTATCATGTATTTAATATTAAACAAATTCTATTTTTTTTCCTCCTTCTGAATAATTAATTCATATATTACTATTAAAAAAACTATTTTATCGTTTAGGAAAATAGAGAAAATCTTTTATGGAGAATAAGATTAAAAAATCACTTATTTTAGTGGAAAAAATATATATTAAACCCAATGAATTAAATACCTAAGGAAAATAATATAAGAAAATTACCCGTTCCAAATCTTTGACTTTATTTTATACTTATCCTATTGGGACACATTTTCAATAACAACGTCATGAACAAAACGCCGCCATGACACCGGCAACGAAATTTCCTTTTTTTTTCTACTATTTTATTCTTCAGATTTTATAAAAATATAATTATTTTCATTTAATTAATTAATTTTTTTTAATTAATTAAATTATAAAATATAGAGAATATTTTTTATTTGTTAAGAACTATAATAAAATATAGAGAGAGAAACTTATACAATTGTTTTTTTTTTTCATGTATAATAATTAATTATAAACAAAATGGGAAGGTGACAGAGTCAAAACAAGAATATCAACAACGCTCACATCGACCTACCTAATCGCAAGAATCTTCTTCTTCTTCAAAGCATAGCTCTGTGATTTCTCCCAAGAAGACCCTCCATTATCACTTTCTTCTTATACTCCTCCGAATCCAAATCCACGTTGTAGGATCGTGTCTTTCGAGGGTCTCCATTGTCGTTTACGCCACCACTCTTCCTCAAACGCGGCGCGCAGTAGAGCCACACCGAGGTGCAGAGAATGGCGCATAAACGACCCCAAAATATCATTATCACCAATGTCACCACCACCACCGACATCCCAACCACACCGTCGTTTCGAGCCTTCCTAATTGTCGTTTTCGTTTCCACTGACGTCGACGGCAGCCGCCGCGCCTGCAGTTTAGCGTGAGCTGGAGAACCTCTCCCCTGCTGACGCGTGTCCTCTATGTTGCTCTTCCCACCGTGCCTTGTCTGAAACATAAATTAACAATAAGACACGTTAAGAACATCGAATTTATCGAAATTTACAAAATGATTTATTTTTTACGTCGTTTTATCTTTTTAACTCTTTCTTTTGGAACTCGTGAAAATGCTGCAACACATTTAACAAATTGTAAAATATGAAAAATTGGCAAATATAATAATAAAATGTGCATTTCAATTATAAAATTTATGGAAAAAAAAATTCCGATTTAGAGAAATACTTGTGTGGGGGTATAATAGGGTGTGGCGGGGAGCAGTGGAGCCGGCTGAGGCAGCGGCGGCGGAGGATTGGTGGTTGCCGGAGCTTGAGTGTTGTGGTGAAGGGTTGACTTTGACTTGGTCTTGGAATGATTGGCTTGATCAGAATTAATTGAATGTTCAAACGGCACCGTTTTGTAAGGTGAGTTCTTGTTGAATCGAAACCTTAGCCGTGAAAACCATCTCGCAATAGTAGCTTTCTTCTTCGTCTTTGAGACAGGATCAGACCCTTTGGTGGGAGGTGATTCCATGGCATGGGAAGACCCAAAACAACATAGAAAGATAGAGGTTTTGCGTTTTGAAGGGTGTTCATGAGTGGTGGTGGAGGGTTTGGGTTTGGCCATGGAGGAGAGGGTGAGTGAGTAGGTTTTAATAGTGGATCAATAACATGGTTACAACGATGGAGGATTTTTGAGATTAGAAATATGGTTAGTGACGATGGTGTAATCGAAAGCATGGTGATTAAAATAAAGACGAATAAGATATAAGAAATGCATTTTTGTTTGATATATATATATATATATATATATATATATATAATGTTGGGGTTTGGGATGAAAGACTTGGACTTTTAATCTCCCAAATCTTCCTCACACGTTTACACCTTCCTCACGTTTACTCCTTCGTTCTCTGCGTTGAATATCCCGTCTCCTAGCAGGTCTCGAAGAGTGTACCTTGCAGAAAAAATGAAGCAATAATATCAAACTTGACTCATGGTGCACTCTGAGTGTCTTAAAAATTAAATCACTTATAATCAGACAAAACTTATAAACAGTCCTTTAAAGTATGAAGGTGAGCTTTAATTCTGAAAAGAGTAAAATACTAACAGCATATACAGAGCTATGTCTAAATTCTGTTTCATATAGATTTCAAGGAAAACTTTTGTCGGTGTTATTTTTTAAACAGAATTTGAGTTTTGCTTAGGTAATCTAGATAAAGGATTTCATTAAATGACATAGTGTGTTATTGAAAGGAGACTTTAAATTTGATTGAAAAACAATACTAACAAAACAGCAACACCTATAGATATTTCTTTGTCATATTTTCCAGGAATTATTTATGTCTCGTGCATGTGGGAAGAAGTGTCATCTTGTGTAGTATAGTCGCGGAGAGTGTGCGTTGTTATTTCCTATGCATACCAATTTTATTTTGTGCATAGATACATACATACCTGAAAAACTTTCCCTTGGGGAAAGAAGAGAAGTTGGCTCTGAGGAGGAGTTCAAGGTTGCGTGGGTCTGAGGTGATGACACATTCGAGGTTGGTGAACCAAGGGCCTTGGAATGCAAAGGTTCCGTTTTTACGTATTAGAACATGGGTGAGCCATTCATAGAGGTTGGTTTTGAGGCCGTAGATAAGGGAAGGGAGCATTCTGAGAACTGGCCAAATGGGTAGGCCATGTTGCCTCCTTGAGGTAAAAAGTTGAAAGGCTATGAACACCGTGGCTGCAATGGCGAGTTCAAATAAGTAAAGGTGTTGCAAGAGAAAGAAAGTGAGGCAGGTGAAGAAGTTGGCCATGTTGGTGCTAACACCGCTGCTGGTTCTGTCTCAGCTTCTGATGGTGGTGGTGACAGATAAGGAATGATTGAAGAAGTGATGGAGATGCATGAGGAGATTTATGGATGGTGTTGGGGGTGCTTGATCACGTTTATTCTGTGGTCTTGACGTGCTTTGTTGAACCAAGCGGTTTTGATTTGGTGAGGTGAAGAATGTTGTGTGGCTTAGCCAATTGGTTTTGCTTGCTTCTGTTGCAGTTATGAATTCAATTGTTTGCTGTTATCTTGCTTCTTTCACCTCAACTGCATGTGGTTTTGGTTTCGAGGGATTCCTGTGAACATATTCACTTTCCAAACCAAAGTTTTCTCTTATATATATATATGATCCAGTAAATAAACAACTATTGATTATTTAATCTCATAATAAATAAATTATCACTATAAAAATACGTAAATGAAAAGGTGGTGATATTTTACTATTTATGTAAGAATGACAAAAAAATGAAGATTAAATCTTATAAATGAATTTGTCAAGGAAAACATGCATATTAATCAATATGATAAGAAAAGAAGTATACTAAATAAAACGAAAATAAATTACGTATACTTATATGCAAACCATGCAAAAATAGGAGTTTGTGACAGTGACTGGGATTGGTAATTTACTGTAAGATTACCGAGGATGAGAGTTACATTAGCTGATTAATTACCTAATTAAGAAAAAATTTAATGTTCTACGTTTTCATGTCATTAATAATAATATCACCATAAAAAGATGGTGGCCATTTTAAATAAATAGCATTTAATTGAATATTAATTCCCACTCCACTTACTATTCATATTTTCTATAATTATCATGGGCAGAATACATAGGAAAATTACCAAAAACTAAAACTTTTTCTGTTCTTGGTTTATGTGTGAATACGTTTGGCAAACACCAAAATATTTACAGTGATTATCATTGTTTCACTGTTAATATTATGTAGTTATCATTGAATTTTGTTTCTAAAGACTTAATGGGGTTTTCATAAATTTTGTTTTGGATAAAATGTTTTTTAATCTCATTATATGAATGATGGTATGTAATAAAATTACCAAGTGAAGATGATTTTTAACCATTATTGCACATTACTTTTAGTGTAACATACTACAACAGCATCATGATTTAGAAACAAATTATATATGTAATGATTATTTTGAATAACCTTGATGTGACAAGTTTAGCATAATTTGAAGCATCAACATACATCAATGTCATCTTTTGAGCTTGTATAACTAAAATCATTTATAGTAACACATGTTTCATTTCACAATCACTTTTTTTTTTTTTTGTTGAAATATGCCACACTTTCCCTTTCTAAAAGTTGAAACCAATATCTTATAACATATCTTCAAAGACAATTTTTAATAAGCCTTAATTAAGAATAAAATGAAACATTTATTATAAGTTTTATAATAAAAATATTTAAAATTTAGTAAGAATTGTTTATTTAAATACATTTTTTTTAACTTTTAAGCGACATTCGAATAAAATTAAATATTTATTATAAGTTCTATAATGAAAATATTTAAAATTTAATAAAAATTATTTATTTAAGTAATTTTTTTAATTTTAAATAATTTTTATTTTATTTTTTAAATTACTTAAATAGAAGATCTATAATAAAATATTTAATTTTATATTCTTAAATAACTTTCTATATATGCTTGGATACAATTTATTCTTATTTTACATTTACATTTTTAAGTTGCCTACTTTTATTCTTAGATGTCAATTCATAGTAATTTTCATGAATTTTTTTAACTGTTTTTTTAACGTACAAGTCTAGATAAAATATATATAACTTTTAAAAAAAATTATTGAAAGATATTGTTAGAACATGTGTTCATCGTCTAAACACGTTTATTCAAAATGATTATTTTAACTTTGTACAAAAAGTTAGAACTAATTGAAACAATATGATTATATTATTCTTGTACGAAAAGTTAGAATTAATTGAAAGAACATGACATTAACGTTCAAAACAAGATAAAACAACTTTAGCTATTACAATAAAATATTGAACCACATTACTAGAACAGGTGTTTACAATCATAACATTTATTTTAAATTATTATTTTAACCTTATAAGGAAAGTTAAAATTAATTGAAATAACATGATATTAACATTTAGATAAAACAATTGTATCTATCACAAAAAATATTAAACCACGGCTAAAACACATGTTTATGGTAGTATTACATATATTTAAAATAATTATTTGATCTTATAAGAAAAGCTAGAATTATTAAAATAATATGAAATTGTTGATCGAGTTTACATTAAATAATTATAACTAAAAAAAATACTAAACAAACATATATTTATCATCTATTTAAAATGATTATTTTATTTTTATATGAAAAGTTAGACTAATTAAAATTGACGTTCAAACTTACAAACACACAATCGTAACAATCACAAAAAATATTGATTATTTTGATATTGTAAGGAAAGTTAAAACTGTTAAACCAACTTGAAATTTATTTTCGAGATAAAACAATAACAATAATACTAAAGACATGATTAGAGTATATATTTTTCATTTCAACACGTTTATTTTAAATGATTATTTAATCTTGTACGAAAAATTAAAACTGGAACAACATGACATTAAGGTTCAAGATAAAACAACTGTAATTAACTATATAAAAAAAATGTCATCTGTTTATAACCATAATATATTTATTTGAAATAATTATTTTAAACTTCTATGAAAAGATGAAATTAATTTAAATAACGTGATATTGAGGTTCAAGCCTAAAACAACTTATTGTCGTAACTATAAAAGAATATTAATTGAACACATTATTAAAACAAATATTTATGCAGTATCACATTTATTTAAAATGATTATTTTGATCTTATAAAAACATTAAAACTATTAAAAAAACATGAAATTAATGATGAAACTTAAAAAAAAATTGTGACTATAAAAGGAAATGTTAAAGAGACTTAAAAAATTAATTCGTCTTAATATATTTATTTAAAATAATTAATGTTTAGTCTAGAAATAAGAGTGTTCGACTGTCATCTTTACTATAATATAATTAAGGTAAATTTTCATATCCAAAATATTATCTATTATATAAATTACTTTTACAACATGAAAATTGAGCTTAGTTATAATAATTATAATTATATAAACAAAAATACTTAACAGCTTCTATAACCTATATTTATGATCGTAACGCATTTACTTGAAATAGTTATATTTTAACGTTGTAAAAAAAAAGGGTTAAAACACACTAATAATACTGTTAAAACACACGATAACACGATTATTTGAAATAATTATTTTTAACAAACATATAACAAAAGTTAGAGTCAGTTTATGCCGTATAAAACCATTGTTTAAGCTTAAATATAATAACTGTTGTTTATATATATCAATAAATAAATATATAACATTGTTTGAGCACAGGCATGTAATCATAAAACATTATTTAAAATATTATTTTGAACAAACACAATAAAAAAAGTTAGAATCAATTGAAACTTATATAAAAATTATAGGTATAAAAAATACATTAAACAACATTATTAGAACATATTTATGACCAAAGCCCAAGTAGCGAAGCCCAACCCACGAACTCAGTCTCGCTGCTCTGTCTGATCTCGCTGCTCTGTTGGCTTCAATTTCTAGTTCCAGTTGCGGCGTATCTCTGTGCTCTACGGTTCCAAGGTTCGATTTTCACTTCTCGTAATCATAATTCACACTTTCACGTGGAACTGTTGGTATATGAACCATGCATACATGATTCATCGACTAAAGCTAAGCATTTGGTGACACAGAATTCAAAAATTGTGTTTTTCATTGTAGAAGTAATGTATACTATACATGTATGTGGCCGCATCTCATGAGTTTTAAATTTCTGCGTATGTTGGAAATACTTTGCATTCCAGTAAGAATGGTTAGAAAAGGGTTTGAATTTGTTTTGGTAAATTTCAAATGGATGATGAAATAATCAAATGTTCATAAGTTAGCGCCTTCTTCTAATTATTTTCTCGATAAACTATTATAGGAAATGAAAAATAAATAAATTGAACTCTTTTTGTAAGCTTTAGTCAATTTATTCATCTCAGTTTTTTGAGAAGTTAAATTTAAGGGCATAGCTTGATTTTAGTTTATGGGACAAGCTCAGTTTTTTTTTTTTCTCCTGCTTGTGGAGAAGAAGTTTATTCGACGAGAGTCTAAGATAAACTTCTTCATAAATACTTGAAGAAGGGTCTATTTTGATAAACTTCTTCATAAATACTTGTAGAAAAAAAGGTCAAGTGAAATAAACTTCTCCCCATTCAATATTAATTTATGCATAAGTTAAAAAAAGAAAAAAGAAAAAAAAAAAAAGCCTTTTGGGGAAGTTGTGAGTGAACTTTTAAAAATTACCTTATGCATAAACTGATTTTAACCTTTGGTGAAGCCCATTTCATTTTCTTCTTATTATCTTATCCTATAAATTCATCTGGAAAAAAAGTTTATTCAACAGACCCTTATAAGAGGCTTACAGGAAGGCAGGTTGCAACTATAGCAAGCTACTTAGTTTTATGTTTCAAAGTTTTGTTCGATTATGATTGCTCTCTCTCTCTCGAATTATTATCCAATTTGTAGTGATGAATGGATACGTTTTATCAATCTCTTCTTGTTTATTATTATTATTATTATTATTATTATTATTATTATTATTATTATTATTATCCTCATAACTATGTGATTTGTATAGCTTATTCAATTTGCTTCTGGAGTTACAAGTTCATTACTTGTGTTGAGTCATTTCTTTTCTTTAGCAGAACATTTCCAGCCCAGAAAACTCCATGTTGCACTGAAATCACATTCTGTTCAGGATAGTTCGGTCTCTTTCATCCAGTCAAAGATGGCTCTCTTTTTCCAGAAATTTCAAGAGGTATATCCTTATCTTGTAACACAATCATTTTGACTGTATGCAATTGATTTACCTTTTACTTAGATTATGCCAGAACATGTGTAAAGTATTGTTTATTAATGAAACAAAATAAGAAATGGAGAAAAGACACAAAATAAACAAATAAGATGGGTTTATCTTAATTGACCCCGTGAAGAACTACACTCTAGATTGAGTGACCAGAACTCATTTAGAGCATAATATTCTTTGCTTTGTGCCCAGTTGAGAATAATCCATTGCCCTAGAATAAACCCAAGCTTATGATGATTTTTTCTGTAACACTAGAAATCATGAAGTAGAAATATGGAAGGAAACTTCAATTCTTTTTATTATTTAACTTGTGTAGTTTTCCTCCATATTTGTGTCGTTTCATATTTGTTTACTAAATTACTAAAACTATTATGTCAAGGTTATATATAACCAGTTAATGTCAGCTTCAATGGATTTTGATAAAATTAATGATAAAAAGGAGGAACTCCACACTTGATGGAAGTTTTATATATTAATTCTTGCAGGGAGTAGTGTTTTACGAATTCTTTAGAGTTTTCGGCTATGCAAAGGTGTAGTTTGCAGTTACATGTTGTGAATCATCAATCATATGAAACTTATGACAATAATGAATAATCAATCTGGGTTAATTTGTTTTCAGGCTGTGAAAACCCTGGCAAAGCGCCCTGCTTTTTCGAGGGATCCTAGACAACTACAATTTGAAGCTGACATTAACCGGTTATTCCTTTATTTAAGGTTAGTGCACAATTCCTTGAGATTTTAAGTAAATTTAAACTTTAAAATATTAGATCTTTGATGTTAAGACAGATAAGTTGTTGTCATGCTTTTGTGGGTTCATATTATCTTAATGGGACTAATTTCAATTTTGTCGTGTATGTGATACTTTTCCTTCTTAAAATCTCGACATATTTTGCTCATGCAAAGACTTAAATATCCAGCTATAATCGTCTAGGAAAGAATGCTGATGAAGCACATGCCGAAGAGATTATTGAAGTGGCTAGTAAAGCCACATTTGCTGATCAACAAATGCAAGTACAAGAAAATGTTCATTCACAAGTTAAAACATTTTGCACATTCATGGATGAAATTCTACTTCCAAATGAAAAGATGGTGAATGAACAGCAACTAGAAAACACTGTGCCTCACCGAAGTGGCCTTAGTTTTGCCGTGGGTAGGAGTGATCCAGCCCTAACTAATCCTGGTGAGTAGAAATTAACAGCAAGGTTCAACGTGTTGGTTTAAAACTGATATATTTAACACTTCAGCACTAAAGTCATCAAATTTCCATATGTTTTGCCAATCAGAACTATAAATAATATGACAGAGCCTACTCGTTTACTCTCTTTTTTTTGGGTCACAATTTATTATAGGCTCTAGGAATAAAAAGCCATGGATGTGAACTGTGAAGCTGACATTTGTGTCTACCTAATAATTAAATGTATGTAAATGTAAATATCTGGGTCTGTATGAGGAATGCCCAAATTTATTATTTCATGGAATTGACGTGTCAAGTAATTTAAAGTTTCAACACTAACCGTTTTATGCTGTTTGTCTTCCTTTAGACAAACAAGGGTGCAGAAAATGTCCTATTTTAGTAACAAATTACCTTTAGTTATTCATTTATAATTTCATATATTATTGGGATATTTTCTCCATTTTGCTTGTTCACTATAGCCACTTGCTTTTGGATCAGCTGCACCCAAGACAAGACCATTAAGCCAAGCTGAAGTTTCTCAAAATTTAAAAGATCAACTTGGCTATACAGTTAATGTCAAACCTTCTCGAATACCTCATAAGGATGCTGGACATGGTCTTTTCTTAGATGGCACAGTAGATGTTGGTGCTGTCTTGGCCTTTTATCCAGGCATAATCTACTCTCCAGCTTATTATCGTTACATTCCGGGGTACCCGAAGGTTGATGCACTGAACCCTTATTTGATTACAAGATATGATGGGAATGTCATCAATGCTCAACCTTGGGGTTGTGGAGGTGACAACCGAGAACTGTGGAATGGTAGTAAAATCGGAGAAATCAAGCCTGATGTGAAAGGAGCTGAGCCTGAGAGAGGTTCAGAAAGATTTTGGAAACTGCTTAGTAAGCCTTTGGAAGGCTACAAAGGAGATAACAATGAAGTGATTGAGCGTAGAAACCCATTAGCCTTAGCTCATTTTGCTAATCACCCTCCAAAAGGGGTGCAACCAAATGTCATGATTTGCCCCTACGACTTTCCTTTGACTGAAAGCAACATGAGAGTCTACGTTCCAAATGTGTTGTTTGGAAATTCAGAGGTAAATATGAGGAGATTTGGCAACTTTTGGTTCAAGTCCGGTAGAGGGTCAAAAATTAGTGGATCACCTGTTCCAACACTGAAAACTCTTGTTCTGATTGCTACTAGGCCTCTTCGAGATGAGGAACTCCTCCTCAATTACAGGCTGAGCAACACCAAGCGGAGACCGGAATGGTATGCTCCAGTAGATGAAGAAGAGGACAGGAGAAGATGGAGCTAGCCAATCCAGAATTCCTTTGTTTTTGTCTCAGAAAGTTGTACTTGTAAACCTTGTTTGGATGTTATTTATGTTGGCAAAGGGAGGATGGTAAAATTTTTTAGAGATTGTTTTTGTTGGAATGTTTCTAGAGGTCACAATTCAGGTTCAGTTAAACTGAATAATGAGTAATGACAACATCACACTCGTCCATCCCCGAACAACCTGCCAAATCAAACCAACAGGCTAGAATGTTGCTATGGCTGCTGATTTATCTCACTTTGTGTTGCATGTTACATCAATAATAAACCTTGACATGGGTTTTTATCTTTTTCTCTCCCCCTCGTGTAGTTTATTGTCAAGCTTGGTATGTAAGCCTAAACCTTTTATTTTGAGGGTTGGTTGTTTATTTCAAGAACCGTCACACAAGTATATTCCATTTTCTGCTAGGTAAAATAGATTACCATTTCCTATGATTTATGGAACCGGTAATATGGGAATATGTTTTAGAGTGTTCTTGAGTGATCATTCCCGAATGGTGTAAAAAAAAGTTGTCATTTTAGTGGAAGTCACCATTATTTTCACAATGAATTACTCACTTTATCTAAACTAGAGTTGCATATTAAAGAGGAAGAATGTGGAAAAGACATATACTTAATTAATATATATTTAATTGTGAGTTGAAGTAGTTTGTGCTAAAACACACAAAATAAACTACATATAAAGAAAAAAGAACCACAAAATCCTTTGTTCTATTACTCATTTCTTGAATATCTCACTATTATCACTTCTCCTCAATATCAATAGGTTCTAAATAACTTATAATCTAAAAAACTTAAATTTTTTTCTTTTTATAAATTTACTTCGTATTAAGTAAGTTATAAAATATTATATAATTATCACTATACATAAATATTGAACATTAAAAGAAATTTATTTAGAATAAAAGAACGAAGTATGGTAATAAAAAACTAGCGAACATAATTTGTAGATTATTTCATTTTCTGAATTGTAAAAATTAAAAAAAAAAATCAATGACACAATTAACACACGAGATTTTATAATAAATTGTAAATAAAAATGTAAAAAATATATATATTATATATATACACACATGATTAATGTTAAAACAATACCTATCTATCTCTCACTTATTCACATGCAGCAAAATCATAGTTTTTTTTTTTCAAAATTTTAAATGTTAAAATTTATTACACGGTTTAACACTTTTCAGTTTTTTTTTTAATGTTAAAATTTATATATGCATTGTGAGTACTATGTTTTTTTTTCATTTTAATTTATTTTATCTTATTTTACATAGCTGGATGAGAAATTCATGATGTCAGCTTTGAACCTTACTTTAGTTAATTGCAATGAATTTGTTATGAATTATAGGTGAATTTGGAAGCCGAGTTTTGTCGGTCTTAGACATCTTAAATAAACTTCCACTGCTATTGAAGAATTAACAAGAATGTCAATGCTTGGTGAGAAGAGGAATCACACGATGGTTTGTTTAATTTTTTGATTGAAATTGGATAGAGGAAATAACAGAGAATAATGGAGAGGATTGAAAGTTGATAAAGCATTGGGACAAAGGACAAAGGACAAAGGAAATACCAGTAGTTACCATCACCACCTCAAACCAATTACCACCATGGCTTCTCATATTAGTCCAATTTGAATATGATATAAACCTAATTGCTTTAGGATACATTTTCCAACATACGACGTTGGTCTTTATCTGTTTATACACACTCATTCAACAAAACAAGGGAAGAGAAAATTCTAGATTTTTATTGCTTCATTTTTTATTCTAGTTGTAACGCAAGAGTGGTTATTTGTGGCACTTGGGAGGGTGATTGAAGTTCAAGTGTTGCCATTGTGGTTGTGACGCATGTCCCAACCCCAACCTGCCACTCTATAAAAACCTTTTCCCCCCAACCGACACCCCTTCACAATTGTTTTGAGTTTCACAATTCAGCACATATCACTGTCCTCTCTTCCAATGCCTCCAAACTCATTCTTTTTCTATTCAATCTCTCACACACCCTCTCTTTTTCTCTCCAAAATCACTTCCTCCACCATGCAAGCTCTTGCCAATTCCTTCCAAAATCCCCTTCTCTTCTTCACTTTCCTCTTCTTCACCTCTTTCTTTCTCCTCATACCCTTCCTCCAATGGTGGCACCACCACAACCACAAAAAATTACCCCCCGGTTCCATGGGTTGGCCCTACCTTGGAGAAACCCTCAAACTCTACACTCAAAACCCAAATTCCTTCTTCTCTAACCGCCAAAATCGGTATATATACCTCAACTTATGTATGCCAATAGTTTCTTTAAATATGTTATGCCTGTGTTTTGTAACACTCATTCCAAGAATTTGTTATGTGGTTGGTGCATGTGAACATAAACATTTATATATAGAAATATATGTCCTTCTTCACATGTCATCAGTTATATATGCTATAAAAAGACACATATAAAATAAAGGTACGTGGGCATGGATAAAGAATTGAATTAACTGGTATGGTTAGGTTGATATAGTGAATTAGCAAAAGGGGTTTGTGGAGTGCATTTGGGTTTGGTTTTTGTTGAGGTGAGTGATGATTGTGTGGTGTATACTATACAGGTATGGAGATATATTCAAGACAAACATATTGGGGTGTCCATGTGTGATGATATCAAGCCCTGAGGCAGCAAGGATTGTGCTGGTGACAGAATCACATCTGTTCAAGCCAACATACCCTCCAAGCAAAGAGAAGTTGATAGGACCAGAGGCTGTGTTCTTCCAGCAAGGTGCTTATCACTCCATGCTCAAGAGGCTTGTTCAGGCCTCCTTTCTGCCCTCCACCATCAAACACTCAGTCTCTCAGGTGGAGCAAATTGTCATCAAAATGGTGCCAACTTGGACCAACAAAACCATCAACACCTTGCAGGAGATGAAAAAGGTACCTCACATTACACAACACTACACTGGCAAAACAAAGTCACAAACAAACAAAGTTGTTTTTGATTGGTTTCTTTGGATTAGTATGCTTTTGAAGTAGCAGCAATCTCAGCCTTTGGTGAAATAAAGGAGTTGGAAATGGAAGAAATCAGAGACTTGTATCGATGCTTGGAGAAGGGCTACAATTCTTATCCATTACATCTTCCTGGAACTTCCTATTGGAAAGCAATGAAGGTATGCAAAATGTGCTTTCTTTATTTTATCATCCAATTTTATCTCCTTTTTTATTATTATTATTTATTATTATTATTATTATTATTATTATTATTATTATAATTGCAAATCGTTAGATAGTACGAAAAATTTTGATACGAATTGATTACAAGAGATATTTTCCGTACGAATCATTATGAGACAACGTGGCAGTATTTCATTTAGTTAAGCAATAAGTTAAAAGCTTGAAAAAGTAAAGTTAGAAGTGGGACAAAACAATAATTTTATATGATTATTCATATATAATAGATATCTTAAAATATGATAATAAAACTCAATACTTTTTTTTTAATTAGTAACATTATCTTTCAAATTAATTGAAATTTGATGTTTTTCTCTTTGATATTGATGGAATCTAGCAAATTTAAACCAATGAAAAAAAAAGTTTCAAAAAGGTCGTGTCACATTGAATGATGTTTTTTTTTTTTTTAAATAACGTACACCAAAATAACAATTAATTAAACTTACAATTAACAAATAATTAAAAAATGTGTGTGTATGATGTGAAGGCAAGGAAGCATTTGAACGAGAGCATAAGGAGGATAATAGAGAGAAGAAAAGTGGTGAGTCCAAAGCATGGAGGGGGGCTATTGGGGATTCTATTGCAAGCAAGAACATCATCAAAGACATCATCAAAAACATCATCAACATGTGGTTGTGGTGAGAAGAAGAAGAAGATGAACATGGAACTAAGCGATTCTCAAATAGCAGATAATCTGATTGGTGTGATATTTGCTGCACATGACACCACAGCCAGTGCCCTAACATGGGTCCTCAAGTACCTCCATGACCACTCCAATCTATTGGAAGCTGTGACGGTCACACTACTATTCTATTCTCTCTTTCATTTACTATTTTTCTTTTCTTTTTATAAATATACAACTATTTATAATATGTACAAACTTGTTATTTTTCTTATCTCTCTCTTCATTACATGCCAAATTTCATTTCCCTTTTCTCTCTTAATTGTACGTATTTTTGGTACAAGGAATATTTTCCTAATCTTTATACTTAACTTTTTCTTATACCCCTCTTCTATATCTACAATTTTATTTCTATACCTTTGAGAATGTTTGTATGATGATTGTCAAGATTTCGAATCTATTCACCATTTTATTATAAATTATATTATAGTAGTATCTCTAAGTTGTTTTTAGTTAAGTTAACAATGGTACGTTTATCATAATTAATGTCAAAATTATTATACCGACATAGTTAATTAAAAAAATAATAAACATAATTGTCGGATCAAATTTACATATTTATTAAATTTTGGTTATAAAAATATTTTTAATTTTTTTTGAGGTTCCGATTTTATCAATTATTGAAGTAAAACACAAACTTATTTAGCTTTTATATCAATAATCAATCACATATACAGTTAATTATAATTATTTTTTACTTGGATATAATTTAGTAAAAACGATTTTAAGATAATTATTTAATTTTGGTACAGTAAAAACTCTGCTTTTATATAATAGATCACAAAAACAGAAGATATTGTGAAGTTGAAAAAATTGTTTTAGAAAATTTAATGGTAACTTGGCGATAATTTGAGAAAAAACGTGTTGAAAAATAATTATAATTTATAGATTTCCATAAACATAATAAAAACAGTTTTTTTTTTTTTTGTAAATTGAAGTAAATGTTTTTAGATACACTTAATAACTCTCAAGCCACTTTTTTTTTTCAGAAGAAAAAAACGTTGAAAGCAATAATTTAATGTTCTAAGTGTACAAGTATTTTTACCCAGTCATATAATTAAAACAATTGTTCATATGCTTCTTAAAATAATTATTATATATAAAAATAAATAAATTTATTTTATGTGATTTAGTGATTAGAGTGCATATGCCCCAAAACTTGTAAACTGATTGCTATGGCCGATTTTGATTCTTTTCACTGAAAATTTAAACTTTGCAGAAGGAACAAGAAGGAATAAAAAGCAAACTAGCTATGGAAAATCGTGGACTTTCGTGGGAAGATACCAGACAAATGCCATTCACTAGTCGGGTATATATTAAATAATTTTGGCTTCATTTTTTTAATTGTTAATTAATTAAAAAAAAAATTGGTTGGTTCTGGCCAACATCAAAATAGTTTTTAAATGTCATCGATGTTGTCCACTAAAAATCACTTGGAAGACATTAATTGACATTGACAAAATTGATGTTACTGTTCTTTGTTTTTTTTTTATTAGTATAATTTATGTTTCTATAAGTAGGAAAAATGGGATATTAAAGTCTTTCCATTTTTTTACTCCACTAATTTTAAAAGATCTTTTTTAGTATAAATGAGAGAAAAAGAATACATGGATATGATCTCCAATGATGAGCAAGGGTGGTGTGAAATAGTTATGATAACACTAATTAAACTAAATGAAATTGATCAGGTGATCCAAGAAACACTGAGAAGTGCAAGCATTTTGTCATTCACATTCAGAGAAGCAGTGACAGATGTTGAGTTGGAAGGTTACACCATTCCAAAGGGTTGGAAGGTTCTTCCACTCTTCAGAAGCATTCATCATTCTCCTCACTTCTTCCCTCACCCTGAGAAGTTCGACCCTTCAAGATTCGAGGTAAAACATGTTGAAGAACAACAAAAATATCTCATGATATATCTAACTCCATAGAAAAAATGAACAAAATATAATGAACACTACACATAATAATAAGAATTGACTAAAGCAATGATTTGAGGAGCAGGGGTTATACTTTATCTTTTATGTCAGAAACATAAGGTTAAGAATGGTTAGATATATTATCCTGGTGTGAAGTCCCTTTCATGACCTATTTGAATCTTCCTCCTCTCCTAAGGTGAATGATTCTGTGTTTTGACAATCTGGCGAGTATCAGAGGCACGTGATATGAGTTTGTAGGATAGCAGAATAATTAATTTCATTGTTTGTCTATCCCTTTTGCTCAACAGCAGACAACTGGTACATGCATGCATAAATGGTACTAGGAGAGATACATGTATGTGTGTATCATGTATGTATGTATGTATGAAAGAAGAGTGTGCTGAAGGGATATGGGGTTGACTTGGTTTATGTGATGATGCAGGTGCCACCGAGACCATACACATACATGCCTTTTGGAAATGGTGTCCACTCTTGTCCAGGCAGTGAGCTGGCCAAGCTTGAGCTTCTTGTCCTCCTCCATCATCTCACTCTTTCTTACAGGTTTCTCCCTCCTAATTAATATCATACACATTACTTCATCGTTTTTTCATCAACATAATCATTAATCACCAAGCTAATCATGTCAAATGAATGAGACATGCTGCATAATCTAACTAAAACATGTTGCTTTGTGTGTGTCTGTGTTTTTACCATTGGCACTAGCAAATTTTGATGGAAACAAAACTTATTTCAACTTTAGTGCTAGTGCTTAATTAATTAGCCATTGTTTTTGTGGCCAATTACATACATAACAGTGAAGAAAACAATTATGTTGCATGAACTTTTAGTTTGTCAGCAACGATAGAGAACTCTCAATTGACCATTACATGGAAGAGTGATTGATGATGGTGGTCCTAATTATACAGTGCTTTAGCATGTTCCTTAAGATGTGGAAGTGGTCCTCTTTGACACATTAAAAAAAGGGTTTCATGCAGAATATATATTCTAGTTAGTGAACAAGTGAATCAGATCTCATCAGTAACCATGTATTTCATACGTATACGTGGCACACATGCATGGTATTGTCGCCAAACGTATTCATAAGACTGTTGCACATGTAATTCATAACTTGTCATCTTCCTAGGTTCAGAATATTAAAGAAAGTTCTTGCTAACTATAATGCAGTAAACTACAATAACTTACTTTAAAGTTATTAGAAAAAAAATACTTATTTGTTTTTATTAAAAATTATATTTCTCTTGTTTTATATATGTATTATTTTTACACATTACATTAATACCATTAAAAATAACAAAATATGGGGACATTAGTTCTTTTTTTGGAGAGATAATAAAAAGGTAATAATTTATTCAAAATGAGTTTAATCAAATACCCACCAAGTATATTTTTTATTATAAAAGGTGTAAATATAATTAACACTAAACTCAAAGAGAATGTCGTAGTTATCCTATATGTATGTATACATTGGAAATGTCAAACAAATAACATAAACTATAATTTTTAAAAGGTGTGAATGTTAGATTAAGTCCCTGGAAGGTATAATAATTATATTTTAGTCTTGTAAATAATCAGAATATATGATATGAATTTATGATGCATATTTGGTTGTGATTATTTTTGGAGAAATAGTTAGTTAATTTAGAAAATAACTAAAAAAATTACTATTTCTTTACAATAAGTTGAACTAAGAACATAATCAATCTTTTAAAATGAAATTAATTTAGTCCTTTTTAAATTATGGATTCAACTTTTTTATCGTATCCTATAAAAATTAATTAATCGTGTAGTTAATTTAGAAAAGAAGTTCATCATTTTGATGTTATTTTCTTATGAAAAAAAAAACTATATTTGCAAAAAAATTTAAAAATGAAAATAACTAGTATAATATGAAAGGAATATAAAAAGTTATTCCAAAAGAAAAAACCCTATCTCTTCTTTATAACCACTTAATAAATGAATGTGACTTAACATTGATCTTTTATTACTATCTGGGCCAATCAGGATCAATTGTCCTTTAGTTTCCAAGCAACCTGGTCCAGAATTACTCATATATACTCAAAACTTCACACTCCTAGGACACACTCAATCATAGAATGGCACCTTAAAGAAGTAAAAGTCCCTTCTTTTTCACAAAGATTCCAAAAAAAAAAAAAAATCAGTAAGAAGTTGTCTATGTTCCATACGTGTCAGATTATTATTAGCTCTGGTAAATAGGAAATTGTTAAAGTGAAAATTTAGTTTTCAAGAAGTTTACATTTTAGAAAAGTCAGTTTTTGATGGATGAGTTTATATATATATATATATATATATATATATATATATATATATATATATATATATATATATATATATATATATATATTATGTGAATGAATGACAATAAAATTAGTCCACGCAATTGGGTAGCTAGGTTGATGAAATGAGAACAACACATGTGGAATATTTTTGGTGGCAGTTCTGGCAAACAAAGACAAAGCCCATAATGTTAGCATGCAGTCAAATTTGAATAGAACAAGTTTTACTTCACACCACACGTACCTCTGTACAATTACACACCACATCATATAACGTTTCACCTATACCTTACCTTGTCCTCATCACCCTTATTAATTCATTTGAACGTGACCCTCACTGGTTACCTCAATTCTTATTTTAATTGTTCTTAGTCTATAGAAATATCAGATAAGTTCCATGATTTATATATCTGTTAATCATTTCATCTAATACCAATCAATAGATACCATTGTATCATCACATTAATAATATGGTATTGGACAATGCAACTGTTACCACATGTTTTAAAAGTAGTAACTTTTAATTGATTTACACATGGTTTATATCAGTCTATTGATTCAAGAGATTGTGTTTAATGTTCTTTTTCTTATTAATATATTAGTTTTTCATAGTTTGAAAGTGTTGGAATATACAGCATATAACTCTTTGTTTCTATCTATCTTGATATATGATTGCATAAGAATCTTTTGTTAAAGATAGACTAGTTTTTGTATCATGTAATAAATAAAGTGTTGATTATGAGAAAACTCTAAAAATATAATAAGCTTGTGATTAATTGTCAAAGTCAATTACAGTAAAGAAAAAAAGAAAAGAAGACGTACATGCGACACCAACTGTGATGATTTGCCAAAACAGTGATTGTCAAAGAGATTTAGTGTTGAACTTGTTGTAACTTTGATGGTTGAATTTAGGTGGCAAGTTGTGGGAAATGAGGATGGAATACAATATGGTCCTTTTCCTGTGCCCAAACATGGATTACCAGTGAAGATAATCCCAAGGAACAAGATATTTACGTGAAGTTGCAAACTTAGACTCGTGGAGAGTCATCAATTCACAACATGTTAAGAAAGTGGGGCCAAACCAATTTGTCCCCTGTCAAAATAATGAACAATTATTTTTTCCATTTTTCATTTGTTGTAGAGATATAAAGATTCTTAATCCACCTATGATTACACTCTGCATGATCAATTTGTTTGTGCGGGAAAAGAAATATGTACATGCTCAATATATGTAATTGAATTCATGTTAAGATTGAAGAGATAAACATATCAGTTTGCAGATTATAAATCTCAGATATGTGGATTAAGAATCTCTTGAGCAGTGTTGAATCAAATCTGTGAATGTGGTTATGGATAAGGTATGGTGAAGGGGATGCAGTAAACTATGTAGAAATTTTATAAGGGCAACGTGGCATGATTTGATTGGTGAAGGCTTGAGTACACGTGGGAAGTGTTTGAGCAACATAAAAAAAGGCTGCGTGGCCAAATTAGAATGTTGGAAAGGGATTTGTTGCATGTGGAACTGGGGAGACAAATGAAGCCTAACATTTTAATATCTGAGTTGTCATGTTAAAATCTCAGAAAAGAAAAAAAAAGAAAAGAAGAAGTTGAGTTGAGTTGAACAGAACCCAGGACTCCACAAACACATTGTATGGACAAAAATGATGTTCCAATAAGATTGTGAGATAAGATGCAATAATGTTCTGTCTCATGTTGGCATTGATGATAAGTTATGAAAGATCCTTGATTTTCAAACAACCTCCACCCTTTGCATTTTCCATTATTCTGTGGGTCTTCTCACAACTTACTATCAAATCAAACTCTTCTTGCATTAAGTCCTCTGTCATCATTCCACCTTGTAATAAATATAATTGTTGTTCTTTTTTTCATTAATTAGTTATTATCATGAACTTATATAAATCAGGAAATTTCGATTAAGTGTGTTTAAATTTCCATTAATACGATTTGTGTTTAATTAATAAAAATGATTTTGTGTATATTGGAAGCATCCAATCCAAGTTACAAAATTCTGTCATTTTTCATAATTTTGTGATTTACAAGTTTGATATCTTGGAGGATATTGTCTCTTTCGAAAATTTGACACATTTTCTATGAGTCTCAATTTTTTTAATAATATATAAGTTTTTTTTTCTTTTAAAAAAATCAAATCAACAATTCTTATAATAATTTTATTTATTCTCTAATAATATGAATGCAAATTAATTAATTATTGTCACTTTTCATAATGAATTAGCATCATCCAAAAATTTAATTAGGGATCTTGAGTTGGACGTATATTTATGTTAAATATATTAAACAAGAATTTGATGATCACATGTAATAGTGTATAAGAAATATAAAACAAAAATCATAAGATGAAACGAATAATTAAAATATATTTTATTTTGTAAATATTTTGATATACCAAAAACGCCTATATAATTCAAGGGTTAAACTCAATAATATTTTATAAACTTATTTTTAAAGATAAACCATGACAAAGCTGAATTAGACTTCCAAAATAATTATTTATATCTGACATAATAATGATATTGTTTTATAATAGTTGAAGATTGACATTGTTTATAAAATAAAAAATTAAAATTTGAGCCACTCTTATTCTTTATTTCTGATGTTTGCTTTTATATATATATATATATATATATATATATATATATATATATATATATATATATATTTATGGATATTCATTTTAAAGATAAAATTACTATAAAGTTAAACATCAAAATAGATCATATTTCAGTGGTATTCGACTTAAACAATGTTATTTTCTAGAATACATCAATATCATGTTATAGAATATATCGAAAAAATTAGAATGAAATTGTTATGAATATGTTACTGAAGATAGTTAGAAGCACGTGTAAATGTGAAATTTCTTTATTGCATTCAATTAATGTTTTTCTCTCTTAGAAGTTTTAGAGTTCGTTTTAATTTTAAAATGAACTCTCTGTTTATAATTCTTCTAATTTTTAAATACAACTTTTTTTCACCCTTCAAGTGACGTTTCATAGAAGGACAAAAAATATTTAAAATAACCCTTGGAAGAACTAAATCTGAATAAAAAGATTTAGAAAGAGTAAAACAAGTTTTAAGATTTCTAGAGGAATAAAAACATATTATCCACTTTTGGCATAATGAAGCATGTCCATAAAGGGAATTGAATCAATTACTTATCCAAATATGCTGAAATCCCTCCAAACTTACTTTCAACTGGATGCAAATTCTTGAAACTGGAGATCTCTGGGTAGAATTGATAATCTTCAATTGTATTGCAGATTCAGATTTTGGTTATTTGAAACAATCAAAGAATGAATCTAAAATTAAAGGATTTGAGCTAGATATATAACTAGTTGTCTTGTGTCATTCATTGGTATTGTTGAGTTCAAAACCAAGTTTCCTATCTGGTAAGAATGTTAAGAAGTAAGACTCTTGTGTGGATCAAACGTCTGAACATGCACTCCAACTCCACCTCAAGATCTTCTATAGCCATCCTAACTCCTGCTAATCTTTTGTTTGCACTTTGAAGCACCATGTTATCAAAGCTCATGTCATCATCATCTGAAAAATGCAGACTCACACGCACAAGCCTTGATGTGAAGGACCTTTTCCCTGATTTTGAATCCAACCAGGGTGAGGAAACAAGGGACAAGAGTGATTCCACAATGGAAATGCTGGTCATCCTTACTTCTCTTAGCAGATCAATCACCAACACTAGCTTCTGTTCATTCATTGGAGGGTGCATGGCCACTGCTGTTTGACTCTTCATGCCCTTCAACCACTTCAGACACTTTAATGTTTCTTTCTTCAGCTTCTTCCTGTAGCTATTGCAGGCTGTGATTTTTCCCTCAATTCCCGTATCACCAATGCTTGCTCTACGCAAGGTGAACTGAAGTTCTTGAAGGTGTTCTTTTACTAGCAAGAGAAGATCTTTTGAGATGCCACACACCTCCAACATCCTCAGAGATGACTCTGACACATCATCAACCCATTTTTCTTCTCTTTGATGGACAATAGCTTGTTGGACCAATGGAGAATGGAGAAGTTTATTTGCTGAATTGTGCAAGTCTTTAAGGGCAACAAAATCAAGGGGTGCCATAACTTAAGTGGAAGAAATAAAGGGTCAGTTTGCACTATCTGATAAAATCAAGCTATAGAAAGCTTTCTCTTTATCTAATCAAGGCTAGAAAGCTAGTACTATGGTATAAGCTCATAGGGTGCTTCAAGCGGTATATATATATATATATATATATATATATATATATACACTTGTAAACCATCAAAAGTTTATTCTAATTAGATCTAAGATTCAGATGAGGAAGCAAAAATGAAGGTACGGAAATGGGATAGTGGTAACAGCTAAGGTACTAGTTTGTCCAAAGGAAGCTTCCATCTGTGTGGATATGAGAGGTTATAGGATAGTGTTGTTGAATATTGGAGCAACATATGCAGGAGAGGGGCTACACTCGTGCATGCCAACCTGTGATGTATTATATATAGCTAAAAATGTTGTTCAGACAAAGAAGGTTGAAACATAAGGAATGTGAAAATACTAAGATGTTAGATTAGAATGATTTGTATGCGTGAAACATGGGATGCTGACAACTGTGCTTTGTCTTTGTTTTGTAGATGCACAACATAGGATCTGGATGCTACGACCGTCCACCCCTGCCCTCAAATTCTACGAAACTTCCTAGTTTAGGAAAGGACAAAACTTGCCTTACTCTAATCAAACAGATGGATGTTTTATGTTTTTATTAGTATGAATGCAAGATGATAAATAAAATTACAAATTTGTATACCTTATTGGTCTATTGGGTCATGTATTAATCTCATTTATGATTATCTCTGAGTCTGAACTTCTGCATAAGACAAAGATTAAATACCAATTTGTCACTACATGAATCATCCTTACAAGTTGTAGTTGTAGAATGTTTTGGTATTTCTCAATTTGCTAATTGGGATCATTTAAGTATGAGTGTGATTCTAATATAATATATTCTTTAATTGTGCTGATTAAGTTATTCAAATATCTAAATTATGCTAATATCTATTTTGCATTTAATTATGAAACGTGACAGAGACTTAAATAACTCATTTGTGATGTTTGAAGAATTAAAATTTTATACTTACCATTTATGAGTAGTGAATGGACATAATTGAGACTTTAGGAGACAAAATTTGATACCATTATAATAACATCTAATTGATGAAAATGATGATTAAAAGTTTATAATATTAGTAATAATGAATTAAAGTTGATCCAATTAATTTAATTGACAGAAAGAGCAAGTTTAAGCCTCTGACAATCGAGCAAGTAAGCGAAGCCATAAGCCAAATTCTTGAGAGTGGCCTCATGCAGGTCCACGTTGGAGGTAGCAGTAGCATCCACAGAGAAGAAAACCCTAAACCCTCTCACAAACGCCTCACGCGCCGTCGTCTCGCAGCACAGGTTCGTCATAACCCCCGCCACGATCACCTCCTCCACGCCCATCTCCACCAGCCTCTCCTCCAATTTCGTCTTTCTGAACGCACTGCAAATAACACCACAATTCATTTTATTACCATTCATTCACCCTTCAGCACCCTATAAATAAATTTATCAAATTTATTTATTATAAGATAAATTTAGATTGATGGCGTACCTGTAGGAGTTCTTCTCCACGACCAGGTCCCCGCCCTCTCTCTCCAAATCCTCCATGAGTTGGGACTCCCACGTGGCGTCCATGATGAGATCGTCGAACCACCACTCATGCAGCAAGTTGCGGTGCTCCTCGGGCTTGTGGCAGTGGCGCGTGAAGATGACGGGAATGGAGGCACCTCGGCAGAGGTTAATGGTGGTGTTGAGGTTAGATAGGATTGGGGTGGCCATGGAGGAGAAGTAGTTTTGAACGTCGATGACTAAGAGCGCACATGACCTTGGATTTGGGTTTCGATTTCTGCTCTCGTATTTGGTGTACGATGCAGAGGTTTGCGTTGACGAAGACATTTTTCCTGCTTCTGGAGAGAAGAAAGTTCTTCGCTTGATCTGAGTTCTCCTAATTTACCAATCCATGTTTATTTTTAATAATATAGATAAATTAATTTTTCATAACTAAATTATTTATTATATGTGAATTAAGTTAATGTCTGCTTAGTCTTTTTAAAAGGTGAAGGGCAATATAGGAATATTTCAAAGAAAGGTGGTGTATATAGAATGGCATGAAGTACAGCTAGCAATTGCTTTATCAGGAAACTAGTTCAAGCCCACTGTACCCACCTTACCCAGAAGCAAACCAAAAGCAGTCACTGGTGCATTCGAGTTGAAAGCTGAAAGGGAATCTCAATTAGGGTTCCAATCAATTAGGGTTCCAAGAAATCAACAACAGGAAGAAGAAAATGTCGTATCTGTTGCCTCACTTGCACTCAGGCTGGGCCGTCGATCAAGCAATTCTTGCCGAAGAAGAGCGTCTTGTCGTTATCAGATTCGGCCACGATTGGGACGAAACATGCATGCAGGTAATTCTCGATTTCAATTTCACATCGTGAATTTTTAATTTCATGTTGTAAGTCATGAATTGTAAATTATGAATTTCGAAATGATTAATCTGCATGATGTGAATTGTGATGGTTTCGATTTGAATTCCATTTAATTGTGATGAAATTGGGAGCATAGATGGATGAGGTGTTGGCGTCGGTGGCGGAGACGTTAAAGAACTTCGCGGTGATATACTTGGTGGACATAACGGAGGTGCCGGATTTCAACACCATGTACGAACTCTACGATCCTTCAACGGTCATGTTCTTCTTCAGGAACAAGCACATCATGATCGATCTAGGCACTGGCAACAACAACAAGATCAATTGGGCTCTGAAGGACAAGCAGGAGTTCATCGACATTGTGGAGACAGTTTACCGTGGCGCAAGGAAGGGTCGCGGGCTCGTCATCGCTCCCAAAGATTATTCCACCAAATACCGCTACTGATTCGTTGGTGTGCTGAATTGTACCTCTTTTGCAACACCCAACTGATATGTCAAGGTTTTACAAAGCGGCTTTGAATTTTCTTCACTCAAATCTAATCTTATATTTAGTCCCAATATAAAGGTTATGGATTCTAAGAGACTTCAATTTTGGGGTTTTGTGAATGCAATTGCTATCGCAGCTTAATCTTTATTTTTGGGGTCTACGTTGCGGTGGTATTCGAAACTCATATCAATTGGGACTGTATCTTTATCTTGTAAGAACATAATTTATTCTGAATAAAATACTCTTTTATTACTTTTGTGGTCTCTGTATCATCTATTCTTTTGATAATCTACTGTATAACAAAGTATAGTAAAGGTGTATTTATTTATTGTGAATATATGAGAAGTATTTATGCGTGGTTAATAAATGTATATTTGAAAAAAAAAGTTGGAAATAATGTTTATTCGAAATTGTTATGATAGCAAACACATATAAACAGAAATTTTCTTCGAAAATACAGAACAGAGGATAAGAAAATGGGATAGCATTTCCTAATTCTTATGCTAAACACTGACCTTACACGATCAGATGTATTTTTCTCCCTTTTATTATTCAGAGGGAAACACAAACACAACTCAGTATTAAATCACGACATGTTTGGCATAAGATTTCAAACCAGAGTTTCAGAAGCTGAGTCAGAGAGTTGATCAAGTATGCAATTCTTAAAGGAGAAATTGTTATACATAATCTACTGTGATTCGAGTGTAATTATATATACGTTACACCTTATTACTTGTATCTATATCTTTGCTACTATACTTTAAAGAACCCAATATGTTTATCGATTTTTATTTCCAATTAAGGCCAGAAGTTCTGTAGTTGCCATTCCAATCATGTACCATGTTGCTGCTGCCAGCATACACTGCAACCAAGAGCTGTTAACAATGTCCAGAGCAAGAGAACCACCCACATGTTGTTGCAACTCTTGTGTTGACCCAACTGTTTGTACTTGAACTGTAACAACTGCAGTCAATGCAGTAACCATTGGTAGTCCCCATCTAATAGGGCTATTTTGATTCTCATATGTTTCATGATCAGTTTCGTTCGTGTTATTTTGTACTTTAGTAGTGACTGAAGGCTTCTCAGGTGGAACTGGAGTAGTAGTAGTTCTAGTTGAAGAAGGAAGGGCATGAGTTGATGGAGTCCAATAATCCTCTGGATGAATGCAATTTAATGGGGTTTGACGTTTGGTCCTTGTCCTTTCTCTGATTTTCTTCCTTGCAGCTGCGTCCCTGAGCTTGCCGATATCCGGTTCAGGCAATTTATATACAACTCTTGTCATGCTTTTTTCAGATTTTGATGAGTTACTACTTGCACCAGGTGATTGCCAGTATAACCAATTGGAAATCGATCTTATTGCCTGAATTGCAGACATTCTTGATTCTCTTTGGAGGTCTGTTTCCTGTAAGAAATGTAATCTAGTTAATCCATGAAGTAGAGAGTGAGTAAGCATGGAAGTAGTTAATCTATTCTTGCTCTCTATGTATTCCTCCATTACATTCCAAACTAACCTTAGAACTCTTAGAAGCTTTTTCCTTTGCTTCCTGGAATCTAGTCTGAAATTTCTCCACATCTACAAAAATGTTAGCGACACGAGCACCGGCTGTATGAGCTGCACCTACTCTTACGTTGCCACGTGGCTGCTTGGACATCAAGAACTCCAAAGCTGCAAGGTTGGACCTTTCAACAACCCTAGTTTATTCAAAAGCAGAAGAACGATCATACACAAGAAGTATAATGGAAAAGGGTTAATCAACATTTTAAGGAATCCTGACCAAAATATTTTTCATATTACTGTTAGTGCAAAGTTAAAATTCTTCCAAGATTAATGGCTGTCCTTCAATGCCTATACAAATTGTCAAATCCTCTCTAGATAATGTACTTTTCTGAGCACAATGAATGCTAGTCTCAGACTTTCTCAATTTCAATAACAAATATCCAGCAATTTCCGCTTGCTAATTGCTCAACCGATCCCTTCCTTGATGTCAGTGATCCTATGGAATTACAAATGTATGTGTAACAATTAAGAAAAACTTATGATTCTCATCTTGATCCTCTGAGTTTCAGTGATTCCCAAAATTGAAGCCAAATATAGAATGGTATATATAGACTTACGAAATGCAATTAACAGGACAAGATTCTATTGCCTCATCAATCTTTTGTGGGGAATCAGCCCACTGAGCAACAACCCTTGCTCTTCCATAAACTGATTCAACAGCAAAAGTCTTTTCAGCTAACAGTGCACATTTCAGGCAGCCAACACATTTGATCTCGTCAACAAATATTGCCCGCTGCTCACTTTCTGATCCACACCAAACAGAGTATATGGGTCTTCCAGTGAAGCCTTTGAATTCTGAACTCTTTGCTTGTTCCTGCACCACATGAACATTTTCTTGTATAAAACATCCAACCTAAACAATTTGTCAATTGGTTTCTCTTGATACACTGTGCGAAAACATGGATTCACATTCACCGACACATTCTCCAGTTCAAACGCCAAATTTCATAGTTTTCTGCTTTTCTTTGTCTTAACAAGCAGTATATCCATCTCATGATCCAAATACTATTTCGTAATCAAAACTAGAAAATGGACTAAACCCCAATTTGAATAAACAACTGAACAAGCACTTCAAAGGAAAAAACACAACAAAATGAGTCAAATTTCTGGTCTAAGTTAAGATTAACCAACAACCTTAGAGTTAATTTCTCTGGACTCATTATGAATCAATCAAAAATAGTGTTACATATATTCTCTGGACTCATACACCTTAGCTTTTTCAAAAGATCACTTCGAACTTGTCTATAAACAGCTACAAACTTAAGAGAAACTGACATTATTGCCTTTCAAAAGTCTGAAACTTTTATTAGAAGCTCTCACTCAAACTGTTCCTAAAACTTTAATTGGATAGAAGCACAAATCAATAGTCATAGAACCACAATTGATTCGTTGCCAGACATATCACAACAAGAGATGAGTGATGAAAGTTTTGGCTCTCTTGAGTGTTCCGAAGAAGAAAGCAATATTTGAGGGAATCGGACTCTGTTCTTACCAAGTTCGAAATTTCGATAGAACCAATTTTGTGATCCAAACCTGGACTCAATTAAGACCCCACAATATTTGGTAAAACATGAATATATTAATCTCAATATTATACAGCTAAGCTAAAATAAGGTACACTAAACAAAACGTCATAAAGTTATACTATCGATACATAATTATTTAAAAAATTATATTTTTAAAAAATATATAACATTAGATTGGGCTGGGATAGTTGAAAGTAACCCAAACTTGTCTTGGATCTAATTTTTTACACCCAAATCGGTCAAGAATCCCTTTGAATGAGGTCGGGTTACTGAGATGAGATGGGGGATGAACACCCTTTGAAGCAAAAGCAAGTAATTGGAAACGTAGAAGAAGAGAAAAAACCTTATCATAAGCATGGCGTGCATTTGGGTCAGAGAGAATGGCATAAGCTTCATTAAGTATGATGGCCATGTCATGACCAGCAGGGCCAGCAATGTCAGGGTGGCAGCGCTTCTGAAGAGAGCGATATGCCACTTTCACCTCTGACTGATCACACGAGCTGTCTATGCCCAGAAGCTCATACAAGTCAAAGTCTACCATAGATGATGATGATGATGATGCCTTGCATGTGAAGGTGGGAGTGGATGCATTAGACTTGGAGAAAGTCTTGTTTTGGAGGGTTGAAGGGTGAAATCCTAGTGGCTTTTTTATGATGTGGGAAGGAAGACATGCAGATGCAGATGAAACGGTGGCCATGTTGGTGATGATGGAAGGATGAGTTTGAGAAGAACAGGGAAGGGAAAGAGGATAAGACATCATCGTATGATATGGTTTGAAAACTTTGTTACTACATAAATAACATGACCCACTACAATCAACCATGCAAGATATTTTGCCTTCTCACTTTTCCTGAAAAGGATGCAAGATACTTTTATTTTTATATATATACCCGTTTGAATATAAATTAGATTTTCTCAGATTTCTTTTTCTAAACATTATCTCCTTTAATATATATTATTCATCTTTATTTTTAAATTAAATTAAATCAATAATGATTTTGTCTTACATAAATTTAAAATATAACTTATGTATTTAAGATAATTATTTGTTATACCTATTGGAAACTTAAACAATTGAAACATTGATTTCATGTCTCTTGTAATTCAAATAAAATGTAATTGGCAATTAGAAAATATCCTGATTACATATTAGCTTCTTCTTCTTCTTTTTTCTTTAATGGTTATATAAACAAATACATGGTAAGTGAATTTTCAATTAGCACATATCTACATGAAATAGATACAATAAAAAAAATATAAAATTAAATGTTTGTTAAAATCCAAGCTGAACTTATAGAGAAAGGAAAATTTGGAACTGAGATTGTGGCATTTTTTTTCATAGGCAAAAGTTAAACTTATTTTAACAAAATTAAGTAACTAAACTTATTGGAGTAATTCTTCTCCTAAATTTGGAGTATTTTTATTTTTTTTATCAAAAGTTTGATACTGTTTAATTTTTTATATATTCATGTGATATCGGTTAATATTAATAACTATTAATTTGTGTTTTTAAATATTATAATAATTATGAATTGTTGGTAGTAAATTTTTATATTTGAATGATTACGTTAAATAGTAAATTTTTGAAGGTAAACTCCCTATATTTTCCTTAAGAGAATATTTATATTTGTTCAAAACTAAATTATTATTGAAATTGAGTTTGAAATTAAGACTAACATCACTGTAGAGGGACAAACATAATGAAGTTACCATGACAGTTAGAACCGGTTTGGAACTTCCTTACAAAATATTCAGTTTTGTTAACTGTTAAAGTGTTACTTCCATTCTGTATCACCAATTTATTGACAATCAAACGTATACATATTAAGCATTCTTGGATCCACACTAGTTGAAAATGCACACAGTTTTCATTCCACCTTTTTCAGTTTTGCATCATACAACATGAGCAAGAAAAGGAGAAGAAATGTAAAATTCTCTTGCATGTAGTTCGGGACTAGAAGTTTACATTTCTGTCACAAAATTGCAGTGTTTATTGGTTATGTAAAGTTTTAAATTATGATATTCTGTATTTAATCTGTTAGATATCCTTATTTGGTTATGGGGAAGATGATGATGTCATGATAACCACATGCAATGCCATCTCTGTACTGAATTAATTGTTATGAGTGGTAAATAGTTTTAGAGGAAGATTTAGAAAACAAATTTACAGTGCTTTTTAAGGGGTTGAATTAATAGTTAATGCATAAAGAATTGTTCATCTGTAACAACATTGTTGATGATGCAGTCTGTCCTAAAAGAAAATGTTGATGAAGAATTTTATGCTGTTTAGTCACCATATATAGTTTCATATTTTGATTTGTTTCTCTCAACAGTGTTCCTATTTCCTAGTAACTCCTCGTCAATTATTCTTTCTATCATTGGATAAAGCAAGTATCAAACATTAAAGCCTGTTTTAAATGCCAGATTTCTGCACGATTTTCAAGATTATATTCGATTTGCCCGTGTAATGTTTGATGCCCCTACTAATCTATAACTTTCCTTTTAATGGGGAAGGGTGTTTGAATTAGTAATCTAAATGAGCTTTTACATGATGCTGGGGTCATGGCCATTTTGAAGCAACAATATTTTATTTTGTACCAGTATTACTCAAAGAATTGTTTGGAAAGAAATTCAGAATGAAAGTGCAATGTTTCAAAACATTATTACAGTATTAGTGAAGTTCTTGCAAATTGATCAAGGGAACTTCTGTTTCACTTTATGTAGGTATCTCAAGAAATCGATCTATGCTAAACAAAGTAAGTTTATACGTAATGATTCTTTCTCAATTATGAGTGATAGAAAATAACAACTATAATTATGCTTTTCATGACATGCAGACTCATCTATTTAATTTCTCCAATTTTGTTATGTTAGCTTCATTGTGTAATCGAGTGAAATTTTATACTGATTAATGTACAATTTGCCTAATAATTGTTAAATATATTTTAGGCTGGAGAAAAGGCCTCCAAGGGTGGACATTGGTGTAGTTGAAGAAGAATTAGATGCTAGTAATCCTTGATATAGAGAAAGACCAAGTAAAATGGGTGCACCAAAAGTTTCCAGATGTGGAAAAAGTAGAAGAACAATGGCTGGTAAAAGTTCAATTACTCAGCCAGCAGCCAGACATGGCACCAACAAACTGACCAAATATGATATAGCTGATCTAGAATGGACCAATAGGATTCCAGAGTGTCCAACATACTACCCATCAGAGCATGAGTTTGACCATCCTTTAGTTTATCTGCAGAAGATAGCTCCTGAGGCTTCTAAATATGGTATGTGATAGGTTATGGATGGTTTTCTTTTAATTACAGGTACTCCATCATTGTGTTTGTGGGGTAAGGGCTTCATCTCTCACTGAAATATTTATGCCAAGAATTTCCTTTGTATAAGAAATTGATGTAATATAGTTGAATGGTGTGCAAATTAAGTTGGCATTTTTTGCCTTATTCAGATGTGATTAGTATAAGCACTTTTATCTAGCAAATAGAAATGGCAGGATTCTTTTAGAGGTGTGGGAAGGGGAAAATTGAAAGGAAATTCCTCTATTTCCACTCAAATTTAAAGTTACATAACCTTAAATATATGATCCTCTAACATCCATTTTGTTTGTCCTCCTAAGCATACTAAGGATGCTACTTGCTATCCATTCCATTTCTGTATGTACTTGCCTTTGGTCTTCTTCCTCGTAGGGTTCATGTCACAAATTAAAAGGATTTGGTTTAAACCAGAGTTATTTATTCAAACAGTTCAGAAGTATCTAAATATAACAAGTTCTTTCTGGATTCTTTTTTTTTGTCTTCTTATTTTACTTGCATGCTTATTGTTTCATCATCATATTTCAGGTATATGCAAAATTGTTTCGCCAATTGCAGCCTCTAACTCGTCTGCTTTTGTCTTAATGAAAGAGAAAAGAGATTTTAAGTTTGAAACAAATGTACAGCCTCTTCGTCTTTCTAAATGGAATGAGAAGGGTATAATATCCTTTTCTATGAGTGGCAGGTAAAATAGCATCATGCTATTAAGCTTTTGTGCTGCTTAATTTATGTAAAATAAAATAATTGTTGGTTGTTACTGATTCAACCAGAAAATACACATATCATGAATTTGAGTCTCTTGCAAACAAGACTTTTTTCAGTAGATTTCATAGTTCTGGAGGTATTCCTTCTTCATGTGTGGAAAAGGAGTTCTGGCATGAGATGACTCATGGAGAAAAGGGAACAGTTGAGTACGGAGTCAATGTTGAAGGTAGTGCCTTTTCATGTGATCCTGATGACAGGCTTGGAACAAGTAAATGGAATTTGAAGGTTGTTTTTCTGACTTTATGCTTACTCCATTTCTTTTGTGTTTTCTTTTAACATCAGCACTTCTGCAAGAGCTTTTTTGGTTGTCATGCATTGATTTTCAAAAACTCAAGTCTGCTATTAGAAGTTAATATATTGATTGTTATTTGCAGTAACATTTTTCATTCATGTATTATTCTTTTAGCAAAATTTTGCATTTGATTTCAGAATTTCTCACGGCTGCCGCAGTCCCCGTTACGTTTACTTGACAGGGAAATTCCAGTAAGAAAGCAATTTTAGAACCCTAACGAATTAAAAAGTTACAATTTCCTTCTTTCTAATTCCAATTCTGAATTTTAGGGAATAACTGATCCTATGCTTTATATTGGAATGCTGTTCAGTATGTTTGCATGGCATGTAGAAGATAATTATTTGTACAGGTATATATCTAAGAACAGTCTTCTTTTTTTCTTCCTCATCCATTACCATTGTTTAACTTTAACTTACCTTAGATCTTGATATATATTTCTGTCTTCTTCACAGCATAAATTATCATCACTCAGGTGCAAGTAAAACTTGGTATGGTGTGCCTGGCTATGCAGCCTCTCAATTTGAAAATACCGTCTTACAACATGTGTATTGCAATAAGATCTTAACAAAACATGGAAAGGATGGAGCTTTCAAGTTTCTTGCACAAAAAACAACCATGTTCCCACCAAATATAATGTTACAACATGATGTGGAAGTTTACAAGGCTGAGCAGAAGCCGGGAGAGTTTATCATAACCTTTCCCAGAGCATATCATGCTGGATTTAGTCATGGTAATCTTTCATTCTCGTTGCAGGCGTCTGTGTGAAATTGACTTCACATGTTCAGAGACACGCAATGATACAAATTCTAATTTTAAACATGAATTAGTATCTGATTTTCAGGCATGGTTAGGGTAAAGATTTTATTTCTTAATAATTAGAGATAATTTTAAGTATAAATTCTAGAGTAACTAGTATAAAGGCACACAATCTCCCCATACATGATCATTTATAATAGGATAACGAGGAAAAATCTTTTGTATTCTCAATACATCCTTGATAAATTATTTTAATTATTTGATTCTTGTTGATCCTAGGTTTTAACTGTGGAGAAGCAGTAAACTTTGCTAATGGTGATTGGTTTCCACTTGGGGCTGCAGCTAGCAGGCGTTATGCACTTCTGAGAATGATGCCTTTAATTCCATACGAGGAACTTCTTTGTAAAGAGGCAATGTCTGTTTACATGTCCTCAAGTGTCAGAAGTGCCAAGAACAAGCCTGAAGACACAGCATCTTATAAATCTATAATGCAGCCTTTCTCGCACCTTATGCAATTTTATAAGACATCCCTTTTGCGACGGAAGAGTTCAAGAAACTTGCCAAGTTCTTCAAATACACCAGGTTTTCTTTTGTGTGGCATATGCCACAGGGATTGTTATGTAGCTTACCTGCTGTGCAAGTACTGCTTATCTCACCCAATTTGTCTCTTCCATGGTAAGACATCATTCATATATTCATTTTGCTTTCAGTTACGACTTAGATGTAGACTTCATTATGATTTGAGACGTGCTAACTTTCAGTTTGTCAGCAACAAGATGAATTGGGACTTAATGACATGTTTTTTTGGCTCTGCTGTTTATTATTGGCATGCAGACATTGCACCACATACTTGTATATGTGGGAGAGATTATTCTATTTTCAAAAGGAATGACATTTTCGCACTGGAAGAAGCTGCCAAAAGTTTTCAACAGGTAAAAGAATGCAATGACACATTCTCCCTATCAAGTACATGTTTCTGTAAGAGAAATGAATGCATCAAAGATCTTGAGGTATGTGGAAATCGGTAATGGCAATTTGGTGGATTGGCTTTGACACTTACTTCATAAAATCTTAAATATACCTTTCTTTCCTTGCATTACAAATATATTCAATTTTACTTTATCTTCAGGCTGCTTCCATTTTTTTTTTTTTTTTAACTTAAAACTAAAAGCAGGATCCTTGGCACGAAGAGAGTGTAAGCGAAACTGAAAATGCTCTAGGGGCAGCATCTAAACCGAAAATAAAAGTAGCTGACTACATCAAGCACAGTGTTGAAAATAAGACGACAAAGCATTGGAGAAACGATAGATCTGCGAAGGGTACCAATAGGCCAGAAATAATTTATAACCTGAGAAAACGCAAATCAGATTTGATTCTATGAATTCCTGCAACAACTTCTGCGGCCAACATCTAACAATTGAGTCTGAAAAATTAAAATAAGCTAGTCATTAATCAGATTGATGCAGATTTCTCCTGATTCATTTGTTCAAACATACATTATTTAAAAGTTGCATACTGTAGAATAGTTTAGCCTTTTCATTCCTTCTATGCAGTATTATTTCTGAAATTTGTTTGAAGGATACACAATATGTTGAGAAGGTTGTCCTTGTTCTCAAATATTGTTGATGTAGTAACTTACACGACAGAATTATTCTTAAAACTTTGTTATAAAACTCTTATCACTGTTTTTAATTTAGTGTTATTTCCTTGAATCATGCTTGTCCTCTCAAATATAAATGGCCATTAGTCATTACATCGTTACAACTACTCCTCCATCATGCACCAGGTACAGAGCTGAAAGAATTTTTGTGCTTAATAGACTTTTGAATAACCAGCGCCAAAACCAGAAATGGCTAAATTCGGAATCTGAAATATTTTTTTTTGATGTACTACGTATAATATATGGAACTAGAGGTGTCAACCTTATTAGATGTCTACTTCAGAAATTTTTGTTAATGCAATTTAAAATCAAAACAACAATAAATACGTTGAGTATATGTAGAATACATACACCGCTTAAATAACTAACGAAAGTCTCCATTCCCAGTTTTCACCAATTAAACCTGATGAGTTTAATATTAGAAAATGAATCTGGAAGCTGTATATGATTTCACTCCTCTGGAATAAGAAAGTCCAACCAGCTTAAAGTCTCTCTCGTATAAATTAGATTCAATTGACCACTTTCAATCACATGCTCTAATATCAGTGTTGAATGTTGTGTCGACATGTCACTGAATACGTAGTATAATGCATGCATACAGCATTAGTTTATCAAATCATATCAGATCATCATCAATCAAACACAAATTATCATCAAACAGCTATAGACTCCTAACTTGAAACCCTTGACACTAGCAAGTAGCAAACCCAATTCAGCAAACAATCCAAAGCACAAGACAAAACAATCTTTAAATGATTGCTCCTAACCACAAAATAACCTGACATACAAAATCATGCTAACAGAAATTATCACAATGCAACAACCAAGAGCACATCCACGTACGATTCTTACATACAACTCAAAAGTCAACAATAATCACCCAATCCATGCCAAAGACTTGAATACAATATTGACCATGATTACAATAACAATTCGCATACACTGCCAATGCACAATCCTTTTCAAACAATAGGAACCACACTCCCAAAACATCAACATAGAATCAGCAATCCATAAAGTCACATCATCTAATGGGGACACATTTGTAACTCAGCTGAAAAATAATTCCTAAACTAATATGAAATGTAGCAATAGCTAACACAAACTTAAAGAGAACGTGTCCTGACCAAATTGTACTATGGTCTCAATCCAATAGTAAAACATTACAGTAACTACTAAAACCATATTTAAATATATAAAATAACTATTGCTCATCATTAATAACCATGCCACTACGTGCAAAAAGACTAGACACAGAATATCAAATAAAGTTCTTACTCTAGATGAAAAACCAAGATCAAACATCCATATGCATACATACGTTAATACATACACTTTATTTGAGAAGAAGCACTGGCCTGATCTGATCTCTATACAGACTTTGCTCCGACTACCAAATATAGTTAACATAGGCATCAGTATCAAAATCAGGACAAGATAGTTCATAAGACAAAAGATTGTGATGGAGGATTTCATCCACTAAGGTGTTTGTTATCAGCAACAATACACAATACTATGCAATACGTCTATTTGGATACAAAGTTAGAAATGTTTTAGAGCTTTCGAAAGTTTCTGTACTGGAAAAAAGTTTTATATTTTCAACAGAAAAACTCTTGAAAGCACTTCTAATCTGTATCCAAACAGGTCCTAAACTTTTGACAACATTTGAGTACAAAGCTAGAAATGTTTTTGACAACATTTGAGAGCTTCGCTCTTGGAAAATCTTCTTATTTACGGTACATAAGTTATGAAAATCATTTGTAACTATAATCCAAAAAGGCCCTCCTACACTACACTGTACTATAACTGCAAATGACATAAATCACGGCTGCACCGATCGAAATTGTCGCTGTTGTTGCTGCTTGCAACAAACCCTAATCCTCCCCTGGAGGTTCTCCCCTTGAACTGCGCCACCTTCACGTCCTCCTTCGCGTTCTTTCCGATCCCCATGCCTTCCGTCCAACCATACCCGGAAAGCACCGCTGCGCCGAAACCCTCGACGGGGACATCCTCGAAGTCCTCAAAGCCCCGACCCTCCGGCAGCCTTTGAAGGTCGTCCTGCAGCTTCAACTTGTGCAGGAGCTGGGTTTCTGCCGGAGTGCGGCGGTAGAGTCTGGAACTGTTGTTGGAGGGTTTCCAGTGGTTTTGGAGAGGGGGGATTGTGACTTTGGGGGCGGAAGGGGTTGCAGGCTTCGAAGGGTCGAATTCGGTGATGGAGTATTTGGTCGAGTCGACGTCGTTTTGGGTGGCGATGGATTTGGGCTTTGATTGGGGATTTGCGGAGGGGACGGAGAAAGATATCTTCTTCATGGTTATGGTGTTTCGCGAATCGATGGTGAAGAACGATGACTCTGGTTGTTTTTCGCTATGCATAAATATCGCATTTCATAAAATATTTATTGTAATATTGTTGTGGAAATATTTAGTAACAAGAATTGCTCTTTAGAATATCCATGCAGAGATAAAGAAGCCAAATATGAACTTTGCATTTTCAATTATTTTTTTCAATTTAAATGGTTATATCTTCCATTTAGTGAGTTATGCTCTTTAAAATGAAAGGTGTATTTGTATTTATTTATGGGTAAAAAAGAGTGTGTACATGTATAGTTATTAATGAAAAAAAATAGTAAATAATGTTTTAGTGAAACTTTTATGATAACAAAAAGATATAAACAGAATTTTTCTTCGAAAATGAAGAACAAGGAGAAGAAAATGGGATAGCATTTCCTATTTCTTATGCTAAACACCGATCAGATGTATTTTCTTCCTTTTATTTTGCAGACGGAAACACAGACACAACTCGCGGGTCATGCTTAAAATTAGTCACAGCATTCGTTAAAATCAGATGTTAATCGGAGCATCCAACCAACTTTGCTAGCTCAATTATAATGCTTCAAACGTTATGGCATCTTGAGTATTTGTGTTAAAGCATAACAATGAAAGATATGTGAAACTTTTAGTGATATCTAATATACAAGGAAAAACAATGGTTTATACACGTTCACGCAAATACTCCATTGTCAATATTAATTCCAACATGTTTGGGATAATATTTCACACCAGAATTTCAGAAGAAGCTGAGTCAGAGAATTTATTAAGTATGCAATTCTTATAGGAGAAATTGTTACACATAATCTACTGTGATTCGAGTGTAATTTTATATACGTTACACCTTATTACTTGTATCTATATCTTTGCTACTATCCTTTAAAGAATCATGTATGTACTTTTACTATTTTTATTTCCAATTAAGGCCAAAAGTTCTGTAATTGCCATTCCAATCATGCCCCATGTTGCTGCTACCAGCATACGCTGCAGCCAAGAGCTGTTAACAATATCCAGAGCAAGACAATCAGTGGCGGATCTTCTTGGGAGTTTAGGGGGTCGTGGCCCCCCCAAAGTTTTGTAACTCTCATGTAATTTATGATTTTGGCCTCCCCAAACATAATGAACATTTAATATATTTACTTGTATATTTACAATTTTATCCTCTCAGCCCCTCCTCAGTTTTATAACTCTCTTTGTTTCCCACAAACTTAATGATCATTTAATATATTTAAGTATATATCTACAATTTTATCTTTTCAACCTTTCATGTTCTTTCTTCCTTTTATATTTATTTATTACTTATTAATAATATATTATTTGACCCCCCAAGATCAATGGTCAAGATCCGCCACTGAAGACAATCACCCACATGCTGTTGCAACTATTGAGTTGACCCAACTGTTTGTACTTGAACTGTAATCACAGCAGTCAGTGCGGTAACCATTGGTAGTCCCCATCTAATAGGGCTATTTTGATTCTGATATGTTTCATGGTCAGTTTCATTTGTGTGTTTTTGTACCTTAGAAGTAACTGAAGGCTTCTCAGGTGGGATTGGAGTAGCAGTACTTCTAGTTGAAGAAGGAAGGGTATGAGTTGATGGAGTCCAATAATCCTCTGGATGAATGCAATTTAATGGGGTTTGATGTTTGGTTCTTGTCCTTTCTATGACTTTCTTCCTTCCGGTTAGCTTGTCCGGTTCACTTAATTTATGATATATAATTTAAATATACTAGGACCATTATTTATTAAGTTAAATAATAAAGTAATATGACTAAATTAAAGTTTTTGTTAAAGACATATGTCATGAAAATAAAATTATGTAGAGACCATAGAATAATTTCTAATTTTATAAGGGACTAAATTAGAAATATTAAAACTTAAGTAATTAATCTAATTCTAATTATTTTAAGGGGTCATGGTCCTCATCCGAGAACATGTAGACAAAACATAAGTTTCACTTCCGTTCCTTTCTTTCTATTCTCATCAAGAGAGAAAATCAAGAGGGAAATACAGGTGGAATACCATAAGATCAATATAGTGTTCTATAAGGACATCATCATTATGGTTAATTCAGGTACGCTTTCGTATTCAGTTTACAGCATGTTTATCAGTATGGGATTACGTTTATGTTTGATCGTTAGAATCAATATCAGGATTATAATTATTATTAATTTTCCAACAATTGGTATCAGAGCTACCCATACTTGATTCATGTCTGTTTAATTTATATAATCCTAATTATGAAAATTAGGATTAATTTTGTTTTAAACAATTCAAATTATCCATTTTTTATGAACCCTAGGTGGAGAATAATCTCCAATTTTCGTGAACCTTAAAATTTAAATTTGGAGGTAACATTCTCAATCTACTTTTGCTTGCTGATGGAACCGTGGAGGAAGTTATGGATTCTTCTTCTTATTCATTTTTCCCTTTTATTTCGGTTTAAGTTTCAAGTTTTACTGAGAAATAAATAGTGTTTCAAATTTCAATCTTTCTTGTATTGTGTTCTTTGTTCTTTTTGAATCTTTTGTTTTTTTTCATTTATTTATTTTTTCTGGGTTTGTTTTCACTTTCTTTTCATGGTGGATATGGATGTGTTTGGAATTGGGGGTGGTATTTGGGGAGTTCCTAACACAGAGGATCTTAGCAACTAGTGAATGTTTTCTTAGGTGTGACTGTTATTATTTTATTATCTTTATCCTCTGGGGATTTAAGGGAAGTTGATGTTAAATTCCCTGTTTAGGGTTTGAGTGTTTCTGTTTAATCCCCTTTTAAGGTTTAGAGCAGTGTGTTAAAGAGAGTCATAACTATCTCTATTTTATCCCTAGTGTGATTTTAGGAAGATGTGCATCCTTTATGTGTTGGTTGAAAAGGAGGTGATGTTCATCCTTTGATTTGTTCAAAGGAGGTGTTCATCCCATTAGGGAGATGTTCATCCTTAGTGGATTCTAATAAGGTGATTATCTTTTGAATTAGTTTACAAATATTAAATATTTGGTTTTGTTATATAAATAAAATATTCAAATTTTTTTGTAGTTTAATATTTTTGGTGAGCAAATTGAGTCAAGAAGTCACCAAAGTAACCTCTCTTGAATTGGGCAGTTCATGAAAAATATTGAATGTTAGTGGTTGTGTATATTCATGCGAGTATTAGTCGGCCCAAAGGAAGATTAATATTTGGCCGAATTGCATATACACTTGTAATGATAAACATGTGATAATTATAAAGATTTGTTTTGTCGATGATAAATCAATCCAAAGACTGGTTTGTTGTTGGACGTGTTTTATTGTCAATGTTTGATTATTACAACAAGATACCTCTAGTAGATAATAATACTATCCAAAGACTTAATATTGATGGTGCATTGGGTGTCTTGAGATGTGTTAAACCATTATTTGAATATATATTTATAATTATTTATTTTTATATAATGTGAGCATAATTAGTTTATTTCTTGTGTTCTAAATTCAACTACAATTGCTTCTATATTTACCAATTTAAATTTTGTTCCAATCTTTAAAAGTATGTTTCCTACTTTTATCTGTTCTGAAATCAATTGAGCGTCAGTACCTAGTAACACTTGGTGGCTAGACTCAGGTGCAACTACTAACATCAGTGTTTCTATGAAGGGTTGCCTAAGCTACCGGAAGCCAATTGATTCTTAAAAAAAATGGATATATGTTGGAGATGGAAAAACAATATAGGTGGAAGCTATAAGGCATTTTAAATTGTTATTGAGTACTGGTTTTTATTTGGATTTGAAAGACACTTTTGTTGTGCTGTCATTTAGACGGAATTTGGTTTCAGTTTCTTATTTGGACAAATTAGGTTATTTGTGTTCATTTAGAAACAATAAGTTCAGTTTGTCTTTTAATTCAGATATTGTTGGAACTGGTTCACTTTTGGCTTATGATAATCAGTATTTACTTGATATTGTGGTCACCTATAATAAAACCCTTAATACAGAATCACGTGGTACTAAACATAAAATTGAAAATACTCACTCAGGTGCATTATGGCACAAGTGCTCAGGTCACAATCGAATCGTGGGGAGCTTGTGTTACACTCTTAAAGATATGATAAGGAGTATAATTTGTCATTCCACCTTACTGGAATCATTATGGGGAGAGGCACTAAAAATGACAACTTATATTTTAAATAGAGTACCAATTAAAGTAGTTACCAAAACACCTTATGAGCTTTTGGCTGGGCAACAACCTAGTCTGGAGCATTTTCATGTGTGGGGTTGTCCAACTGAGGCAAGGCCTTATAAGCCAAATGAAAAGAAATTGGACTCCCGAATAGTAAGTAGTTATTTTATTGGTTATCCTGAAAGATCCAGGGGATATAAATTTTATGATCCCACATTAAAAGCAATTTTTGAGACGGGAACTGTTACGTTCTTTAAGGATATTGAGTTTGGGGGAAAGAATAAGATTAAGAACTTTATCTTAGAGGAAGAATCGGTAACAATTTCAGAACCGATTCAAATAGTTACTTTTGATAAAGTAAGTTCAGAACCTCCACAAGACATTATTGATGAACCCCTACTCAAGATGATTTGGTTGTTCATGAAGAACAAACTCAAGATCCTCAAGAACCTGTGCATCATGAGCCAATAACTTTGTGGAGATCCACTAGAGAAAGAAGAAGTGTTATTTCGGATGATTACATGATATTTTTTCAGGAACATGAGGAAAACAATGATATAATGGAAGATGACCCAGTTAACTTCCGTCAAGCTATGCAAGGTTCTAACTTTCAAAAGTGGATTGAAGCAATGAAGGAGGAGTATAAGTCCATGCAAGACAATAAGATTTGGGAACTTGTCCCATTACCAGAAGGTATAAAACTCATTGGTTGCAAGTGGATATTTAAGACCAAACGAGATTCTAAAGGTAATGTGGAAATGTATAAGGCTCGTCTGGTAGTTAATGGCTATACCTAAAAGGAAGGGATTGACTTTAAAGAGACTTTCTCTTTAGTTTCATCGAAAGACTCTTTTAGGACAATCATGACTCTTGTAGCACATTATGATTTGGAGTTTCATCAAATGGATGTCAAGACGGCGTTTCTCAATGGTAACATTGATGAGACAATTTATATGGTACAACCAGAAAATTTTGTGCAGGGAGATCCAAAGAATATGGTTTGCAAACGAACAAAATTCATTTATGGACTAAAACAAGTATCTCGTCAATGATACTACAAATTTTATCAAGTAATTCTCTCATTTGGCTTCGAAATGAATATTGTTGATGATTGTGTGTATCACAAGTTTAAGGAGAGCAAGTATATTTTCCTAATCTTGTATGTTGATGATATTCTACTTGCCATTAATGATACAAACATATTGCACAAAACCAAAATTTTTTTATCAAAGAATTTCAAAATGAAAGACCTTGGTGATACGTCTTTTGTATTAGGAATTTAGATACACCGAGATCGATGTCGGGGTATTTTAGGATTATCACAAAGGAGCTATATCGAAAAAATTCTTAAAAGGTTTGATATGCATGAATGTAAATCCAGGGATACTCCAGTTGTTAAGGGAGACAAGTTTAGTCTCAATCAGTGGCCAAAGAGGAATTTGGAAATTGAGGAAATGCATAACATTCCCTATTTATCAGCTATAGGGAGTTTGATGTATTCCTAAGTATGTATACGTCCAGACATAACATACATAGTTGGGATTCTAGGCAGATATTTAAGTAATCCAGGAATGGACCATTGGAAAACAGCAAAAAGGGTCATGAGATATTTAAAGAGAACAAAAGATTATATGCTCACATACAGGAGGTCAGACCAGTTTGAGATCGCTGAGTTTTTTTACTTGGACTTTGCAGGATGTCAAGATAGTTTGAAATCCACTTCAGGTTACATTTTTATGTTGGCAGGTGGTGCGGTTTCTTGGCGCAGTGTCAAGCAAACCCTTACCGCTTCATCCACTATGGCAGCAGAATTTGTAACATGCTATGAAGCATCAAATCATGGAATATGGCTGAGAAATTTTGTCACAGGGCTACAAATTGTGAAAGGCATTGAAAGACCACTTAAGTTATATTGTGACAACAAATCAGCTGTATTGTTAAGGAAAAAGTACAGAGTGGGCAGATTTTCATAGAACACTTAAGGACAAACTCCATGATAGTAGATCCTCTAACTAAAAGACTTTCGTCCAAGGTCTTTCATGAGCATGTTGCTCACATGGATGGTTTACAATTTGAGGAATTTGTGGTTTAGTGGGAGTTAGTCATTTTCATATATTTTATGTTCTATGTTTAATTTCATATATGTATACATTGATTTTTTGGACATATTTGGTTATCTATAGATATGCGATTTTTTGTTCAATCATTACACTTTGTACATTAAGGTTATTATATCGATCTCGATAAGTTAAAGTTTGGACCAGTTGAAAATAGACGTGTACAAATCATCTTCACGTAATTTTTCATGCTACACATTTCATGATGAATCCATATCATTTGGTTATGTCAGGATGAGTAATCATTATTGGTTTCAGTTGAGATGATGCAATGAAAAACTGGTTTTGTTCTATATCCTGATATGATCAATGGACGAGACTTTTGGAGTATGCTAAAGGAATATAATAACAATTTTGAGCTCACAAAGTCTAACACATTTGTAAGGTTGTAAGGACATATATATTTGTGACAAGTGGAAGATTATTGGCAAATTTTGGGTCGTATATATATGATATATAATTTAAATGTGTTAGAGTCATTATTTATTAAGCCAAATAATAAAGTGATCTGACTAAATTAAAGTTTTGGCTAAAGACATATGTCATGAAAATAAAATTGTGTAGAGACCATAGAGCAATTTCTAATTTGATGAGGGGTCAAATTAGATATACAAAACCTAAGTAATTAACCTAATTCTGGTTATTTTAAGGGGTCATAGTCCCCTTCTGGGAGCACGTAGATAGAACATAAGTGTCACTCCCGTTCCTTTTTTTTTATCCCCATCAAGAGAAAAAATCAAGAGAGAAATACAGGTGTTCTTCAGGTGGAAGACCATAAGATCAATATAGTACTCTACAAAGACATCATCAGTATGACTAATTCAGTTACACTTTCACATTCAGTTTACAACATGTTTATCAGTATGAGATTACGTTTATGTTTGATCGTTAGAATCAATATCAGAATTATAATTATTAGTTTTCCAACACTCTTGTCATTTTTTTTTTTTTTGAGGTTTTGATGAGTACTACTTGCACTAGGTGATTGCCAATATAGCCAATTGGAAATTGATCTTATTTCCTGAATTTCTTACATTCTTCATTCTCTAAGGTGAAGTGTGGGTATAATAGTACCTAATTGTATTTAAAAAATTGTTCAGGAAATGAAGTTGTTTAAATAAAATAAAGTAATATAGACATCATAAACTTACTCATTTCATCAATCAACAGCGTTTTAAGAAGCCATTTAGTTTTCTAAAAGTGATTGATTACCTGAAAAAATGTATATATATAGTGAAACATGAGCTGATATATCTTTCTTAAGAAATTTAAATGACGGTTACAATCTTGTTAGGTTGTCTGGAAGGAAGGAGTAGACCAAATTACTAACTTTTACCGTCACACAGTTAAAAGTGCAATGTATCAGTACAAGTCAAAGTCAATTTTCTCACATTTCAACTCCGGGTTATCTACTAAAACTCCTCATTAACTAATAAATGATCATCTGACATGTCCCCAGCCTTCTTCATTGTTGTATGTAGATCACAAAGTAAGTGTCCCAGAAGCTCATATTGAGAATGTGATTTATCACCAACTACAAATACTTGCACTACATTGCCAACTTCAATCCAACTACAACCAGGCTGCTTCTTTAATCCCTTGTCCTTCATTTTCATTCTAACATTGGCAGCTTCTTTCCATTTCCCTACTGAAGCATACATATTTGATAATAATGAATAGGTGCCAGCATTCTGTGGTTCAATTTTCAAAAGTTTCTCTGCTACAAGTTTCCCAATATCAGTATTTCCATGGACATTACATCCGGCGAGGAGCGTTTCCCAAACAGTTAGTGATGCCTCTTCCCCAAGCCCCTCAATGATATTGAAAGCTTCTTTCAGCCTAGCTGCACGACCACAAAGATCAATCAAACATGCATAGTGATCTTCTCTGAGCTGTATAGATCTGTTTTTCAGAATTTCATCGAAGTATTTAAGTCCCTCCTCAACCAAACCAGTGTGACTACAAGCTGTGAGAAGTCCAACAAAGGTGACATCATCAGCACAGACACCTAATTCTTGCATTTGGTTAAATAAATTAATTGCCTCCTTGCCATGCCCATGATGCGCATAGGCAGCGATCATACCATTCCAAGATATCAAGTCCCTTTGACTCAATAGTCCATCATCAAACATTTTCCTTGCAATACGCAGCTCACCACATTTTGAGTACATATTTATCAGAGCAGATACCACATATTTGCTATCCTGAAAAATTGTTTTACTTATCATTTGATGAATTTGTTGTCCTTCTGTAAGACCAGCTAAGTCACTACAAGCGCCTAACAAGGTCACAAAAGTTCCAGTGTTGGGTTTTAACCCATCGGTAGCCAGCATTTTGTTAAATACCTTCAGGGCTTCTTCACTTAGCCCATGTTGCACATACCCGGTCATCATTGCAGTCCAAGTAATGACATTCGTCACACGCATTTCACCAAACAGATTCTCTGCACGATTTAACTCCCCATTCTGAATGAAACCCGTGATCATGGTATTCCAAGAAGGCATATCCCTCTCAGGCATCCTCTGAAACAACTCCAGAGCCTCATCCAATCTCCCATTTTGCGCATAGCCTGTCACCATTGCATTCCAAGAAACCACATTCCGAACAGGCATCTGGTCAAAGAGTGCTCGAGCATCCTCAACCCTCCCATTTTTCGACAAACCCGTAACCATGGTAGTCCATGAAACCACATCCCTTTCCTTCATCTGATTAAAAATCCTTTGTGCATCATCAACCCTCCCACACTGCACCAATGCCGTGATGATTGTATTCCAAGAAACCACATTTCTCTCCGGCATTCTCTTGAACAAGTCCAAAGCCTGCTGGGTGAGGCCATTCCTTGCATACCCATCAATCATTGTGTTCCAAGACACAACATTCCTCAGGGGCATCTCATAAAACAACCTCTCAGCTTCCTTAACTTGGTTAAATCTGATGTACCCATTAATCATGGCTGTCCAAGTGACAACATTTTTCTTGGCATCCAGTCTATCAAACAGCTTCCTGGCTTCCTTGATCAGGCCACACTTCAAGTACCCACTTATCATTGTGGTCCACAGACCAGTGTCCCGTTCAGGCATTTCGTCGAACATCTTGCGTGCATCGTCGATTTTGCCATCCCGACAGAGCCCTGAGATGAAGATATTGCAGCGCTTCATGTCCGAGTGAATAGCAGCCGTGAATATTAATCTGTTAGTAGTAACATTTCTGCTTAGCGATTTGGGAAGGTGCAACAAAGTGAATGGTAAATGATATAGCAGTTTCTTCATGCTTCAATGAAAAACTAAATTTTCGTAACTCCGATAATTTTGTCTATTTGAACCATGTAATAACCCCTTAATTGTCAGGAAACACGTTAACAAAAACCCGTCGATCAAGCAATCCTCGCCGAAGAGGAGCGTCGTTTTGGGCTTCGATTGGGGTTTTTCGGAGGGCATGGAGAAAGATAACTTCTTCGTGGTTATGGTGTTTATTGGTGTTTCGCGAATCCATGAGAAGAAGAAGATGAAGAACAAGAATTGGCTCGTCGGGGAGATTATTTTCTAATGCTACAGTAGTTGCTTTGCTACAGTGACATGCTTCTAAACGGGTGTTCTTTTATTTTTTATGTCAATTCTTACCGGTTCAAAAATATTAATATCAAAATTACATTATGTTTGCTTTTTTATTTTTCATAACAGTATTAACCTATTGTAGCTTCTCTACGATTTTTTATTTTTTTTCTATAATGGTTCAAAATTCATATCATAATTCTTCCATATTATATTTTGTTTTAATCTGCAACGTTAATGTCAGTCATATTCATTTGAGAGTTCAAACTGTATTTATTTCTTAGAACTTTCATGTTATGATATCTAATTCGAACCTTTTACAAATTATGATATGAATTTAACAAAAAGTTTCTTATACGAACTGTACAGTTAATTTTGATATGAAAGGGAAAAACACTATATAATTTTCATACGAATTTTTTGAAACAGTAAAAATTGTAAACAAAAATCAATCGAATAATAATATATTGGTGTGACTTTCCAAAATAATATTCTAATGGTTATAAAAAGGAAAAATCTTGTATAAAACCAACTTTGTAAAATGAATAAAAATATTTATTCAAAATTGTAACTTAATTTATATACTAAGTCACCTAAAATCATTTTCTATATCATATTTAATTAAAAATTATGTTAAATCAAAATATTATATTATCATTCAACCATCATTGAAATATATATATAAACAAGCAAACACATAAAAATTCTATATATATTTTAAATATTTTGATCATATTGATTCTTACCAGAGAAAAACACTATTAACTGATTTTGTTCAAATAGATACAAGTCAATTAAATAGTATTTCTTTAACAATTGGAATTGTGGATTTTGAGTATATGGGAGGTAAATCTGACAAGGTGAGAAAATTAACGGTATGGATGAGCCTGTGTATGCAAAAACAGGGTTTTAGGTAGTCAAGGTCGTCGCATTACTTCCTAGACGCTATCATAAAAAAAAAAAAATCTGGAAGGTGGAGTTTGAGTTCCATGCTGTGGATTAAGGAGACTCCAACCAGACTCAAATGACACCCTTCAAATCACATGTTCTAATATAGGTGTTGCATCCACGTGTGCAACCGGGCAACACTGGGCACTGCCAAGTAGCAAACTCAATTCAGTGAACAAAATTCACAATACAAAACAATCTTGCACCATTCCTCACTACTACAATGCATCTAGGCATACCAAATCATGCCAACAAAGGAGATCATGATGGAACTAACAAGAACACATTCATGTAGGACCTTTACTTTCTACTCTAGACTGTAATTAATTACCCACTGTGAACCAAAGACACCTTGAATAGAATGGTAAAACTGAATGGAGTCCACCTTTGATATGGTTAGCAAAAAATATTCACCTAACAAAGCATGTTTACTAATAATGCACCCTACAAATCTATTCCTACGCTATCTGATACTACACCTTTCAGACACATCAAATGTACAAGACAAAAGCTGAAAATGCACTCAATCTCTTAGATGATTTTGTCACTTTGTCGTAAATGAAACATAAAAGAAGCAGAGAATATTGACAAAACCTAATAAATAAACATAAACAGAAGAATAACAAGCTAGGTGACATACATCTTGGCTCTTGATACATAGGCTAGAATGAATTTGCTCTTTCTGCCCCTCTCTAACCGGTAAAAGCTGTTTAAAACTACAAAAGAGGGCATAGATATGCTTAACTGCTGAAAGCGTATGAGTTTTTCCAGGATACTGAAATCAATTTTTCAGGGAAATTGAAACTCTATAACACAAGCTTAATAAAACGAACATAGGATTCACACAATTCTGCATTGTCTGCTATTTGATCAACTTATTCATTTCAAAAAAATGCCTGGAATAAGTCTTCACATCAACTATGGCAATGTATTACATTTAATACTTGTGAACCGTGGAAAATTTAAGAAAGAAATCACTACTAGCAAACAAATATAATTATGATGAAAAGGTGGAGGTGAAGAAGAATGTAAAGTTGTAATCAGTGCCTTCAAAAGCTTCGAAATTGATTGTAAGAAGAGTGAAATGATGCATGCTAAGTAATGAATATAATCACAACCAGTATATTGTAACAGATTTGGTAACCAAATTCCATCCTCCAAAACATTAGAAGCATGAAATCATACATAAATTGAAATAGAACATTATATTTTACTAATAAAATATAAAATCAGCATGAATTTAATTGTATTCGTATATGATAAAACATTGGTGAAGCTACGTACTAATAGACTCATGCTGAAAAATTGTTCCTAACGGTAAAGTACATGAAGTATGAGCTACGCACACATATTCCACAACTACATGTTCTCTTAATGAGAAGTATCAGACTTTACGAGCCAGTGTCCTCTGCTTGGTTCCATGCTGGACAACCTTTTCTTCCACAGGAGGGCCCTTAAGCCGTCTGACGGCATCAATTAACTTTCGTGCGGTATTTTGAAGAACACTAGAACCATCTCCACACTCGTCAATTTCCTCTTCTGTTTTAGGTACAAAGAAAGGATGCTCAGGAAGTGCTTCCCAGTGGCCCAGTGGCTAAGGACAAGAAGTGTACATATACTCTACAACAAAATCAATGTCCCAATAAGCTTGGGTCCCCTATATATTCAGCAATTTGTTCAAGCTTCACATTGAGCAGCTCATGGGTATCAGCATCCCTAACAATCGCAGTTTCCCGGTCCAAATCCCTCTCCACCAGACTCCCAAAAACACCCTTGTATTTACCTGCCAACACAAGCACAGGTCCCCCACGTTTTGGAATTGCCGTCTCCAAAAAATCTTGGGACACCCCTTGAACAATCTCCCTGCTCTCATCCATAGATACATCACAAGTGGTAGGCCCAACAACATCCAGAACCTCCCCCTTCTTCAAATACAACCTCCCTCCTTTCAAATCCCGACTAATCACCCTCACCCGAATGTGACTTGTAAGCCAAGAAACCCTCCTATGATCCACCACTCTGCTCTCCTCTCTACTACCAGCATCCACTCTCTTCTCCTCAACCCCATTCTGGCTATCCACCCCTCGCCTCTCCTCCCTCCTACTAGCATCCACTCTCTTCTCCTCCACCTCATCCCTGCCGTGCTTCCTCTTCGACCCTTTATCCTCACGCTGAGTCTTCGACTCCTTTAATTTCCTCAAACACCTCTCTTCCTCCTTAGAACCCAACTCAGCAACATCCCCCACCTTCACCTTCACCTTCTCTCCACTCCTAGAAAGCTCTAAAACAATATAATCATCCCCAATCCTAGACACAACACTACCTTTCAGTCCAACATCTCTTCCCCCAACAATCCTAACAACCTTCTCCTTTTCATTCTTCTCCTTGTCCTTGTCCTTGTTGTCCTTGACATTGTTGCCCCGAACCATAGCAGCAGGAGCATCACCAACAAACCCCAATCCTTCCTTGGCAGTTCTCCGTTTGATCTCCACAACCTTTACGTCCTCCTTCGCGTTCTTACCAATCCCCATTCCTTCCTTCCACCCGTACCCGGCGAGAAGCGCCGCGCCGAAACCCTCGACCGGGACATCCTTGAATTCGTCGAACCCCTGGTCCTCCGGCAGCCTCTGCAGGTCGTCCTTCAGCTTCTGCAGCATCGTGCTCTCCACCGGAACGCGGCGCAAAGACGGCGGCGGAAGCGCGGTGTCATTGTTTTGCTCACTTTTTTTGACGGGGCGGAGGTTGAGGCCGTAGGAGACGTCGGAGTCGGGTTGCTCGTCGGCGGCGTGGAGTTCGAATGTGAGGGCTTCGGATTCGGGGTCGGTGGTGGGGAGGTGGAGGTTCTTCATCTTCTTGAAGGGTTTCCATTGGTTTTGGATTGGGGGAATTAGGGTTTTGGGGGCGAGAGATGGAGCAGGTTTGGAAGGATCGAATTCGGTGATGAGGTGTTTGGATCTGCCGGTGTCGTTTTGGGCGGTGGAAGTGTCGTCGAAGGTGTTGACGGGTTTGGGCTTGGATTGGGGTTTGGATGAAGGAACTGAGAAGGAAAGCTTCATTGTTTCGCTTCTTCTTTCACGAATCAGATCGAATCGTGAAGAAGAGAAATATGATAGAATTGATGAAATTAGGGTTCTTCTAAGTTGCCTTTGCCTGTCAGTCTTTCCCTATTGCCATTCACTAGTTCAAAATATGAAAATTTCACTTTAGTTCCTAACAGAAATTTGAAATGCAAACGTGGAAATAAATATTCCCTTGTGAAATAAATAAAGGTACGAAAATATTTTTTAACCTATTAAATTTGAACCGCTTTAATGTTTTTTAAATATTCAACAATGATTAATCCATAATCTTTATGTTAAATTTACATTCTAAGTTACTACAATCATTTTTCTACGTCATATTTCATTAATCCATAATCTTTATGTTAAATTAGAATATTGCGGTATCATTCTTCCATCATTAAAACATAAAAAATACATAAATTATATATATTTTAATATTTTATTTTTATTTATTTACGTTCTGAATTTTATTAAAAAAAACACACATCTCATTTCTAATACGTTAAAAATAGAATAAGATAAGATAATTCATCGTAATCAAGACAAAATAAATTTCGTAAAAAATAACTGACAAATTAATTATTATTCCATTAATATTTTTATTAGGTAAATTTAAAAAATATTATATATTTATATTAAAATATCTAATTATAATTAATATTTATAATTTAAATTATAATATTATAATATATTTATATATTTCAAAATAAAATATAATATTTTTAATTATAATTTTTTTTATTTTAATTTTAATATATAAATATTTTTTTAACAGAGTAACGAATTAACACGTCTCAGCTTCGGCCCTCGTATTAGATAAAACGGACCAAAAGACTGATAAAATAAAACAACAATCCCTCGGCGGATCTAACCATTGTGTCATCCTAATACTATAAATTTTCAGTTCATTGAAAATAACAAGCATCAGTTCTGCATGGGGTGAAAAATCACTGGTTTGGTATAATATAATAATACTAATTAAATTTTTTTTGTTAGTATGTAAGCATGGAAGGGCTAATATGCAAGAAGGAAATTTAAGCTTAAGCTTGATGCAAATGGCTAAATTCTTCGCAAGGGTGAAACGTTGATGAATAAAGTATCCATGTTAATCAGTCTTTTTATCTTGATTTTTTTTTTTTAGCACGTATTAATCTTTTCTAAAAAAATCGCAAAATACTCACAAATTCATAATGAACAAATAAGATTAAAAATAAAAATGATGTAAGTAATGTAATGGAATGTTTCAATCGACAACATGATAGTCTGGGCATAAGAGCTGTCCAAGAGTGATGCAATATCTGAGAAGAGAATTCTGAAATTCTTATTTTACAAGGCATTTAGAATTGCATGGTTTTGATTAAAATTCAGCAACTGATGGGCAAGCTATTTTGCAACTTAATTTTGAATCTTATAATTTCTGAATCAACCACTACGGCAGATGGAACTTCTCAATTGTGTATGTTAATGCAGTTAACAAGTTTTGATGAGATTAACTGGTTGTTTCTATCAATATAAATACTTTATTAAATCTGCCTCCTCTACCAACCAAATAGGAAGGGTTGAATAGCAACACAATTTAGGCTATCAAATGGTTTTGTTCAATTGTAGAAGATGGCTTACAGAGTCTGGAGCAGATTCCACAACACAGAATAAGTGTCTCTGTTCTCAGACCACAGATAACTTCTCCACTTTCCTTGTCAGTTGCATCTGCAGAAATATTTGTCTGTACATAGATATATCATATATGGTTTCCCAAAGACATTGCGTAGAAAGTCAAAGTCTATCTCATATTGTGGTAAGCTGTAATGTATTGAAAAACTGAATTGGTTCCATATTTTTATAATCAAGATAACCAAAAAAAAGAAAAAGCAAACAGCTGCTTACCTGATAAGCCAAGATGTGGTTCTCAAGAATGTTTCACTATAGAGCTTTCATATATTATTTGACCAGATGATATGAACTTCATTTTAAAGAAAAATCAATTTTGAATTCCCATTAAACGTCTCTCCTTGGCTATGGTATTACCAGTTTTTGTCAGAAGCTATGTAACTGGGGACCAGACAATTAAGAAGAGCTGGCTAGCACTACTCACCTGGATGTACATGCCCTTGGAGAATTTGTAGAAGTCCTTGATGCCAACAAATAATCAAGAGCTAGAAAAATACTGACACTTCTAAAGAAAGTGATCAGACACCTATTACTAAGTAATTCCTGGACACTATTAGCATATATAAAAAAAAAAAAAAACTGATCTTATGAATATTGCAAATTTCTCAACATTTTTTTCATGAGTTTCGATTTTATAGGACTTCACTAATTGTTTTAATTATTAAGAGGTATGTTTCCCAGTATTTTAATGTGATTTGTTGTTATATGAAAATAGTAAAGCTTACCAAATTTATTTTTACAATAATATAAATCTTAATTTTCAATTGAGGGTTTTATCATGTTGACTGTGTATAAGTACAGGGGAAGAACTATATAGATGTCCCGAGAATGTCATAGTGACCCCAAAATTTTTAATTTCTTTTTAGTTTTATATATAAATATATTAGGGAAAAGAAAGAATCTGTTGGTCCTTCTTCACCACAAATTATGCCTCCACCACTGTATATGTGTGTAGAAGTAACTTCCCTGTATAGTGGTGTCTCAGTGTCTATCAAGACATGAAGACGACCAAAATCTTTAATAGCAAACACTACAAGGAAAAAACTAGTGACAAAGGGATATTTCAACAGTATCCTAATTTTTAAGCTTCAAACTAGACTGGAGAAGTGTGATACGTTTCATAAAATAGAATTTTCTTCCACTCGCAGTCTCAGAGAGATGACAACTTAGAATCAGAATACAACAAACAACACATTCGATTCAAATAACCGTAGAAAGTTGCTTCCATCCCCAGTTTAACCAATTAAATTAACCTAGACCTGATAAAGCGTTGAAGATTAGAAAATGAATCTGGAAGGTGGAGTTTGAGTTCCCTCCTGTGCATTGAAGAGACTTCCACCAGTTTGAACTCTAGTACAAATTAGATTCAAATGACACCCTTCAAATCACATGCTCTAATATCAGTGTTGCATCGACTGTGCAACCGGGCAACACTTGGCTCTGCCAAGTAGCAAACTCAATTCGGTCAACAAAATTCACAATACAATACCAAACAATCTTTACACCATTCCTCACTACCACAATGCAACCGCGCATACCAAAACATGCCAACAAGGAGATCATGATGGAACTAACAATAACACAACTCAACACTGTAATTAATTACCCACTGTGAGCCAAAGACACCGGAATAGAATGGTAAAACTGAATGGAGTCGACATCTGAGATGGGTAACAAAAATATTCACTTAACAAAGAGTATTTACTAACAAATACACACTTAATATCTATTCCTATGCTATCTGATACAACACATTTTAGGCACATCAAATATATAAGACAACCTGAAAATGTACTCGATCTCTTAAGATGATTATATCACTGTATTGTCAATGAAACATAAAACGAGCAGAGAACATTGACTAAGCCGAGAAAATAAACATAAACAGAAGAATGAAAAGCTAGGTTACATACATCTTAGCTTCTGATACATAGGCTAGAATGAATTTGCACTTGCTGCCCACTCTAACCGACAGAAGTTGCTTAAAACTACAAAAAAGCATAGACATGGTTAACTGCTGAAAGCTTGAGTTGTCAAGGATACTGAAATCAATTTTTTAGGGAAATTGAAACACCATAACAAATAAAACAAACAAAGCTTTCACAAAATTATGCATTGTCTGCTATTGGATCCATTTATTCATTACAAAAAATGCCTGGAATTAGTCTTCATAAAGCTATCAGCTATGAGAACATCGTTTTGACATTTAATACTTGTGAACCATGGAAATTTAAGAAAGAAATCACTACCTGCAAAAATATATAATTTTGATGAAAAGGTGGAGGTGAAGAATGTCAAGTGGTCAATCAATTCCTTCAAAAGCTTCGAAATTGTTTGTAAGAAGAGTGAAACAGATGCATGCTAAGTAATGAATATAACATCACAGCCAGTATATTGTAACAGATCTGGAGACAAAATTCCATGCTATAAAACAGAAGAAGCATTAAATCATTCATAAATTGAAATGGAACACTATATTTTACGAACAAAATATAAATCATCATGAATTTAATTGTATTCGTATGTGACAAAACTTTGGTGAAGCTACATTATACATATATATAAACTCATGCTGAAAAATTGTTCCTAACGGTACAGTACATGAAGTATGAGCTACACACATATTCCACAACTACATTTTCTCTTAACAGCTAAGGATACAACTGTAATTAGAAGTATCAGACTTTACGAGCCAGTGTCCTCTGCTTGGTTCCATGCTGCACAACCTTTTCCTCCACAGGAAGGCCCTTACGCCGTCTGACGGCATCAATTAACTTTCGTGCAGTGTTTGGAAGAACACTAGAACCATCTCCAAACTCTTCAATTTCCTCTTCTGTTTTAGGTACAAAGAAAGGATCCTCAGGAAGTGCTTCCCAGTGGCTAAGGACAAGAAGTGCACTTGCAGCACCAGACGTCCACCTTCTAAGCTCGTCCGCAAAACCAAAGCTCTCAGAAACAGGAACATATGCATGGACAGTGAAGAAAGGGGAACCTTCTTGCATTTCTTCCTTCAAAACTCGGGCCCTTCTTCGGGAAAGTACAGCATACATGGGGCCCAAATATTCAGTAGGTGTATTCAATTCACAGAAGTACATTGCTTCTACAAGCCGTGGCTTATTCTGAAGCACAGCTGCTCTACAAGCATCTTTGACAGTTGCTATAACCTGGCCTGCAAAGATGCCATACTGCTCAGATTGTTGGGGTGTTTCAGATTCATCATTCTGCCCTGAAAATGGAGATATGCGAGCCTCAACAACAAATGCCAAACCCCACATAGGTTCATCACACAAGGGTCCAGCTGATGTGGCCAATTGGAACCCAGATAT